CCCCCCCCCCCCCCCCCCCCCCCCCCCCCCCCCCCCCCCCCCCCCCCCCCCCCCCCCCCCCCCCCCCCCCCCCCCCCCCCCCCCCCCCCCCCCCCCCCAACGTATGCCGGGTATATAAGCACCGCGTCTGTGTCCCGAACGCGTACGTAGAGTCTGAGGTCTAGTGAGGGTGGTCGAGGATGATTGCTACGTGCCCGCGGTCCTTCCCGCCTCTACCTTCGAGACGATGTCGTGTCACGCCGTCGTATAAAAGAGACTGGTGTTCTGGTTTAGTAAAGGTTCTTCTAAGCAGATGTGATTTTTGATGTGACGTCCGGCTTAGCCTGTTTTTGACGATGTCAATGACTTTAGCGGTGTACATGTCTCGAGAAGCTGGGCGTTGAGGGATGACTTGCCATGAGACTTTTCGTCGTTTCGACATTGTCCGGTCTTTTCGTCTGTGGGTTATTCACAATGAATCAGTCGGGGTTACGCGCTTAAGTCCAATTGTGTGAGTTGAGGATGGCGATGAGACTTTTAACATCTTGCAAAGAGGCCACTATATCGGTACCGATTATCATCCTCGAGCGCCTAATAACCTTTCACACTCGGGTGAAATGCCGTCGAACTACCGCCATAAGCCTCCCTGGAAGAGGAAAAAAGAAGAGGAGGGAGAAGGGAAAGGCAGACACGAAAGCTACGTAGGTAGTTGCCTGTGTTGTAGGTTGTAGACGTACATAGTCCTGGCGTGGACGAGTCTTATTGGATCTCTTTCAATATGTCCCGCCATGCCGGACGGCTTGAATAACACGCCTCCCATTCACATTAGCGAAAATCGAACAGACTAAGGGGGTATCCCGCAGATTCCCATCTTGCACCAAGTGATGAGCTAGAAGATAAGGTAGGTATTCGCGCTACTAGCTGGACTCGTCCCAACCCGCCCAGCCTGGCAGACATCACCAACACCAACTCACGGCCGAATCATCCCATCCCATCCGTAGGTGGGTGTTACTCACGTATCTCATGTGGGCCTCAACAAGGGTACGATACCCGTGGTAACCAATGATGCAGAGCTGTTGGAAGAGAAACGCACCTCGGAGTTTATTTTACTGGACTACTCCGCCTCCTTATTCGGCCATGCGGCTTACGGGAGAACCGGTTCAGCTTGAACACCACACACATGGTCTCTTCTCACAACCCCGCTTCTCATTCTCACCATCGGCCTCAATTCCTGCGCGAAACTGCGGTTCGGCAACTCTCATACTGCTGATAACCTGCCTCTCAATCATTCACTGCTTGATAACACGCCGTCGAAAGACCAAGCAAACACCAAAAAACAAAACAATGCGTCTCATATCCACCGCTGATCTCACGCTGCACACATTTCCCGACAACGCGATTCCTCGATACTCGATACTTTCCCACACGTGGGGCGACGAGGAGGTGCTCTTCCACGAAATGCTGAAACCGACCGAAGAAATACGAGGCCGGTCGGGGTACAAGAAGATCCAGAGATGCGCCGAGATCAGCAGAGAGGTCTGGAATTGTGGCTTCACCTGGGTCGACACATGCTGCATCGACAAGACGAGCAGCTCCGAGTTGTCTGAATCGATCAACTCCATGTACGTTTGGTATCGTGACGCTTACATATGCTTCGCATACCTGGAAGACTTCCACGGCGAACACATCTGCGACGTGTTGCAAGAGACACGGTGGTTTAACAGAGGCTGGACGCTGCAAGAGTTACTTGCCCCCGAAGAGGTGATATTCTACTCCGCGTCCTGGAAGAGAATCGGCAATAAGAAGTGGCACCTCCCCAGCCTGGAATCAATCACTGGAATAGATGAGTCTATACTCATGATGAACACATTCCAAGATGTATCCGTCGCCGAGAAGATGAAATGGGCAGCGAATCGGAAGACGACCAAGAAGGAGGACCTCGCCTACTGCATGATGGGCATTTTTGATGTCAGCATGCCCTTACTGTACGGCGAGGGAGACAAAGCCTTCACACGACTTCAAGAGGAGATTATGCGAAACTCTGACGATGTGACCATATTTCTGTGGAAGAGCACCAACGAGAACCCGAGCGCTTACAGAGGTGCTCTCGCCCGCCACCCAATCGAGTTTGCGTTGTCAACGGCACCCAAGGCACCGATGTGTGTCCTTGACGAGCCATATCGGATGACCAATAAAGGACTACAAATAACAGTCGCGTTGACGGGATTGGATCGAGTGGCTTCAAAAGATCTCATCTTCCTCGCAGAAGATCCTGATCACAGTTCGCTTTTTCTTTTATCCTTCGACCAGCGCGACACTCACCAGAGGGTCACAACTCATCATATCGTTCTTCGAAAGATTAAGGCGGCGAAACAACACTTCGTCAGGGCGTACCCTGGTTTTCAGTTCATCGCCGCACGAAAACCTCTGGCTACGGAACCGAGAAGCAGTCGAACTGGAGAGGAGACCATCATGGTAGTCGGGCGGCTTTCTCTTTCTGATGTCGACTGGGTCTTGCCCTGCAGGGGATTCAACATCACCGAGGTGATGTACAAAACCACCAAAGTGGCGTACATGCATGAGGAAGGATGCGGAAACAGAATCGGTTCCGCGCGGGAGCTCGCACCCAAGTTCGAAAGCAAATTAATGAAGACCACTTCAAGCGCCGACAAAGGGGTACTTGAGGCCATGTATCACTCGAACTTCGTCGGATGGCCGGGAAGGGAGATTGAATACAAAATTCCAACTTCCCAGCACATACTCTTGAGATATGAGCAGCAACACGGCAGGCTACACCTACTCATATTCTATGACTTACGTACAGAAGTGTTTCAGACAGACGATGTTGTGTCTATTGATACACTTCTGCAAGCGGTGCGCACACGGCGTTATCCATCTGAGCCGTCGTCTGATGCCTCCGAAAAACTGGCCTTCTTTGCGGGCATGGCGGACATGAGGCGAAAGCCGGAAATCTATGGAGATACGGCCACTTCGCAAGTCACCGCCAAGTTTAAGTGGACGATTAGTGACGACAGTGTCTTTCTAAACGTATACATCGACCACGAGGCGAAGAGGAGGAAACCATCCTCACCGCCCTACGCACGCCTCCAATCCCCACCTCGCTGCCGACCTGTGTCCTTCCCTCCCAAGAAAAAGGGCAGGAAGCAGGAGAAACAGGTATAATATTATAGCATAATAATCAGAACTTCAACATACAAACTAGACAGCTATATTGGTACATATGCACATGCTCTACTCGGCATCAACTGGTCAGATGAAATGCATTGTTGCTTATTAATGATGACCTTTAACTTCTCCTCTACACTATAGGCTTTTCCAGAGAACAAACTATTGTCCCAGACTGCGAGTAACTGGAATCAGACCGTGCCCGCTCGTCGTTCATGAAGATGCCTGATGATCTTGATTACTCTCTCCCGATCCGAGAGATCGCAGAAAGACCATTTTGCGCCCCTGAAAAGCTTCAAGCACACCCACAGAGCGAGGAAAACGAATATCTGTAGCCGAAAAAGTCAGCGACACGGGGTCTCGGCGTCTCGGGGGCCAGGTCGAGATCTTACAGCAAGATAAGCCGACAGAAACGGCAACAGATTGAAGCTCTTCCAAACAGCAGCGCCATTCGAGACCAGCAAGAGAAAGACACAGCTAATGAAGGCCATGTAAGCTAGGAAAGGCTGGCCGTGGCTGTGATAGGGGTAGTCTCGGTTCTCGGAGTTCCAGCGTTGGACTTGTGGGATTTTGCGGCTTTCGAGGGCGTGGCGGTGTCTGTCGATGCTACGGCGAGTCAAAGGGATGTACATTTTGACGGGGTGTAAAATGGGGGCTTACCAGTGGTAGTATCTGATAAAGGCCAGACATTGGCATGCCCATACAATGACCACCCCGGCCGAGCCCATCTGAGCAAGAATCTCGATGAACTACAGCAGAAAGTAAGCATGGTAACTCATCACAGTAGAGGCAGTTGACTTACCATTCCTACAGGCGTGCTGGTATCCGTCCCCCCAGAGATCTGGAGAAAAGGCACCCACCAGAAAGCCAGAGCCGAGAAAACCATGGCCCTGAGCGGCACCTTACGACTATTCGTCCTCCCGAACCACGCCAGAGTCCTGAGCACCCACGGCTGACCGGCCCCTCCATCCAAGCGACTCGTCAGACCAAACAAACTCCTCGACGCAACATACAGATTCGTATTAGCACACGTCAACGCCGTAAACACGAGAAAAAAGTTAAAAACGTGATCCAGCACGCGGGCACTCGATCGGCCCGCAATCACCACAAAGGCAGAAGACGTCGAGTTCCGGTGTGTATTCCTGTGTTCCGGCACCATCCACTCGCAGGATGTGGTGTTCTTGACCCAGCTGAGGTGCGGGAGGGCGCAGTCGTTCGGTTCGATGTTGAGGGAGACGAGCATACCGCTCAGGGTGTACGCGACGGCGACGAGGACGGAGATGAAGATGGCGGAGAACTTGACGGTGCGGCCGATCAAGGTCTCGGGGCTGGAGCGCTGGGAGTCGTCTTGCGGGTCTTGCTGGGTCAAGTGGCGTCGGGGTTCGGGCCATTTGGCTTCGAGTGCTGAGGCGGCTACGATTTCGACGCCGACGTAGGCGAAGGCTGCTATTGACAGGGACATTCTGCGCGACGGTTAGTATCTGGGGGATTGAAGAAGTTGGTTGGAGCTTACAATAAGGCGACGCCCCAGTTTGAGGCTGCGTCTTTGTCATATTGGAATGGATCCTTGAAAACTGGTACGCATTAATATGAGGGTGCGTTGATGACTACATGGGAGGTAGCTTACTTGGTATTGCCGAGCCGTTTGATGCCGAGCCTGTCAAGATGAGGTGAGATGAGGACCTTGAACGGGGAAGTATGTGACTTACCCTCACCCGTGATGGCGATCAGGGCGACTACAATCACAGCGAGAAATGCAATCTTGATGCCTCCGGTAGCTACCTCAATCCAGCCATAAATCTGAGGGGCTTTGGTAAGTACGAGCATATGGTCGAAGCACATGATCCAAGATAGGGAACCCACCTCGATGCCGAATGAGTTCACAGCGACCATGATGATGGGAATGAGAACATAGACAAGCCCGATGGACAGGCCCTGGTCGTCCTTGTTGATCCAGAAGTTCATTAGGGCAGAGCTGGTCGCAATGAGAGCCGCGAAGCTCACGGAATAAGTGAACCTAACATCAGCCAGGTCAGCATTTTGACTAATCACCACAGGGCAAACTCAGCCGCTCACCAATACGCGACTCCAACAGCGATCCCTAGCTCAGGATCCACGAAAGTGCTGACGTAGACGGATAAGGCGCCAGGTACTGGCCAGATGCATAGCAGCTCAGTGACACATTGCATGACCGCCCAGGCGAGAAGGCCAACCAGGACGAAAGAGAAGAGAACGGCGAGGGGACCCCCGAGCTCGAGAATTTGACCGCTTCTCCAATACAGGCCAGTCCCGAGTGTCCCGTTGATGGTAATCATCTAGTTGAGTGTCAATGAGTCTTCGCAAGGAATTGACAAAAGGATGTAGAGGAATTACTGACAAAAAGATGAATCCCCCTTAACTTGCGCTTCACAGTGCGGTCGGGCTCCGGCTTGACCAGGATCTCAATTCCCGGTCGCTCCGTGAAGCCATCGTTGTTCTCATTGTTCTCGTTGCCATCATTTGCAGCATGTTCGATCGCCTTGTGTCCCAGTATCCCGTCAGAAGAGCCCTCGGCGATTGATGTCGGAGGCGCAGGTGAGGCGTTGCGCTTCATCTCCGCGGCGTCGGGGCCGAGAAACCAGTCCGGGAGCCACTCCGGAGTGGACCCGGAGACCCGCTTCGGATCCGTAGCCATGTTCGCGTCGGATTGAGTTTGACGTCAAATAAGAGCCCGGGAACAGATTGTGGGACAAAAGAGAGAAGCCATGTGAACTAAGGAATACGTGGCGGGGATTCTAAGGCGAATTCGATTTTATTCAATGCTATCAGGCTGGCCAATTCTGACCACAAAATTCGAGGTCAATTCAGGTGCAATTTGAGCGGCCTCACCGGCTGTAAGACAAATACAGGCAAACGTCTTCGTGCATCAGGCATCTGCCGTGCAAGGGAACGATGGAAGGATCGGTGCGTCAGCCACAACCAGGCTGCCGCCCAGAGACTTGGGTTGTGAAATCTTCACTGAGGCTGAAGGGCGGTTGGGTGCCGCTTCACTCGCACTCTGGGCTTCTAAGTGGACAACACTTGGCCAATCTCATGTCTGCACGCCTATGGGATGAGCCCTCGTATTCTACGAAGAATACATTCTTGAGTGAGGCTGTATGGCATGTCTTATCCGTCACGTGCGCCCTCAGCACCTTCCCGATCGGGTTACCTCTGCGATAGGGGCAGTTGTTTGCTCTTGGTAGCGTGCACTTTGAGAGCGCCTGCCCACAAGTCCAGCTGGCTGACTTCTGATTAGCATCGGTCGTTATTATCGCCATCGTCAGTTTCCTGCTTCTTCGTTGCCGCAGTGGATAAAGCCCAGTGATTATGAGGCGGGGGCGCCGACTATCCTAGAGATGGGTGTGATACAGTCCGTCCCTAAGGTCTTTCTCAGTATTGAAAGAACAACGAGAGCCCCCCATGACGAAACATCCCAAGGGTTAAAGGGTGGCACAACGGGAGCTTCGGACTCTGTTTGGAAAATGGAAGAACAAGTGTGTGTCAGGAAATGTGCTAGGCTTAGCAAACCGAGGTCGAGCCACTCGGTGACTCGCCAAGCTGTCGTGTAACACAACCACCAAATCGGCAGCATGAACTGGGGCGCGAACCGCGGAAACAGAGCCTGAAAAGACATACGTGCAGCCCAGGCTTCCGGTGACGTGTTGTTTGTCAGCGATTTGTTGCGCAACAAAAAAGCCGTCTCTTCCTTTGACAGTGGGAGTCTTGCGCAGCGATGTATGTCGCATTTGTATATTCGAAATCTAGAGACGCTCTCTATCTCCTTGCCCTCTGAGAACCGCAGGTCCCCTTAAACTGCCAACATGGATCAGATCGACCAAAACGTGACCAGCCGTTACCTCAAAAAGACAAGCCTCCAAAGACTCTTGGAAAGGCTCTTCCCAGGGCAGACTGAGTTCAGTATTGAAGTATGCCTCACGCGCAGCCCTCTCCCTTTCCCCTCCCCAGACCCCTGTCAGCTGAAAAGTGGCTTGCAGATGAGGGATGACGTTTGGCATTTCAAGGCACCAAAACAGGTGGATAGTGTGAGTGCAGTTTATTGATCGAATGAAACTAAATGCCTCTTATTGGAATTTCACTGACTCGTAGTTGGGACAGGCCGACATTGAGTAGATAAAGCCCAAGGTAGACTCGCGTGGTCCGACATTTACTAATGAGATTTGCGACCAGTGCCATTCGGGATTGAGTACGGAGCCGCCGCCGCACGGGAGAGTGAGCCTACGGTCGGCAGTGCCGGTTTAGCGGGGGGGCAGGGAGTGTCAGCGCTGGAACACAGCATAGGCTTATTGGCTTTGGGGGTCGGGTACATTTTTAGCCTGATGATACCAGTCAACATACATAATAACACTTGAGGATCACGGTACTTCTGCATCTTCCATGTTCAAAATTGTTGTTTGATTTAAACTCTTATCACCATGTTGACAATGGCCTCTTCAGCGCAATGTTTCGTTGATGATGTTAGCGAGCCTTTGAAGATATTCGAGGTGCCACGTTCTTCAGATTCAGTTGATGAGAAGCCTGGGGTGAAGGTTCATCAATTTCAGACTGAGCAGAGTCTCACATCTTACCTCGAAAATGAGAGAGATGAAGACTGCACTTATCGTTTCATGTAAGCGTCTTTCTAAACCGAAGCGGGAGCGACTTCGCTGACCTGGTGTAGCTCCATTTGTCAACGCAATTCATGGAGACCTCTACAGATGACCAAGCCAATGCTCAGCCTTCTCATAGATAGCTTCGAGCTGGATGAATCATTGGAAGAGCTGGCGTCGTTCTTCTACACCAAGAACATGGATGTAGAAGAAACGTTTTGTATGCCATACACGGAACGAAGAAGCAATTCTGTTGTCGGCAAGTTCAACCATTCATAATCCACGCAGCAAATCTCTAACTTGGCTTTCTAGAGGCTTCATACAGCATTCGCTACCCCGAGTACAAGTCGGAAGATAAGAAATGGGTCATCAGACAGACAGGCATCTATCACCGGGTCAACTTCAAAACGTGCCAAAACTTGTTCATCATGTTGAACCCGATGCCTAATGCGAAGGCGAACCAGAAGGCAGAAGAGTGGCTTTTCGAGCACTCGGAAGACAGTGATTTCGATCCGATGTGGCTGCACAGAATAGTCCAGGAGACACACCTGCCGGCTTGGAGGTCCTACATCTCACACTTCGAGCGGCAATTCTTGCCCATGGTACGTTCTAGTCTGCAGGTTTCTGCAATCATTCCGAAACTAACAGTATAGTAAGGCTCTCACAACGTTTGCTACATTCATCGAGGAACCTTCCACATTGAAGCCTAGCCATCTGACGACACTGGCCAGCTTGGAGAACAAGTTCCTTCAAATTCCGGCTATACTTTCGTCAACAGAAGATGTAATGAAGGAGTTGTCGGCTCTACTCCTATCAACTTGGGCGCTGAAGACCAAAGAGCCTATGGCCTCGGCCTCAAAGTTCGACAACTTTCATCGCCAATGTGGAGCTTTCTCCCGGTCTGCGACATACTTGCATCAACGGGCGCAGACCACTGCCCAGTTACTCGCCAATACGTTGTTGTTTCGGGAGCAGCTCGACACAAGGAAGCAAAATCATAACATGCTCAAGCTGAACAAATCAGTGGTGTTCATTACTACGTTGACCCTGTTGTATCTGCCACCATCGTTCGTTGCCGTAAGAAACCCTTAAAACTTCGACAAGGAAGAGCGACCCAAACTGACTATCCTAGACTTTCTTCGGTATGAACTTCTTCGATCTAGATGCCGACAATCACGTAATAGTCAGCACGTCAATGATCTGGATATACGTCTTATCTTCAGTTATACTTACTGCTGCGACGTTCATCATATATCACATGTTGTTAGAAGGGGGGCCTTTGGGCAAGCGGAAGATCAACTTACCAAAGACCGGGGACTGGAGTCAGTTGAAGGTTTGGGTACGGAAAAGGGACACCTTTGCGGAGAAGAACGTTCTTAATGTATGATAAGTTGCCGTTATGTTCTAATAGTCGTTGCAGACTGCATCCCAGATAGAATGACTTTGTGTATGGCATAGCGATTGATGTCGACGAGGGCAGCGATGAGAAGGTGACGTTTACCCTCAGCATCGATCAATCTGACGGTGAATTCGTCGTAATCAAAGAGTTGAGGAATCGGTGCCAGTTCGCTCAAGGAAATGGGGTCCTTCGATGTAGGCATCTTGATCTCCAACAAGATGATTCTGTGGTTTGCTCTCTTGGTCCCCAGAGCAATCAGCGTGTCGTCCTTTTGGCTGACCATGACTTTTAGTATGCGATACTTGTCAATGATTTTGTGTAACTCTTTTCGACTGTCGCCGCTCTGGCCGCTGGAAAACCGCAGCTTGTAAATATGTCTTTCGCGAGCGATGACCATGCATGCGGCCTCATTGTGCAGCTCCGAGAAGGCCGTGAACAAGGGAGCCGTGTTGCTGTCAATTCCCTGACATCTCGTGATTAGCGATCTGTTCCGATCTAAACTTATTATGGCCCGGGCTCACCTGGGGTTTGAGGTCGAACCTATCGATCGCTTTGGTTCTTAGAGAGAATGAGATGATGGAAACTTGATGTGCATCGTACTGAGTCAGTTCTGGGCGCAACACCATATAGCCATCTGTTTGGCTCCTCAGTGATATGCTGATGACATCCTCGGCCGGCCAACTCAGCTTTGTAGGCTGGGGAAAGTTGAGAGGCGTGTTGGTCCCGTTGGATCCCCAGTCGGATGTTTCGGTGTTAAGCTTTTGTCTGCTAACGAGTTAGCCAGCGTCAATCACAACATCAACTCTGACCAAGGGAGCTTACCCCGATTCTATGAGCTCCGTTACTCTTGCTTGAAACAGTGATCCCGGCAGCCGATCGTTCTCCATGTCTTGAAGTGTGCAGACCATGTTTTGGTGATCTGGTGAAATGGACAGATTATTTATCTCAGGGAACGGTAGTGACACCCGGTAGCACGTCTTCAAGTCTGCGTCTACTGAATTTCCGGCTTCCAGGTCAAATATATAGCACTTCAAGGCTGCCGTTAGCTGAAAGCTCTGGTATATTCGCAGTGGTTACTCACATTAAATGTACCCCCCGTGGTTGTGGCAATCAAATATCTCTCAGTCAAGGCAACCGATTTCCAGAAGAACGTCGAGCCTACCGGCGAGTAGTCGTCTGCTACACTGATGGTGGATTCCTCGTCGCGTGCAGCAGAGAGAGATGTGAAAAGAAAAAGCCTAGTATCACTCCAATAAACCAACAGAGTCCCCTTGGGGGCAATCTTACAGCCCTTCAAGTCGTCAAACACATCTCGAGGCAGACGCCACTGCTGAATCGAACGGTCAACAGGAGTCGTCGTGTCTGATTGAGGGCTTCGAAACCTGGACTTCGTCAGATCATTCACGTGCTATGTGATGCAGCAAGCTCTAAACTTTACCTGTCAATGAAGGAAGGTCTTCGAAACCTGCTGGGCTCGTCGGCGGCCTGAGAGTTCTCTAACTTGCGATATGCGTTCATCGTCTCCTTCAGCGCCTTTTCTACATCCCTTGCAGTGCACCTATTTTGCTGGTCCAAGTTTAGTGCCTTGTCTTGGAGAAAGCTGAGTATAGTTTGCACGATCTTCTTTTCCGCTGGACTCCGATTGCCCGCCTTATTGGCCAGTCGACGATGCCAGTCTTTCACGGCAGGGTGTAATGTAAACTTCCCGAAAGAATTTTCCGAGAAGAACCCATCGAAGCCTTCGTCGGTGCCTCTGCGATCTTTCAGTCTGTCGTTCACGTACTCCGCGACGCTTTCTGAGCCGCCTTCAAGATATGCAAAAAACACGCTGAGGACACAACCGAGAGACCAAACATCGCTCTTGGTGTTCATCAACTTTCCCGCGAGGAACGATTCGCGCGGAAGATAGGTCCCTTGACCACGTCGGTTCTGCGTTCCGGAAGGAGCTTCCTCATTTGGTTGCCGCCGCGGTCTGAACCAGACGCTGATATCTCGTTCTTCGTGTTCGGCGTGGTTTCGCCGCCGAACCTTGACTCGCGACATGCCGAAGTCGCTCAACTTCCAGATCGAGCGTTCCTGGCCAGAACTGGAGTCATGGAAAACAAGGATGTTGCTAGGTTTTAAGTCCATATGGTAGCAGACCACGTCATCGAAGTCGGAGGTCTGGAGTTCGTGATGAAGGAAACTGAGCCCGGTTGCGAGACCCATGGCGGAGCGAATGAGACTAGCTCTGGTTTTCGGGGTCTTGATCGTCGTTGATTTGTCCTTTTTCATGTACGCACCGAGGTCGCAAGCAGCCAGCGGCATAAAAAGACTGTATGTTGCCGGACTAGCCCCCAACGGGGAGTCAACTCGGAGGGTTCCAAGGTTTTCCAGGATATTTTCGCAAGTCTTGGAGGCACTAAGAATCATCTTCATGATGTCGCCTTCGTCTCGAGATCCACTGTCCATCGGAGACTCCACGATATAGTCCTTGCGCGCTACCCATCTTGGTTTGTTGGATACCTCGTCGGTGTGACGATCTTCGATGTGCCCCTTGGCGATTTTGACCTTGAAAACCCTCCCGAATGATCCTGAGCCCAAGAGCTCTTCCTCAAGGTAAGGAAGTCGTTGGGTTTCACGGTCTTTCACAGTCATCTCCTCTCTCTGACGAAGCACGACAGTGCAGAAGATCGCCTGCGTTCCAAAGAACTTATCCGCATCATTAGAATCGTTGCCGCCGAAGAAAACCTTCAGGCTCTCACGATCTGATGGCAGTGATGCGACATCCCTGATGCGCTCCTGGCTGGTGGGAATCGGCCACACAGCAGCAGCAGCAAGCTTAGTCGTGAATGTCCTGGCGGCGCGAACGCTGCAACTTGCATATGCGATGATGGCGATGAATTTGTGAAGGCGTCTTGACTGGATATTTTCGACGAATTGATCTTCCGTGAGCGTAGCTGGCTGCAACTCGATGCTTTGAAAGAAGAGACGCAGGAAGTGAGACTCAAGCACAGCTTCTGCCGTGCTCCTGGTGGCAAACCGCAAGCTTTCAGAGTCCTTCCTCTCTAGCTTGTCGACGAGGCGACTACGGATGTCGTGGCACAAGTCGAGGTACTGCTGGGGAGCCATTGTTTACGCCAGGGATCCCAAACCGTCCGAATGGCTTCTGCATGTCTTCAGAGATTGATGATAGGAGAGAACGTGACGTGCTGATTTGGAGAAACGTGCGAGTGGTTCAACAGAAGTAAGCACGGCTTGGGACATGTAAGACAGCAAACAGCACGTTGGGGCGCAGTAAGTCAGCCTAAAGGTAACCAGGGTGAAGATTGGTGATTGGCTAGTGAGCGATGCCCAGCAGGGCAGCAGGTCTCTCTCGCTTTCTCTAGACATATGCAGCTTACTCAATTGATTAAGGCAAACACAACTGCGCCTCTGCGGCGGTCTTGGCCTGTCGTAGTATGAGCGAATATCGAAGCAAGCGATATGACTGACATAAATCGAGTTGGCATGAAAAGTCTTCGCTTCAGTTCTCATAATCTGTGAGAAATTGGATCAATTTTGCTTTAGTTTTCAAAGTCAATAGATCGTGGAAGAGGCCCTACTTTCTCTACCTCTTCTGAGAAAACTCGAATGCGCCCGCAAATTTTCAAGTTGTTCGAATACATATACTATGATTCAAGGCTAGCAATATGAAAAGATCACAGTAGCTTCATTCATGAGAGGAAATGAGTGTCTACTACTCACCGAATTCAATATTTGTTTTGCCTCTACGTCTCGTACCAGCGGTCATTACTCCAGTTGAATGACGCGCACTCCTCATCACCCTGATTCTCATGCACATCAGGTCAGAGTACCATTGTAACCACCCTAATCAACGCTCATCTGTCATAGTGGGACAAGCGAAGACGAGACGATATGAAAGCCGTGGTTCGGCGACGTACAAAATGCCGCCGGACGTCACGGAAAGTTACATCCAAGCGTTTCTCCGTTCTAAGCGCGCGCAACGCGACGGCACACCTTGACAAACGCTTCAGACAAAGTTCTGACGAAGCTTTTATGAGTCCGTCTTATGCGCTTCAAATTTGGTGTGGCATGCAGCTACAGGATGGTGTTCGTTGACTCAGCTGGTATGGAGTGTTCATGCTGCCCTGAATCTTATCTGATGGTTTGGTCCTCACGACATGTCCCCTAATTAGCAGAGACATTCATCTCACTTTTCTTGTAGGAAGTCTATTTACACCAGTCTCAACAATCGCGTGCTGAGAATGCTACGGTAAAGCCCTGGCGTTTGAAAACATCGAGATTCTGGCTCCGCTCCATGTTTCTACGCCAAATAGTTACCAGACAGACAGTTAACATAGCTTGGCAAAGGGAGATCATGGGGATCATTAGCCATTAGACAGCTTGGCACTTGCGTTCATCCTGAATATACACTTTTCATCTGGTGTCGCAGGCTTGGCCATCCCATGTCGTGCAGATCTGCTGCGACGCAGCAATGAGTCAGGGATTTGTCCAAGTGTGTTGCTCATTCTGAAGTGGTCGAGACTATACTTCCTGCAGTGAAGGAGTGAATACGCATAGTAGGACAATTAGACAGTAGCGAGTCCGATGTCTCTCAGTCCGGGCTCGTCAGTACTATTCGTCTTGAGGTGGAATTTGATGATATCGTGGCCATCCGCCTAACAGCTCCAGACCGGCAGTTTCATCTTAAAACATCTTGCTCATGATTACTGAAAGTTTCTTCCACTTCGGGACTTTCCATCGGAAAATAAAGTTATTGTTTGCAGTGGTATTCAGGGTGCACCCTCCCAGGACGAGATCCCAATGGTCAGGAACGATGCGTCGTGTGAGCAATATGACTCGGCTCCGGTTGCCAATATAGCTCAACAGCTTGGGAGCAGGGGAAACACCCCGGAATTCACCACGGAATGCTTCGTATTGACGCGTAGGCTTCGTGTTATGGTTATCGAGTAAGGTAAATTGAGTTCAGTCACGAAACTGAAGTTCATCCGCCGTCTGAGAAATTACCGCATCAACTCACTTCTCACGAAAGAGACGGAAAAGTCTCCGATATGTCAGTCTGAAGACTCAAGCAGAGATGAAGGCTTCGACGAACCGAGTATAAGAATGGAGGCTTTCCTCGCCCAAGACCAGTAACCTTCCCTCCTGCATCGCTCACTCTCTCACCTCAATAACGAATCATTACTGTCTTTTCCATTCATCCGGCCGGAATCGGATCTTTCGCTTCAAACACTCGTATTTCCTATTACTTACACATTCAATCACTAAACTAGCCAAAATGCGCTTCGCTTTCGCCTTCCTTCTCTTCTTGATCACCCTCACTGTCGCTCTCCCTGTCGCCAACCCGGCGAGCAAGTCCTCCTCAGACAAGCAGAAGCTCGAGAAGGGAATCAAAGACAACCTCAAAGCTGGAGACAAGGAGATAGCCGCTACCAAGAAGGCTCAGGATGCCGCCAAGAAGAATGACGCAAAGGGCCTTAAGAAGGATGAGAAGGGCATCAAGAGCGCACTGAACGAGGCGACGAAGGACCGCGAGAAGAACCAGAAGATCGCCGGAAACAAGGATCCCAAGCTTACCCAGGGATTGGGAAAGGTTGAAAATGCGCAAAAGGGCGCCAAGAAGACTGTCAACGGTCTGACGGGCGACCCAAAGAAAGACAAGGGATCGTTGGATAAGCTGGATAAGACTTTCAAGAAGGGCAAGAAGGTCAACCAGGACAACCTGAAAGAGGTAAGCATTGCACAATGCAAATTGCGATAACTTTGGAGCTAACTGAAAAAAATAGGCCAAGAAGAACTTCAATTAGTGGGATTAGTTTCTTGTAATGAAGTCAGGATAATTCGACGCCAGGAGGACGCTAGGATTCTCGAGCAGATTATTTGACTGCGGCCAAATCAAATCAACTGGAGCAACATTGAACAGCCTAGGAATCAATAAGAAATCGTCAATTAGCATCTTGTAGTCTCCAATCAGTACGGGTTAAAATCAGCTCATAACGTATCAATGCCTATTCTCTCCTCTTCAGGCAGCCAAAAGTCGTTATTTTTGAGTATTGACAGCTGTGCAACGTTATATCCCAATAGGCGGAAGCAGCGGAACAGAACTGCGTCTCTACGAGATGAGCTTGTAATCAAATCGCATCCGAGAATCGCATGTCAAGTCAGCTGGTAAATGTGGCCGAGGACCGGCCCGAGTCGCCGCAAATTCCCCGCGTTCTTAGCGCCCGCGTCCCCGGTTTATTCCCGGAAGGACCCGTCGAGATGGAGCCCGCCAAACGGCAACATCGCCGAGCAAATTGTCGGGTAGTGGGTCCGAGACCGAATCCGAGGCGGGACGACTGGATCTTTGATCAGAATGGCACAAAAAGCTCCCCTAACTGAGTTGATATCGCCCTCCTATCCAATGAAAAAGGGCGATGACCCCAGTTACTTTCTATTAGGTGGCTAATTGCTTCAAGTACTAGAGACGTGTGATTCGGTTGTTCCACAGCCTTCAATGCTTTCTCCTGTTGGCAAGATAAGGCTACGGGGCACGGATAAACAAATTCTCAGCCCCTTGGACAAGGTTATGTGCCATTAGATTGCACATCCGTTGGCGAGTCAAGGTATGTCGGGGTTTACTTTCCTCTTTTGCGACACAACTTCAAGGGACCGATGCAAATCTCTTGTGAGTCACATTGTCCCTATCAAACCAACAGCAGTAACAAGACGCGCCCATCGTAAAAAATGCCCATCAAAAACCGAAATTCTGTCTTTCTCAATTGGAACAGCTACGTTTTTCAGTTCACCATCAATTGCAGTTACTTCTTTGCCGAAGTATCTTCAACCAGACCACGCTGAAATGCCTGCCAACCCTCCCATCTCGGAGGAGCCACCGAGCCATGCGTCGCAACAAGCTCCTGAAATTGAAGCGAAGCCCGGTAACCTACCTGACGAGGAGTCATCACCAGTCGAAGTACACACAGAAGCTTTCACATATCCCGACGGAGGCACTCAAGCCTGGCTGCAAGTTGTCGCATGCAACATCACCAACCAAATCTCATGGGGCTACCCCTCCTCGTATGGCGCCTATCAAGCCTATTACACTACGACACTAGGACTTCCATCAGCGCAGGTATCATGGGTTGGCTCGGTGCAGATTTTCCTCGCTTTCGGCATATGCGCGTTCTCTGGGCGTCTAGTTGATGCTGGATACGGTAGACATGCGGTCATCACCGGCTCCTTCATGGCCGTGACGGGTACTCTTATGACCAGCTTCTGCACCAAGTACTGGCAGATATTCCTCGCACAAGGACTGTATACCGGAATCGGTATGGGCATTATGTTCATGCCGGGAATTGCCATCGTGGGATCGTACTTCAAAGAGCGGAGAACGTTGGCACTCTCCATAGCCAACGTCGGCACTGGGCTAGGGTCCGTCACGTTTCCCACGCTATTGAACTACACCATCCCCCATGTTGGCTTCGCATGGGCTGTCCGGTGCCAAGCTCTCATGATGCTGGTCCTAGCCATTATTGCTTGTACCCTTCTCAAGCCGCGTCTTGCGCCGAGGAAGAAAGGATCTATCTTAGAATGGGCGGCGTTCAAGGAGCGCTCTTATTCACTGTTCGCCGTCGGGTCGTTCTTTTTCTTCTTGGCACTTTACTTTAGCTTCTTCTACGTAAGCGGGCTATTCTGAGAATTTCGAAGACCGGGAAGCTTATTTTCTTCACAGATCAACACGTTTGCCCAAAAGGCTATCGGTCTGTCGTACACAGAGTCGGTTTCCTTACTTCTGATCCTCAACTCCTCGGGAATTCCCAGCCGTGCTTTAGCCGGTATTCTGGCAGGATATCTGGGTGCCATCCATACATCCATCCTCAGCAACGCTCTAGTGGGCATAATGTACTTCGCATGGATCGGGGTCCGCGATAAGTCCGGACTATATGCGTTGACCGTCATCTTTGGAATTGCGAATGGATTCGCTCAAGGCATCTTCACTCCGGCTTTGGCAAGCCTCACGCAAGATCCGCAGAAGATGGGAGTGCGCTTTGGCATGGTGGCAACAATAGTTGGAGCGGCGTCGTTTGCAGGCCCGCCTATATCAGGAGCGATCGTAGATGCATCGGGCGGAAAGTACATCTGGGCTCAGATTTGGGCGGGTGCGGTAACCTTTCTAGCTTGTCTTTTCCTCATTGCTGCTAGAATTGCAGCTGTTGGGACGACTTGGTCAGCGAAGGTATAAGAATATCACGGTGGACATAATAGTCTCAGATCTCATGAAGCTTTGCATGAATTGAAGATATGAATTCAAGTTAAAAACTTTCAGCGTCTTGAAAGGCATCTCCATGTTATCATATCGTTACTTTCCAGCCCATGCCTTGGTAAGCAACTCCTCCAAAGTAGATACATGAATCTCAGGAAACTGATCATTGAGACGGCCTTCGCGGGACAGCCCGCAGTTGCCACTGACAACCATCAGTCCAAACTCAGCCGTCATCTGCTTCAAAATATGCTCAGGGAAACCGTCTGTGGCATCCATGGAGGACAGCACAGTGGCCTCCCCTCTCTTCAGCTTGTCCACATCGTCATAAATCACCTCGAATTTCGAACCTAAATCCCGGTGAGTACAGTGTTGATATCAGAACTCACGTCAACGTACCGAGAGTCTTTTCGACGAGGGCTATGACTTCGTTGAAAGTGACATCTGACCCGCTCACTGGCGCAGTCTTGGGCCAGGTCTCTTCGTCGAGGAGTCTGACAATGAAGCGAGCGAGGTCGATGCTGTACGTCACAGTGAAAACATCGTTTCCGGATCCCGGAACAACCGCCTTCTTGAGAGACATGTCGATGCCAGGACTGAACGGAGCCAGGTAGCTGTGTACGTGGGGCATGGCCCAGTAGTCCATGAAAACCCCCGCGAATATGCGGGTGTACTGCAGCCCCGACTTCTCAAGGGCGAGCTGGCTGGCCAACCGAAATTGTTCCCCAAATGCCTCTCGGATGTTTCTAAATACAATTAGCTCTAAAATTCGAGCCATTCTAGGGCCTCGGCACGATCTCACTCCTTGTCGATGGGGTTGAAAAACTCGCTTGGGATGAAGCGCTTTGTGACTCGCGACTTGTCGGCGGCAGCAATGAGATTAATCTGAGAGTTACTGGCTTGCTCACTCTCCAAATTCAAGGCCGATATAACAGTCTGGATGCCGTTGTCTTCGAGAAGCTTGGTGAGGGAGTCAACGTCGTCATAACGAACTTGAAGAAACGTAGCGGCGTTGGGGGCTGGGTTCGTAGGAGGCTGAAGTCAAGCTAAGTCAGTTCAAGACTCAACACTGCAATGAACTTGATCAAGTGATGCAACCAAAGATCAGATAAAAATAATAATGCGGGTGATGCAGGCGTTCAACTTGTGTTTCCTTACCTTGCGCCCAAGCACGACGAAGTTGTGCTTCCCACCAAGCTGCAATTGCTCAACGATAGCTCGGCCCACGCCACCGGTTCCTCCTGCGACAGCAATAGTACACATGCTGATTTTTTCCAGAAGAATACTAGAATGAAATAGAAGCTTTCTTCGTGTTACGCCCTTGAAGAGTGATGAAGAGTGAAATGAGACATGTCCCGTCCGAGCCAGTGACGTCTTTATATCTTTGTTCTGCAATTGCAATAACTATTGAACCTATATTTGATCGAGTGTCAATTCAATGAGCAATGACGATGCAAACTCCACGATGCGGACTCTCGGGGCGGATTTCTGTCCCGGAATGGAGCTGCGGAGACGTGGAGACGACTCTTCGGGCTCTGGGACCCGCGGGGTCCAGCCCCGAGGGGCCGTCTGTGAACGGTGTCAGTTTTCGACCGCCGGCCGGCTTCCGCGACAAGTCAGCAAAATTTTGAGTGAAATACATTTGCCGCGCGGATGGTTCCCAGATTCGGTTGTGAGCAGCGAAGCCCATGCAGGGAACGAAAGACATGGGCCAACTTTCCTCCGTCATCAACATCAGCGGAGCCCCTGCTCTCTTCATCTTATCCACCGGACATGTCAGCGGGTGGAAACTCGACCCGGCGTTTTGTCCCTAATTCCGAGTTGCTGATGACAATCTCGGTCACCGTGTGCCTATCTAAAGGAGGGTTTGAGTAGGTGCGGCTGACACAAACGTCCGTCCCATCAAACCGAAAGGCTAAAATGCTGTCCGACTGTTCTGTGTTTAGACCGCGATGTTGCACAGCGGGATATAGAAAGTATGAATTCATTGAATGTTAAAGCTGAGTTTCACAAACGTCAAAAAGGATGAAATGTCTCGAGTGCGGTAAAATCAGAATAGATTTTCTCTTAATGTACCGACCATCTATATGCAAACGCCATGCTATGCTGCCTACCCAGACCCCGCCATGCTATCAACAGACCAGACAAAGAAAAGAAACCCAATGAACCCAATGAAAAGAAACTGTCATCTACATTCCATTTGTGGAGTTAGGAGGTGTAGCCAGCAGCGGCGTCAGCGGCAGTAGCCTCAGCCAGCTTAGCAGTGCCAACGGAGACGGTGGGGATCCAACCCTGGGGGTTGACGTCGGTGCCGGTAGTCGCAATGCTGTCGCCGGTCGAGTTGACACCGATGGTGATGTAACCGACAAGGCCATCCTCGATGCTGTCGCCAAGCAGGGAGACGCTGATGAAAGGGCTGTAGCCATCCTCGCTAGCGCTAGACAGAACAGAGTCCTCGGCGTTGGTGGTGCGGTTCAATGTCTCCAGGTGGGAAGAGTAGGGGCTGACGGCGTAGACCTGGGAAAGGAGGTCCTCCTCGAAGAAGAGCTGACCAACGTGCTGAATGGCGCTCTGGCTGTAGCCAACACCTGAAGAAGCATTGGCTTGGACAGCAACATGGATATGAGTGGAGCGAGAGGTGTAGTAGCCGGGGAACTTGGTAAGGAACTCGATCATGCCGTTAGAGTCCGAGACCTGAACACCGCGGAGGAAAGTCTCGTCATCAGTAGTGCCGTCGGCGCGCTTGCTCCAGCCGTCAAGAAGCTCCGAAGTGTCAGGGTCAATGCCGGTAAAGGAGGCATAAGATCCAGTAGCGTTGCAGTGCCAGATGGAAGCAGAGGCGCCCTCCAGAGGCTCGCAAGTGTTGATGTCCATGATGCCGATGTCGAAGTAGAAGTCAATGCCGGGCTGAGACTCGCGGAGATCGTGGCGGTTCATCTCGCCATCGACGCCATAGGGGCCGAAGATGGTCTCCGGGGCCAGGAGGCAGGTGTTGTTCTGGATACTGGTGTACTGCAGGGTGTTGCGCTTCGACATGCCATGGACGTTGGGGACAAAGTCACCGTTCTCGACGCGGCGCTCGTAGAGGCGCTGGGAGCGCTTGGCGATGATCTCGGCCTTGCGCTTCTCAATGGCAGCGGCGCACTTGTTCGTGGAGCGGCCAGCCAGAGCGGCTTCGCGCTTGGCGTTCTCCTTGGTCAACTTCTCGGGGTGAGCGAAGACCTCGGTGGCGGCCAGGGAGAGGGCGGTGAGAGCGACGGTGGTGAACTTCATCTTTGCGATTGTTTGTGTTAAATGATCGTTGGAGTTGATGAGGCTCAGTTATGTGAATAGCTGGGATTCTGAGAAGAAGACAGTAACGAAGAAGATGAATGATAGAGTGTTGCTGTGAGTGATAGGGTTGGGAAGGTGAGTGTGGCGAGGATGATGAGCTACATGATCCCTTCGTCGTGAAGAAGACCCCTTTACTTATACCAAATCGTCACATCTCGAAGTCGTCATGATCTATGAGGCTCTCTACAACTCAGCCTCTGCCTTACGCCTCCTATCGCATGATCTAGTCTAATTACGAATGCCCCGTAAACCTCGGCGTCGTCCCGATAAAGTGCTGTGGATATGCTGCGGATAGCTTACATGGGCGAAGATTCGTAATAGACCTACGTCTCATTGGCCAGACCAATCTCTCCCTACTACTTGAGGTCCTGGACTACTCCGTAGAACCCAGGAATAGAGTGTGGTAGTAGCTTAGCATGAAAATTCTACGGGTAGAGTAGTAGGGAGCCGGTATAAGCCTCCCGGAAGGTGGGAGGCCAAGCCATCGGGAGGTGGGAGACGGCCCCGCTCCGCGCGACTCAGCCCACCGGGACCGGGCCTAACCCCTACCGGAGCCGAGAATTTGGACCTCGGCGACCACGACGCCTCCATCAACAGCACATCACTGACGCGTTTTCTACGAAAAGCTAATGGTCAAGGGACGGAATTGACGACTCTCCCTACTTTATCCAAAATAGAACCGCCCCTTATGCATGGAATAACATGAAAGGGGCCGCAATGAGACGAACTTTTCACACTTGGGCGTTGTAAACGTCTGATTTCGAGCGTTTGATGGCGTACGACGTGGAGAATGGTTCAGGCTCAGGGTCTTGTAAGTCTGGTCCAGTCTCTGGAGTTGCCGATATGACTGGCAACTTGGCGCCAAGTTGCTCCTCCCGTAGGGCTATGGTCCGGGACTTCGGACTTTCCCTTCCAGAAAACGCAACAGAAGGAAAAGGGCTCGCTTAGCTGTTGAGTAACTCTGATTCGCTCGTTAGTGAATGAACCAGAAAGCTTTGAGATTAGAATCGTGCGGAAAAGCTATTGAACTTGACTATGTCATAGTACTGTTTCCCGATTCAAGCTTCTGCTTGAACCTACAGTCGTTGAACTCTAATAGGAGGTCATGAGCTCAAATTGCGTGACTCGTCTCCTATTTGGTCTTCCATACTTTTCGGTAACGACTCAAGCCTGGCCTATGCTTCTAGTAACATGTAGCAAACATAAACAAGGGCCACGGAGTCATTCAGGGCGTCCAATGGAGTCGGCTACTGTCATTTCTACGGGAAGGATAAAGGCAAACGGCTACTCCATGATTGGCGAATACAATTAGATGCTGGGCTTACCCTTGTCAGCGATCAAACGGACAAGAGTTGCCAAAAAAGTGCTGAGGGTTCGGAGAGCTCCGATGTGGCATGTGGGCGACGAGTGGGAACTAGCATCCACGTACCGATGACCAGGTTCAAAAGTGGGTTATTATGTAGAGAAGCACAGTGATAGAGATTACAACTTCAATCTGACTTGTTACTTGGAAACAAGGCAATGGAACAAATTATCAATGTATCTCAAATCACGGGTGCATGTCGCGGAGATCTTATTTTGGAAGAAAAAATAGAGTTGAATAAGCAGAACTGAGCTAGTGTCTACTATAAGAAGAAAAGGATTGTACTCTGATGGCAGGTGGCCATCCAATTAGCTGCCCACCAGGGGTCTTAAGCCATCAGATTCTTGGGTCATTCCGACCTCTTAAGAGGAGAACTCAACCTCGCGCTTGGCAGCAGGAGCCGCGGCAGGAGCAGCGCCGCTAGCGGGGATCTGGATAGCCATAACACCACCGAAGGGGCCGGCGCCGTTGTTGTTGGCGATCTTGACCAGGCAGACGTTCTGCATGTTGCCGGAGGTACCGGTGCACTGGGTACCATCGGGCACGGAGAAGGCCATGGGCTGTGAGATACGCGTGTTAGTCGATGGTGATGATGAAGCAGAATGTGGGTCTTTCGACTTACGAAGTCCTTGTTGACGTTGGCGGCACGCTTGAAGATGGCACGCTCCAAGAGGTCGCGAGCGTTCTTCTTGCCGGGGACCTGGCCGTTGGGCCTGATGTTTCCGTTGTTGCCCGGGACGTTCTGGGTGGCGGTGAGCTCAACACCGTTGGCGAAGTTTCCGGTGCCGGTGGGGTCGAGGACGGCACGGAGGGGGCCGGCACCGTCGGTGGTGACGACGTGGAAGGTTCCGGAGATGCTGCCACCAGTGGAGGAGACCTGGGGAAGGGTTCCACCGGACATCTGGTTGGCGGCGTCGATGTCGGCAACCTGGACCTTGCCGTTGCCAGTGGTGCGGCCGAGACCGTCGGTCATGATGTTCTTGCTCTTGAAGACGGTGGTATCTACTTCGGTCTGTAGTAGTCGGCGGTTAGCATGATCCTTTTGAGCATGATTTGAGGTGAACTGACCTTCTTGTTGGGACCGGTCAAAGGAACGACGCCACCCTGGTTAGCCAGAGCAGTGCCGTTGCCGCCGAGGTTGCCAGTCAGGACAACAGGCTTGCCGTGGGCAGCGACCAGGGGGGCAGCAGCCAGAGCGAAGATGATAGCCTTGGAAACCATTTTGATTTGTCGTCGAAAGAAGGGTTTTGAGGTGATTTGAGTTGATTAACGCGGAGGGAAAAAATGTGGATGGCGATTAGAGTGGTTTGAGATTGAAAATTGGAAGCGACGGGAATCAGACGCACGAATCAATCGGCGAGTAGAAGATGAAAGTAGTAATAGAAGAGAAAAAAAGAAGAAGTAGACACTGCTGAAGAACAAAAGAAGAATTAGGATTTAGGGCGGATGATCGTGAGATCTTTATACTCGAGTTAAAATGATGTCTACCGTAGTCTGGGGGAATGTTTGTACGCCAAGGCCAAGACTCGCGACCCGAAGGCTTACTGCTCCGCGGCTCGACATGCCGATCCATGAACCCTTCACCCTTCACCCTTGATTGAAGAAAAGCCCGATGAGTCCTTTCAAACGCGACTTTCCCAATGAGGCCAGGGACGAAGTGGCAGTCCCATCACGTCTGAAGCACGTGAAACGTCGCGAGATCTTCACCATTGCTAGCCCTGCGGCGGGCAGCTGGTGGGGGGGAGGGGCGCCGGGCGGCGGTTGAATGCGTGTAAGTCCGTCCCAATATCGACAAGGCTTCGGGCGATATCCGTGGCTTTCAACGGTGGTCATCGATGTAAGCGCCGCTAGACCAAGGCAAAACCTGCCGTTTACGGGGCCTACCTTACTGTAGATCCTTCAGCTACATGTAGCACAGCACGTCAAACATAGCTTATCCGTGTGTCTTGAGCAAGTCGACTTGGCTGTTGGCGAATGAAAGAACTTTCCGAGTTGCGGCGAGTAATTGTGAAGGCATGATTTTAAGATTATTGATAATCATATTTTAGCACATCCATGTTTCTCTTCTCTTTCTTGACCTTAAGTTAAGAGAGGTACTATGAAGCTGGCAGCGTTCTAGTCAGTAATTGCGACTAAACCCCGCGCGTGGAAACTCTCCTGTTGGAGTTGACACGCGCCGAAGTCATGACCGAACGAACCCCAACAAATCAGCCCAAAAGCCACAAACCCCTTCAGAATCTCTCCTCGGTTTCCGAACTGCTGCGCTCTGACCAAATAATTTCCCCGAGGAACCGTCTGCCGTCGGCACTGTCATCCATCATCGTGTCTATTGCCGCCAGCGGCTGCCGTCCCCACCACCAAAAAGGACGATCTTGAAACGCATGCTGGGCCACGTTCTGAAGTGGAAAACCGTCCTCGGGGCGCGCGCGCTGCTGGCCCTGGACGCATATTGTTTCACTTGCCAAGAAGACCAGCAGCCCCTCTTTCCCCCCCTCCCCATTCAGGAGGACCTGCGGCTCAATTGGCCGCCAGATCTGGCACATTCGCAGAGATGAGATGAAGCTGAAGGGCATGGTGGGAAAAGAACGAAGGGAAGATGCGACGCATGACGGCCAGAGCTATTGGACGACACTGACACGCGCGTGTCATCTGTCATCTGTTGCCTGTCATCCGTCATGCTCGAACCTACGCCCTGCGTGTTCGCTTCTTTCGCGCTGAACCTCTGCAGCCAGCGGGTAACCCTGCCAATCGCAACAGATGGACGGCTTTTCCGCGGCGTCTGAGTAGTTACTAGGTCTGAACTGTTGAGACCGAGACTGGCGATGGCGATGGCGATGAGACCAAGCTCAGACCAGATGACGGTGCTGAGAGCTGTCAAACCCGGGTGATTTTGCCCTGGTTGTTTTCTCGGTATTTCGCCAAGGCACTTGACATGCCAAGGTATTCGGCAGCAAACACGTTCTCGCTCTACGGGTGCGCTAAGAGATTTCGATGGAAATGGCGAAAGCTTGTCGTGCAGTACGGATCTGATCTGCCATATTGAAGAGATTTTCACCAAATTCACTTGATCGACGTCGATCTCCCAAGAAACGATGGCCACTTCCGTCGGTTATGCTACCGAATCTAACGACTTCCCTTCTGCAAATCCGGAGACGAGCCCCAGGGAAATCGGCAACTTGAAGCATGTGGGAAACCAGGCTAGCGTAAGACGCATCCTCAATGGCCGGAAACCGGCATTACCCCTGTCGGTTCAGGGACCGACTCGGCCCCTGGCGAGTCGAGCAGACCAGGATGTATGCACGAGGTTTGTCAGAAAACTCCCCATCCACTCTCATGTCTCAAAGCAACCATACATCATGGATTCAGGAGACCAACTGCTCAAGTAAAGGACACGATGCCTCAAACGAGGACGTCAGATCGCTCTGCCACACTACGTTCCACAATATCTATCGAATCATCAGCATGACAGTCATCTCCACCACATCCAAAAAGGCAAAATTATCCAAAGGCAAGGGCTATGGATGCTGAGAAGCATTGGGGTGGCATTTCTCGAGATTCCAGAAAGTGTTGACTCTCAACGCCCCCTTGCGAACGGTGATGGCCTCCCGTGTCCAGTCTAGAGATCTGCTAGTATTTCCTTCCTTGTAGCTATCCCTGCTACATCACCTATTGTCCTTGTTATCCCCAGCCACTTAAGAACTCAGCTGTGAGCAACAACTGTGAGGTGGTGTAGGTCATTCTTCTCCATGCATGCATCAGTGAAGGCCTAGTTTCAATCATCTGTCTGAAGGGGCAAATAAGACGCCCTCGCGCCAAGTACAGGAAACCAAATAAGAATATACTGGACTTCAACGCCTTCATTTCAAGCAAAAATTTGAAGTTGCACCTTATACTGACGCTGAACAGTAAGCTTGGCGCACAATCGCATATCGATGGTTTTTGGTCAAGCCGTCTGGTGTCTGCCACGCAAAGGCCCTGAATAACTTTATGATTCACAGCTTCCAAAAGCCTAAATATCTACTTGCAATACATCTTCTCAAAACTATCACACTCTCACCTTATTGACACAAATAGCCCCCCTCCCAAGTCACATGAACTTCTTCAAACCTTCTTTCGTCCATCCTAAATTCTTTTCATTGTCCTGGCTGTCTAGACTGCTAAGTGAGCCGCCCTAGTGATCCGCCTTCATGGAAAGAGTCATATCGCACTGTCACCAGACGATGGGACGATAATGAGAACGACGGCTTCCTACGTCCATGCAGCGCTTCAACTTTCGGGAAGCATACACCACGTTGCGCTCTTTCAGACCTCATACACTGGTGTAGTGTTCGAGTCCGTATCTCATTTCTCATGTTCCCATCGACGCAGTTTGGGGCTTCTTTGTCTTCAATGGGAAATGCGGGAATCTCAAACTTAGTTTGACCCCGTATCGCTGTACATTGAACCAGATAGTCTGGGGCGCAAGGCCCACAGAAAAGTAGGGGAAATAGGTATCATTCGACTTATCAAGTTTGCTGTAAACACTTCAGATGATTATTGTTGCCTCGGTAATTTTGACCAAAAGTAAAAAGGAGTAAGTTCACATCATGTGCTGGCTTCGTTTTTGATTACCGCAGCAAGTATTCCTTATTAATTGGGAGATAATTATGCTCTGTTGAATGCTGGATCTGCACCCGCTTTACACTTAATCCCAATACCGATTCTGTGGTCAATGTTGTGTACGATATAGGTTTCTGCTGCAAACTTCGAAGTGATTTCTCGTATAACACTCAATATCACAACTTAGACTTAACGTCCTCTTCTCGCCCTTGAAGATTTGGGTGAGGCACTCTGACAGGACGAGTAACCGCGTAGAAAGCGAGCCCTTCGGACTTGGTGGAGAACTAGAAACATTGCAATATGAGCATGCTGCTGCTGGAGAACCGAAAACCACAAGACGGGTGTTGACCAACCTTGACCTTGGATCCGACGTGGAAAAAAGCGAAGTCTCCCGGTACGAGATGATGAGTAATACCAGTAGCTTCATCCTATCATAGCGACCGTCAGAATGATACAACAAAGATATCTGTTAGGGATTAAAACTAACCAAAATGTCGATTTGACCACTGAGAACGTATTTGGTCTCCTCGAACGTATAATGGGCTGGTCGAGCAGGCCCAGCAACGATCTTGTAGAAACCTGAGGTGAAGTGAGAGGGAGAGTCGGCGGTCTTCGTTTGAATGCTGTGGATATATGAGACGAGACACCCGATGAAGGCCGCGTAATCACTTACGAGTGGAAGTCGGCGACAGTTGCATTCTCGCCCGCAGGGAGCGGGATAAACTCGTGGCCCGCGCCTTTGATGATAGTCAGAGGAACAAGGTTGGACACTAATGAGACGAAGTCGAAAGTGAGGTTAGTATGTCTATATCACTACAGCAAGTAGTTCTCTTGTCATATACATCCTGCCTGTTCCTGGGTGTCGACGGATGGTTGAAGGGGGGCTCACTTTTCATAAGCTTTTCGAAAACTTCCATAGAACTGAAGCACAGCGTCTGGTTATTCACCGCCGGAGAAAAGGTAGCACCTCCTGATCAAGTACACCGCCCCTATTTATCAATTCTTAGATTTATTCGGCTGCACTTCCGAGACACAGTTCGGGCCATTCTCGGAGAGTTTGGAGAGTTGGTGATACCCGTGTCGGATCGCGACCCGGCGGGCTTCTCCATCCCGGTCAAGGTACCTACGGGTAGATGATTCGCTACCACGACAGCGCCACTAGAGGAATCGCAGACGCAAAACTGCTGAACCGAGCTCTTTCAAGCGTGTCGCTTGTCTGTAAACTCCGAACTGCCGAAAAACAATCAGCGTGCTTGGTTCTTTCGTACCAGATTCGGCTCGGTCCGAATCCGGCTGGCCCTCCTTGTCATAATACCATCAATCTTTCGATGTTCTCCGTGGCGCAACCTTGCCATGTCATGAACCAAGATATTGGCTTCGAAAATTTGCCTTTATCCGTCGTTGTTCTTGGGGCAGGCCACGCCACTTCATGATTTCAACCCGAAATTCTCGTGGATAGACCTGAATACTAGCATGCTGGATGCACGGACCCGATTCCTCTCCTCAACGAGAACTGACGGGTAGAGGACCGACCCGGGCATTAAAGCCGCTTCCGTGTCCTGGCCGGATCCGCGGATGGAAGCGGGGAATGCCGAAACAGAGGAAGTGACGAGCTTCTCAATGCACAGGAAGAGCCGTCGATTTTGTTCTTGTTCTTGAATACTTCGGCTCACTCAATAAATCAGCGGTCTGGACTCGGTCGCAAACGCGGTATCTTGTGAGACAGCTCGGCCCCTCAAGCAAAGCATCAACTCCATGTCTTCTGCTCAATTCAACGTGCCAACCTTCCGGTGACTCTGAATGCAACGATAGCAACATCTTTTCACTCCTTGGAAACGGTTGAAAACCGCGGTTCCAATCCAAGTGGGTGTCTACGTAAGCCACGCCAAGACTTCAGCTGTGCCGCTGCATTCTTTCAAGGAAGCTGAAATGGGAAGTCTCTGCGATTCGTCAGTGATTGACCGATAGCACTGTTTTTCTTCGTCTCCTGTCTCTGCGACAGGCATAATCTGTGGTCCATATTCACCCAAAGTTGCTTAGCATTCTGTACCCAAGAGAATGAACTTGCCATTTCATTCGTTCGGATCATCCGGTAGCCCCCCCGAAATGCAGAACAACTCCTCCTGAGTGCCAAGGGTCTAGATTCACTAATGAGGCATGGTATGATATCTTGAACGGCGGGGTAACAGCGTTTCCATTCTTTCCCAGTATTGAGTGAACAGTGTTGCATCTTTTTTCCTTCATCCTCGACTCTTACTTCACTCCGGTCGCACATCGGAGCTGACCCTCGTCAACCTACGTTACCAAGAAAGTAGCGTTGAGCAATGCAAGACACGGAGCAAAACACACCGGAGGCAACAGGCTCTGCGCCCGCCGGACCTATTGCGATAGAGCCTGCGACAGGAAACTCGCCTGATGTCGGTACTGAACCCGTGAGCAGCCCTGAAACGCATTTTTGGAGAACGGTGACGAAAGTCAATTCAATATTGGCCTCAATGCGCAATGCTGAAAGAAAAATGCCACACAGAACCTGAACGACGATGAGCTCGATTCCCTGGCTGGCACAGAGAGGTAAAGCGAACCCGAGACTTCTTGGTCGTTGAAACTGATCAGTATTCTCAAGCGACGGCACAAACTCGACCGCTTCATTGGCAGAGAGCATCTCCGAGTACCGCAGAATCCATGGGCGTACTTATACGCAGAAGACCGACTACTGGGGTCCGAATGACGAGCAACAAAACGAAGGGCTTGAGCTCGAGTTAGTGCTGAAAGCCTCTCTCAACATAGACTTCTGGTCAGCTGACGGGAAATGATAAGGCACTATTGGGAGACTCTGCTGCTCGGCGATAAACTCTTTCTCGCCCCTCTTCGCGAAAACCCCGGGGTGCTTAGGAAGTCTTGCTCCCACAGACGTTCAATAACTAACGAAAAATGCAGAAGGTTCTCGACGTTGGCACTGGAACTGGCATTTGGGCTATGTAGGTTTTGCATTGCCTGCCACTGCAATCCACAAGGTTGAGGTCACAAATTTGTTGAAGCTGATCACCTTAGCAGAGACTTTGCAGACGAATTTCCAGCTTCTGATGTGATAGGTGTCGATATTTCACCAATTCAGCCCAGCTGGGTGCCACCCAATTGCAGATTCCAATTCGACGATGTTGAGAAGCCGTGGACGTGGTCCCCTGACTTCGACTTCATTCACCTTCGCCACATGGAGGCCTGTATCTCAGACTGGCCGGCCTTCTACGACCAGATTTACGCACATCTGAAGCCAGGTGGCTATTTCGAAATGAAGGATTTCGATATTGAGTTCCGCTCCCAGGCATACGGGGATGACCTTCCGGAAGACCATATTTACCGCAGATGGGGCAAGGTTTTCTTTGAGGCCGCCAACCGGCTCGGCAAGTCGATGGATCAGTCACGAGGCAACCACAAGATTGCAGACTCTTTGAGAGCAGCAGGATTTGTAGATGTTGTCGAGAAAACATGGTCTGTTCCCATTGGAGGCTGGGCGAAAGACCCCGTTCTCAAAGAGATTGGTCAGTGTAATTTGGAGTTCCATGACGAATCTCTTGAGGGATTCTCCATGTTTCTGTTGACTCAGGTGATGGGATGGGAGAGGATACCAGCCGCAGTCTTCGTCGCCGAGTGTCGCAAGGCTCTCAAAGACCCTGAACTTCGAACGGTCATATTATTGTAAGTCACGTTGCCCTGTTGATGATCTGAGACGAGACTACCATTGTGTATTGATCGAAAGCTCATCTGAAATAGGCAAGATGTCTACGGACGCAAGCCGGGGAACTCAGAGTAGGCTGTGCTTAGCATCATCGTGTAGTCTCAGTAGTGCAATACGAGAAACCGTGCGCTTAATTTGCAATGTCGAAGTTTCATCAAGATCAATCCTTCTGCGCTTGAGACATGTGAATCGCTTGGCCATCAAGCACGTTATCTCTGCTTTGTTGCGATTGACTCACTCTGGGGAATGCCAGGATGCTCCATGGCAATTTGCAACGCCCCAATGGTAGCTGGCCAGCATGGAGGGACAGGTGTGTCGTCACTGGGATGCCTAGGAAAGAGACCTGTAGTTTTAGTTTTATCATAATCAAAGTCTTAATAGTTATATAGGTTTATAAGTACTCTCTATATTACTATCCTATTCCTAGTTAAATTATCAAGGAAAGCTTACTTATAAAACTAGAAAAAGCTCTAGAAGTAACTCCTAGTGCTCTCTATATCCTCCTATTAAATAAATTTCGCAGCTTCCAGTTGCTCTATAGGCTTGTCAAGGTCAGGCCTAACACTATACCTGGAGTTGCTGCCGTTCACCTCCCCAAAACTGTCTGCGAGCCACCGCTTCATTCTTGGTGCATCATCCATCCATTCCTCAGGGAACCAACCAGCAAACCCTTGAAGCTTCTTGACGCTGAACCGGGTGTAAGGGTGAGGTGGCTTTGAGAACTTCTCATAGAAGTTAACCGGATTCTTGCGTTTGGAATCAACGACAGCCTTGCGGTAGTCAATGAGAGTGACTCGAATTTGTCCTCGTTCGCGGGGTCGTGCAGGATGTCGGTACTCGGAGAGCAGTACGTGCTCTGGGTTCAGGAATCGTGGTTCAACACCTGCCTTCATCTGACTGACAATGCCGTCGAGGAGCTGTGCAAGGATTTTCAATCGGTCGTTCCTTTCCATGCGTGTCCAGTTGCCCGGCTTGTCGCTCTTGAAAATAGGCATGAAAGTCCTGGGCATCAAAATGCCGTCCTCGTCCATCTCGCATTGCGATCCCATAGTCTTTCCGTCGATGTATTCCATGAGAATTGCGCCGACGACTCTGGACTTGTCCTTTAGGTCGGGATTGAAGGTGTGCAGCTTGATGGTAAAAGCACCGTAGTACTTCGGCGCAAGATGTGGATAGCCATCGCAATTCCCCACGTGAAGCGTTTCGTACGCTGCTGCTTCACAACAGAGCTCCATGTCGGCTCTTGCAGTTTCCCTCCAGGGACCTTCGCCTAAAGAATACTCCCAAGGGTAGAACATCGGGTCGAAAACTTTCATGACCACACGTTCAGGTAGCCTGTCATTCTTCTTGGTTTGACACAAGAGTATCACAGGGCCGCCGTCCGAGCTACCGGCGAGGAGCTTCTCAATATTGAGTTCGTAGTTGTTTTCTTTGACGCTCTGCTTGTTGGGAATGTAAGCAGTCGGGACGTAATCAAAGACCACTTCTGTTCGCGAACGGTCGTCGTCGTCATCCTCGTAAGTCATTTTGGCGGGGTCGAGATCGATGAGAAAGTCGTAAAGAGCAGTGCCATAAGGACCAAGTGGCAAATGAGTGGTAAGGAGGAGACGATGACCTTCCGCGTACTGAGATTCGAAGTCTTGCTCAATGTAGTCGTCGAGAATGCCGGTGCAAGTCTCAGTAGATGGCTCTTCTGCCGCTTTCGCCTCCCTCGCCAACTGCTCGAGCGCGACTCTGTTAGATTCCTGGATGATGGCACCTATTCGCACGTTTTCTCTTTCTTCCTCTTCTACCCGCTTCAGAAGTTCCGGATCGAGTGGTGGGATTTTGCAATCAGCGTCTTCGGCTCGCTGAGCCTCGAGGCTAGCTTGAATAGGCTGATTCATGGGTGGAGTAATTGGTGCGTGTTCGGATTTTCGCGTTGACCATGGCAAGTCAAAGAATACCAATAGTGAGTGCTACGAGGTGGTGATGTACGGCGTGCAATTTTGAGAATTGATTGTCCTACGGATTTATAAACACAGAGGAGACATAGTTATGGCTTGCAGACCGAAAGTCAGTTTGTCCTTAAGACGAACCTTGCGGGCTGATAGGTGCGTCAAAGCACGGGATCTCTACCAAGTTTTGACTCCGCCACCGGCCACCTTTTAGGAACATTAACCGAATGAAATAAGCTTGAGAATGGTGAATGAAATATCTCCCTCGTGCTCCCAGCAGCTGAGTGGCTACGTTGAGATTTCTAAAAGTTTTATTATTTCAGAATATTGAATGTTAGGTGTGTACTCGTTGGGTATGGCGAACCAGAACAATAAGGGTTGGTGGCTGCATTGTATTATTGCATAGAATATTGAATTAGTTGACATTTCTAAACACCATAAACACAACATATTTTGGAAAAACCAGCACCATCATACTCAGCTGGCGAAGAGAAGGTAGCATTTACCTAAATCTTTGACTGTAGACCTATAATGAACGGTCGGGAAATTTGTAGGAATACGCATTCAATCACCCAGTCTTCTTATGTAAGGCGGAGAACCGTTCGAAACCCTTGAGAATTTCCTACAACCTATTCATGATACCTTCCGCGAGAAGACCAGTCGTCACTCATGCTATCCATGTTCTCAACTGTGGTCAGAAAGAATAAAGCCCGTACTAGTAAGCTTCCAGGCATCCTTGGTAGGTTCCTGCGTTCTATCGCGCGATGAACTGCGATTGATGCCCTTAAATGTACGCAGTGCACCTCAGGCACTAAGCGGGTACATTTGATTGGCCTAATGGCTGCATGTTTGCTGTTCCCGGTACCAACGGCCGCTCAGCGAACCTGCCCAGAATGAATGTTTGCCCGGGTATCGGGCAGGGGTTGATTGGTGAAGGATTCGCCGGGCAGAACCAACGGAGTTGCGCCGACAAATATAATAGGCGCGGGCGCTGCCCTTCACCTCGAATAGCCCCCTCTTCTCCGTATTCAATTCATTAGCTGCGAGGCACTCAAAAATCGACGGACTCCCTTCGCATACGACCTTGAAGCCGGGAAACAGGCTTGGGAATGACTAGCTCAAATGATGCACAAAGGTATTCTCCAACATGGGATTCAGATTCGCTAGCAACGATGGAATCCGTGAGTATGAACGAAGCGCCTGAGTTGTTTGAGGTGGATCCCACTGAAGATGTTCGTGATGGTCCCACTGCCACTGACTGAGTGTACCTTCATGCTAATCACCTACACCACAGCGAGAAGACATTGATTCATTAATGGATGATCAAATGTAGGGTTTCGATGTGTTTTATCATGAGCCTCTATAATAACTCCAACTTTTTACACAGATCTCGATACACTAGGTCGATGACCTCAAGCGCGCTGGACTACCCAACCGAGAATGGTCGACGGTATCATGCGTTTCGAGCGGGCTGTAAGGAGTTCTCTTGGCCTCAACTGCCCACCAATGTACCATCCGTTTTACCATAACTAACGACCAAGCAGCGTATTTTGCTCCGAATGATGAGGTATAGTTTTACGCAAATACAAACCAGGTTCAACTGACTTAACATATTGATTCCTGAAATAGAAGGAGGTGGATCGTCTTGACTTCAACCACATGTTGATGGTGAAGACCCTTGGCGGGAGGCTCTTTTTGGCTCCAGTGCCGATTCCACAAACCCACAGAGTCCTTGATATCGGTACAGGCACTGGCATTTGTATGGCGACCATTCATATCGCAATCCTGGGCGACCACTGATTCAGTCTGATAGGGCCTATCGAAGCGGCAGAGATATTTTCCCACGCAGAGGTACGCATAATGTCGCGTTCTCTTCCCACGACAATATATTGAGGGCATGTGTTGGGGCTGATTGTTTGATACGTATATTTAGATTATAGGAAACGATCTGAGCGCCATTCAACCACTGTGGTATATTACGGACCAGAAAGGTTTACGCAAATGGTTGACTAACAGACAAGAAGGATTCCACCGAACATCAAATTCGAGATTGACGATGTCGAAAGCGACTGGCATTACTCAGAAAAATTCGACTTCGTCTTTTGCCGCTACATGGCAGGCTCACTCGGAAACTGGCCAAGATTACTAGAGAACATATATGAGTAAGCTCCATCTTTTTGATGTTTGATGGCATATCTGACCATTCCAAGGAACACCACTCCTGGTGGCTGGGTTGAGTTCCAGGACTATGATCTTTTGTATGCTTCGGATGACGGTTCCGTCACCGACGCACACCAAACAATGAGGTGGGACAAGCTTTTTATCCAGGCATGTAAGTCTATTGGCCGTGAAGCCTGCCCCGGTCCGATGCTCGAGGGCTGGGTAAAGAATGCTGGTTTCGCCAATGTCACCCACAAGCGATTCAAAATGCCCATTGGTCCTTGGTGCAAAGACCCATACTATAAGGAAATTGGTTGGATCAATTTGATTCAGGTCTTGAGAGGCTTAGAGGCTTTTACGTTGAGAATCTTCTGCGGCGTGCTCGGATGGAGCCAAGAGGATGTTATGGCCCTCCTCGATGCAGTGCGTCAGGAGCTCAAGTCAGGAAGTCTCCACGTGTATAACAATTTGTAAGGTTTCCTTCAGAAAGAAGTTGGAAACTAATTACTAACGAAGTTTCCCTGCAGTCATGTGGTATATGCACAAAAGCCTGATGGCCGGGCTAATGCGTAATAAACATACGTTCTTCGTTCTATTTTGCGAGTTGTAGAAAGATACCGATTAAACTACTGTCGAAATAGATATTGCACATCGTCAGATTTCATGGCCGCGGACACTGCTTCGCCAGAACCGGCTCTTATTATCATGAGGCCTGTTCTATTGTCTTCGGTGGCGGATTGGGACCTTGATCTGCTTAGCCACGTTACATGGAGCAGTAGAAGCAGATCATCCAACTGCGCAAGCTTTCAAAATATTGTTGCATACATTAAGTTGACGGTCCAAGGCCTCGGACTTCCGGAACCCCGCGATGTTGATGCGGGGTCTCCAGCCAAGATCATCGACATGCGTATTGAAACGCGGGGAAAGGACACAAGCCACCATTAGCCTGCTTTCTAAAAAGCCGAATCCCGCATTTCCGAGCGTTCAGACCTTTTCTTCATCTATATAGATCACTCAGATCCTTCGTCGCTTATGAGCCTGGCGCTCAAACACATTCGGTACGATGACCTTGGGATGTCTACCGGCCTGTCTGCACCAACCAACAAGTTCAAAAAATGCTCGAGCCGACCGTTCTGATCGTAGGTGCCGGGACCTTCGGAACATCCGCTGCCTATCACCTTGCGAAGACCTATAATGACCCCAGCCGAGTGACGGTGGTAGATCGTTGGGATCCATCTTCTCGCGAACCCAAAACAGCAGCCGCCATTGACGTCAACCGCATTATCCGCACAGACTACGTTAACCCTCTTTACTGCAATCTCGCCAATGAGGCCATCCACCCGTGGTTTTGGGACGTTGACTTGGGGCACTTTTTTCACAAGTCGGGATGGGTGGTACTCGACGAGAAAGGCAACGATTTCAGTCGGAACGTGCGCCGCACATTCCAGCAGCGAGGATCCGATTACACGAAGGACGTCGATGTTCAAAGTCTTGGGAAACGTTGGGAAGCCCTGGATGGAATCCAAACTAAAGATCTAGGCGACGCTTACTTCAACCCCGAGGCTGGGTGGTGTGACGCTGCTTCAGCAACTGCGAGGTTTATGTCAGTTGCTGAAAGGAAGGGTGTGAAAAGAGTGACGGCCGAAATCAAGGAATTGGAATTCGACAGGAGCCAGAGACGGGTGGTGGGTCTACGCACCGCAGATGGACAAATATTGAAAGCCGACAAGATTGTCCTAGCATCGGGTGCCTGGACAAGCAAATTGCTCACACCAATCGAAGACGCCCTGCGTCTTGCAGAAGAACAACGAATCGAACGCCAGATCAGGGCTGTGGGAAGGCTCTCGGCATATTACACTCTTTCACCGCACGAAACGTCTCGTATGTGCGAGGCCGACGTACCAATTCTTGTTTACGGAGATCGAGGCATATTGACACCTCCGTCACAGGAGAATCGGACACTGAAGATCAACGACCTCAGAACGGAGTTTGTCAACACCGTTAACACGGCTTCTGGACGTGCGATTTCCGTTCCCTCTACCCGTAACCAGCACGATGTTCCGGAGAAACTGAAGCTCGAAATGGAAGATCTTCTAAGAGCGATGATCCCCGCAATTGCTTCAACCAGGAAACCCGATCGATGGAGGGTTTGTTGGGATGCGGTGACTCCGACCGGTGACTGGCTTTTGTGCAGGCACCCGTACCCTCAACTCGAGAACGTCCACATCGCTGTTGGAGGAAATTTCAGCAGCTATAAGTCAGTATTCAGAGCTTCGCACAGTTACAAAGAGAGACAAACTAAGAGTGCTTTGGCAACAGATTCATGCCAATAGCAGGCAAATATATATCCAACGTTCTTCAAGGGAAGAGCAACGGTCCAGAAAAGGATGGAGCTTGGGGTTGGAAGAGCGAAGAGCATCTCGCACTTGGAAATAGTCTGAAAAGGGAATTAGGCAGTAGATGTCTATCAGGTACCCTCTCAGAGTTCAGAAGTTTTGAGGAACTGACAAGGGAGGCTAAATTGTGATGTATCTCGACTTGTTCGCAAAAAGCAATGGAAGGTATTGACTGATTTAGAAGTATCACCACAGAACGAATTGTTTTCATTTGTGATAATCAAAATCTGGTCTCTGAAATGTCTCGCTAGCCCGACTTTTCGACTCTTGGAATACGTGGTTTGCCTCAACCTAGCCCCCCTTACTTACTTCAGCAGTCCACCTGCGCAAATGCGCGATTTTTAAACTCAATTTGACTCAGTAGTCTTACTTGTCAGGGGTTTCTGACCGTATACAACATGACTGTATGATGGTTAGATGTATGCCGATACAGCACTATTGAAAGGAAGATAAACACTCACATGTCAAATTGACAATGGAATACGCCGCTCTTAAGCTCTTGACGGACAGCCGCTATTTGTTTCAAAACATCTTCTTTTGTTCGCCCGAGAACGCCACAGAACATCCTCAATGAGAAGCCTTCAAGCCCATCAAGAGTCTGGATGAGGTTCAGCATGCCCAGCTCTTTAAGGAATTTCTCCCTTGGCCAAGGCCCGACGGGTGCCTTATACTTGCGATGGAACACTTTGTCGAATCCCCCGTGGTTTCGGACCCAACCATCAAGCTTCGGGCCTGGGGCAGGATCCAAGCCCATGTTGGCAAGGGTTGTCACAAATGTCTTGCTCCAGATTTTAGTGGCATGGTCTTCTGTCAGACTTCCATCGTCTGAGTAGAGCTCGATATCCATATCCTGGAACTCTGCCCAACCCCCGGGCTTCAGGTTGCTTGAGCAGCGCGTCAGAAGTGGAAAGGGAAGGTCCGACTTAGAAAGAACGCTGTACGTACTCGTGAATATTTTTAACCAGACCTGGCCAATCTTTGATTGCAGCGGCCATGTATCGGCACATGATGTAATCGTACTTTTGATTCCCAACCCAAGGGCTTTCCACATCATCGATCTCAAAGGTGACGTTGGTTGGCACCCTGGAGAAGTCGTTCAGTACCAGTTCTACTGCATGATTGGGGAACAGACTATGCATACCAGGCGGGTTGAATCGCACTCAAGTCGTTTCCGATGACCTTTCCAGATTCATATCAGCATGCTTTCCCCAGTACTTTGTGTGGCATAGATCCATTAATACTCACCTTTGCGTCTGGGAAAACGCTGCCCATTTCAATGGCCCCTTAAAACTGTCAGTCTACAGGGCATTGGGTAGCAAATGTAGTAATTTACATTTGCCGGTGCCGGTCCCTATGTCAAGGATTCGTAGAACCTTGTCTCTCTGTATCGGGGCCAAGAAGAGTCTGCTGCCGATGAGCCTGACGATCAGCTCGTGTGCCATGTCAAGACGCTGCGATTCGATGTCGTCATTCGGTAATGGGTACGCTGCAAGCGTTAGAAGTAGACTTTGGAACAGACCTGCTGCTTGTTCCAGCATTCAGGTCTCGGAACACATACTTCCTGGGCGAAAGGCATGATAGCGTCTGCCATACTCCTCGGGGTAGTCGATGACACTTGAAGACAAAGAAGCGGTGTAGTTGGACCTAGATTATCAACTCATCAATTCGTTCAGGCCCCGCGAGGGAATTTCGATCCTTACATTCGCTCATCAATGGATGATGAATCATTGTGGTTCTGGGGAATATCAGCAACTAGGATCATACCTGAGACCACTTTTAGTCCCGGATTGAGACTGACAGTCAGTTCTTCATCAATCTCCAGAGGCGGCTCGTCCATCTCTCTTGAAACATGATTATGGTCCATTGTTGAGTTCCACTGTTGTTGTTCGCACCACTCTGTTTGTTTCGCTTGAAAATGGAAAACGAAGAAACGAACTTGCCGAGGAAGTCTTTTGACCCATGGTCTGACTGAGAGCGGGGTTGTCTCGCTTGGCTTGTTGGATCTCATCGGTGCATGTTTGTTGGTGCGTCTATGCATCCGTATGCACGCTTCGGGGCATGCCGGGCATGCAAACCATTTAGAGCGAGCTATATGGGCCACTTTCACTGACATCCTGGGAAGGTAGGCCGTTACGGTCAATGCATGTCGATTAGCTGGGTTTCTCTGTTACATTTCATCATCAGCAGTGTGTAGAAGGATTGTTGTCCGGAAAGGCTACGCGTGTATCAATAATTTGACGGCTCCGTCGATGAAGGTTTCCTGCCAACCGCCTCCGCTGTTGCGTCTATGAACAAGTCCTTTCAAACAGGACCGGACTACGATACCCGAAAGAGGCAGAATGGAGTAGGCCTGAAGCGATAAGCCGTTCTCCATGGACCACCCAATAGAATCCTAGCACGAGCATCGTCCACCATGAACTATTGATTCACCGCAGCGACAGACCGAATACCAAGAGGCTAACCCCGCCTCAAGTCTGGATTGCAGTCTGTCGGCCCAACCACGACATATTCATTCTATCTACCTGGCGATAAGTCCCCATGATATTTGCGTTTGCAATCATTTCCACTTAGTATGCTCTGCACTATTTGTATTAACGCGCTTCAACACCGGAAAGGTTGGGTTTGCAGCGACGGCGATGCGACTGAACCTGTCGTTCTTCTCTCACACCATCAGTCGGTAGCAAGCCTTGAAACGTCAGCTGCTGAAGCATGCGAACTGTGCCATCCGTTTTGGTCGCAGATTGACGACGAAGACCAATCCAGGCTGAGAGCTTTCGACGCAACATGGACTTCACGACGAGCCAGTGCAAAACCCAAGATACCAGGGGAAGTCGTTGACGACGTTGATTATCTGGTGACCCTTTGCGCGATCATCAATCTTCGTGATGAAGAGAGCATGAAGTCCGCAGACATGGACTTGATGATATCCCTGTCCTTTGAGTCTGGTTTTCGCGACGAAAGCCCGCTAAAGAGGAAAGATATCTCAGGCACATACATCGTCGGGAGAGGGCCGGGTCAGTTTTATTCCATCTTTCAATTTCCTGGTATGGTCCCTCTCTGATGACCACAGACGACGATATGAGAAACAAGACCCCTTTTGCAAGCGCCACCACGTCATCGGAAGAAGCTTGGGATAAAGCCGGGGCTTGGATTCAAACCTGCCTACTCAACCATCACGCATGTAACATTGAGATGAAGGCCAGCCCATGGTATCCGACCCGTTTACTGGATGTCTCAACGCCTGGACTGAGTCTTGATACAGTCCGCTTGGTCATCACTTCAGAAGTACTACCAGCCGTGAAAGGACGTTACACGACCTTGAGTCACTGTTGGGGCACCGCGCAATTCCTGCAACTCAAGAAATCGACCTCCAACAATTTTCGGAGAGGTATTGAGCTGGACAGGCTGCCAAAAACATTTCGCGAGGCCATTCAAGTCACAAGAAGATTAGGCATCCGCTACCTTTGGATCGACTCTTTATGCATTCTTCAAGATCGTGATGACCTCTCTGACTGGCTGGTTGAGGCGGGTTTGATGCACAAAGTCTATTCCCATTCTTTCTGCAACATATCCGCCTCAGGGGCAAGTGATAGCTCCAAAGGCCTCTTCTTTGAGAGGAACCCACGTCTCAGCCACACAGCCAGAGCGAATCTTTGCGTCAAGGGTCTTGGTCTTGAAGCAGACTACATGGACTGCACCGTCATGGATCTGGAGTTCTGGGGACATTCTGTTGGACATTGTCCCCTCAACAAGCGCGGATGGGTTTTACAGGAGCGCCTTCTTTCTCCGCGAGTTCTCCATTTTGGCCGCGACCAGCTTTTCTGGGAGTGTAGGGAGCATGCGGCGGCCGAGTGCTACCCCGAAGCACTTCCGCGGCAACTGTGTAACGGCGTCGATGCAAAGTTCAAGAGGCTTCACCCAATATCGATCGACACAGGTTCGGCACCTCAGGGAGGAGAGACCGACGATTCTTTGTTCTACTACAAAGTATGGAACTCGATCATCCAGGCATACTCGGATACCCGCCTGACCAAGTCTCCGGATAAGTTAATCGCATTATCCGGAATCGCGAAACACATGGCTGTCCGAATAAACGACAAGTACCTTGTTGGCATGTGGAGGAGATATCTAGCTAGTAGTTTGCTGTGGGAAGTCGACAGCGAAAACCAGATCGACGGCTCGCCCTCAGCTCGACCTCAACAATACCGAGCCCCGTCTTTCTCGTGGGCTTCAGTGGACGGAAGAATAGTGCCTGCCGCACCTTCTGAGTCAAATTTGCTGATCAAGGTGGTCGAGGTCCACATTGACTACGTTTCAGAGGATGAGATGGGCCTAGTAAAGGGAGGCTACCTGGATCTCAAAGGCTACCTGCGACCTTTGGAGATTGTGGTCAAGTTCGTCGGCGAACTCCAGCAAAATTTCATACGAGTTCATGGCAACATTGTTCGGGCTAGCCATAAGCAGGAGTGGGACAATGGCCCTCTTGTGCGCCTGGATATCGGCCAGAAAAACTTCGACGATGAAAACAAGGACGGGTCCCTATTCTATATGCCCACACAGAGGCAAGAGACGCCTGATGATCACGTGTCGTATCTGCTCTTGCTATCAGTCAAAAAGTCTCCAAACACGTTTCGAAGGATTGGGATAGCGGCGACGGCTGAAGCTGAGGAGATCGAAGTGTTGCAGGGCGTGAACTTCGGAAGTGCGCATTCGGCCGAGCAGTTTAGTGATCATGGACTTCAGACTGTACGGATCGTCTAAGGTTTTCTTGATATTCACAGAGGAATAACTTCAAGCTTATTCTACATGCTGACCACGCTGGATTCTGATTCAAGGGTCATCAAGTCGGCCAGCAAAGAGTCTCCGACGATGGCATAAGCCGGAAGCTTGATGACATTCGTCCATGCCAAAGTTTAAGAGAAGCTGTCAAGGTAGGGGGCATTTGAAAACTGGACGTCGTTCGCTATCAGGGTCCGAAAATCTCATGATCACACTGTGGCCACAGTGGTTAACAAACTCTCCGAAAAGTGGCTGCCGGCTGTATCCGCAATCGAGGACCCTTCTTCATAATACATACGTATATAAACATCTTCCCCGGGGAAAGAACAGACTTTCAACTTCGTCAACCTTTTTCCTGCGTTTTATCCCTGCCTTCCCCGCCATGCACCTGCCATTCCGGTCCCAGGCCTCTGCCCAAGAGTGCCCAGAGCCTTCGTTCCCCGAGGATATAAGCTTCGATGACAACCACAAACCCGACTTTGTTGTTATTCCCTCCGAGGACGGGGTTGCAGACCTGAAAAATAAAGTCCTCGAAGAAGTCTTTAAGTCTCTTGAGGACCCCAATATAGAGCGCGAACAACTTGAGGAGATGCTCCGCTTCCATGCTCACACGGGGCCAGCCTCCCAGTCACTGGACCCATACATGGACAACATCGAAGAACGAATGGAAATACTTAAATGGATGAAGACGGCGTCTTTTAAGATGTCGAATGTTCCTGGGGACAAAACGACTACGAAGATCAACCCGGAGCTCATCACCACTCTCGTCTGGGCGTCCTTCGTCCTCGCCCCCATCGAGGTTCTCCGAGCCTGGCGCACGAGACACAGGCGGGGAGAATGTATGAAGGACTTGTTATCGGTCATTGAAGACCTCGGATATCACCTGCCCCGTCTAGTCAAGAGTTTTGGGCGAAGAAACGATTGCCCCAAGATTGAAGACGAAATTGTAAGTAAACTACAACAAACAGCAAGTATGCACTTCATCAACTCATGCAGACTAGGTCAGAGCCAGAGACGGCGACGTCTGCCCGTTGACCAAGGTGGAGAATCGCTTCGGTGACAACGACGATACCACCATAATGTACCACATACACCCATTCAGTAATGAGGCCGTTCTCGAACAGACGCACGCGGCACTCAAAGTCCTGTCATGCTTCTGGGGCTGCGACTTCACGACACGATGCCGCAAGCTTTTGACGAAGAGTGGTCTCGAAGACCCCAAGAACATCGTAACCTTGAGCCTCGTGGCCGTCCCCGGGCTGAAGGAAGGCTTTTGCACCATCGAGCCCCTCTCAGTGTCTGCCGATGGGTTGACGATGCGTGCTCGTCACCGCCTATTGCGGTTTTCGAACCTGATCGAGTCTGAGTCTGCGACGGTGTCTCTCGACGAGGACCCGCGGGACGTGTTACAGCCCAGATTTATGATGGACCTGTATTTTCCGGTTCGTTTGGTTCAGGTCAGGACGAACCAAGTTATTCATGATGGGTTTGAGTTTGAGATCACCTCGGATGACCCCGAAACGCTCCCTAGCTCTGATCTTTTGGAACTTCAACATCGGGTGTTTATGATTACGGCTTTGTCTGGCCTTTTAGATACCAGCATTCTATCTCGAGATGAGGCATCCGAAGGCTTCGACCCAAGGTCAGACTAGGAATACGTACTTGGGGTGTTTCTATCGCCAAGTTTCATCGCCGGCTGCTGGGTATGGGGATCTACGTTTCAAAGACCTCAAGGAAGAGGAATTCAGAGCAGCAGGTGGAATAATCTGAATAAATGCCAGCAAAAAAATAATTCTTCAAGGTTCTCATACTTTTTCTTGGTGCGTACCTAGTGGAAATGCAACCCCCAGCAGCGACCTTAGAAGTGTATTCACAGCTAGTGCCAACGCCGCGAAAATGGTGTATGAACACGTCTGTGAGGTAGTTGAACAGGCTCAAGAAAACAAGAACTTGGGCCGCACCGAAAAACGCTAATCCGACCATAGATACGGACCAGTGAATTGCGGGTGTGCTCGTTCACGTGAACCAGTAGAGACCTATCGGGAGACATACGATTCCGATTATTGCAGGCTAGATATGGGCTTCCGTTGGTAGTGGGCCGTTTTTGCCGCTGACGACAGCATAGCAAGAACCACGACACGATGCGGGACACTTCGCACCCCATCGTCAAGAGACAACGAGAATACACAAAGGTACTCGAAATATCCATACTCCTAACTCTACACAGAGACCACGCGGCCATTCAGGAAGGAAGAGAGTCTTGAGAAGACAACGAGGGCGGCACTGGGCTCGCTCGAGGCGCAAGGGAAACTGCATTTTACATGTATGCCCTCCCCCGAACCAGCAGCGCGTGTAAGGATTGTCTTGTTATTGTATTGATGGGTGTCTTTCCGTCGCGTATGCTGTGACACGGTTGGGGAACACGGACCGCGAGACGGTTGAGAGAGCGGTTGTGGCTATCGGGGAGTCTACTGCTGCGTTGCAGGTGTTGTCATAACGCTCGACCCTTGCGAAGGCGGGGGTTGTCACATTGGAGAATGCGGGAAGGGCACTGAAAGAGCGTTTGGAGTCGGAGGCGGTCGTGGGTATGGGAGAAGTTCTGCAGACCCCAGCGGCTTCTTGTGAAGGCTTCGAGGGTGGTAATGTGGAATTTCGGCAACTAAGGGGCTTTGACGCGGGTTTCACGCACTTGAATGGTTGGTTTCAACCGGAATTCTACGAAGAAATGGAAACATGGATCTTTCTCGGTATTTGAGTGTACCCAATTCAATGGCGTCTCAGTGTATTTGTGCTGGTCATAGTCTGAAAAGTAGCAATAGAAGGATAATTGAACTTGAGCTATTGGACGTCATATCTTATTGCCTGGCCCACAAATGCCGGTTCTCGACGCCGACGTCACTATGAGCGCGAGCGGTTCTTCACCAACAACCGCAGTCGGTCATGCGATGTATACCGGTATACGACTACCAAAGAGCTCCGTGGGAACGATGTTGACGTCGTGCGGGTGGAAATCGTGAAGCATTAGCCAGCATATCGACCGGAAAACCAGCGTACACCAGATATCCTCGGGGCTAACGTCGTCCAACTTCCACAGAGATGGCGGGCGGTAGATTTCGCCATCCATGTATTCTTCCTCGAATTCGTCGTCCATCCATTCCACTCCACCTTCATCATCCGTCGATTCTCCGTCGTCGTCACAGCCGTCGTTGCACATATCATCTCCCAAAGAGGCGCGTGAGGCTGACTTGTCCATCTGGGATACGACTAGTGGTCGCAATCTGCGAAAGTAGATGTGCATGAGTCTTTTTTGTTTTGACCTCGGGGACGCCAAGTCGAGGCGGCCCCAGCAATCACTCTCTTCGGAACCTTCGTTTTCGTTTTCCGTCGAGGGCTGTTCAGTTCGAGTATATTGAGGTGCTCTGGTGACTTTGTTGAGACCGGCAAGAACGGCTTGTATATGTAACCGAAGACAGACGAGAACCATTCTTTCACGGCCCTTTTCTCGAGCTTGCATTATGCGTCTTTCCTCGGCATCTATCCCAGCATTCTTCTTGGTGACGGACTGAAGTTTCTCACGCCCTTCCACGTAGACTCTTTTCATGGTTGGTCTATCTTTGGGATTTCGCGCAGTAAGTATCGAGGTTGATAGATCAACCGCTTCGTGGAGTTGACTGAGCAAAGGAATACTTGTTATTCCGGTGTGCCCAAAGTTCCCTGGAATTGTGTCCGCATGTTTGGTGATGCGTCTTGCCAAGCGGAATATACTTGCTTGAACAGAACTTGACTTTCCCCCGCGCGCTCGAATCATCCGATTCATCCTATCGCTGAACGCCTTTACCATTAGAGGCATGGAAAAGCCAACGCGATCCCATGGTTGTGATGTTGGATTCGGCAACAAACGAAAAGAGCCGTTCTTTATATAGAAGTTTCTGCCCAGCATCCCCATCAGTTCAAAAGCCACTGGCATGATTAGCGTAGCACTTGTACCACTAAATGTGCGAATACTTACATGGGAAGATATGAGCCACGCGTCCCCCGGTGGTGAACACATTGAGAGCCGCAGCATTGCAACCAATTACACTGAGTGATCTTACGATGTCTTTGACAGTAGACGTACTTATTGTAGAGCAAGAAGAGGAGGACTCGGCGGATTTGATTCGCGAGGCGTCAGTCCTGTCCCTGAAGATAGTGGGTACGAATCCAAAACACAGTTCCTTGACTTCGTCGACAAGAAGGATTGTGTTTTCTTCGAACCGGTTTCGGCCGTTCAACTGGAGTGTGAATACGACTCCAAGGTCAGTCACATTCTCTCCAACTAACGTGTACCCATTCCCTCGAGCTCGGTAGATTTGCCGTGCCAAGTCAAGTTCAGTCCAAAACACTCTTAAGATAGCAGTCAGCTCCACGATGTGGCACCATGTTGTAACGGCGTACGGCTTTTTGAAGTTCGGAGGCAAGGCGTCCCAGGTCCTTAGCTTCTGTTGAACTGCAACAGCAAGTGTGCGCCTACCACTGACCCTTTTATCCAGGCGATTGATATCAAAGTGAAATTCCGGTGGTTGCGTAGAAGATTTGTCGCTTCCGTCTTGCGTTCGGCTTCGAATGTCTTCTTCCCACATCCGTTTCTGCCAAACTCGAGACTCATACTCCATCTGCTGTATGGCAGATAGCATGGTAAGCCATGATATCAACAATGCGTTTTCATCATTCGTCACTTGCTTCGCATATTGCGCCTGTATACCCTTGAAAGATTGAGGCAGAGATGTCCTACTTTCGTCGAGACTCTTCTGCGATCCATCGAGGATAAAGATGGGTTTACCTTCAATAGGCCCCGTAATGTTTGTGGGTGGACAAAGAAAAATAAGAGGCACTTCGAATTGAATGTCAAATCGGAATTCTCTAGGCACCGCAATACGCCTCACCAGTTCTGCCCATCTCCCTATTGTGGCCGCAGTCGGTCGTCGAGCGGTGTAGACTTTCGCGACTGTTGATGGCATGAATTCATAGTGATGAGAGTTCGAAATATCCGCAGGATACACCGGGATAGCAATCCTAGACAGGATAGAGACCTCGGACAGACTGATGCCGGAAAAGATGGAACCAGCCTTGGATGCCGCCACTGATGTTCTTGTCGGGCAGTCGATGCTGCCATTTCGAGCCCTTTTGTAGGGACGCGAGAGGTCGAGAACGGTCTGGAACTCCAATGTAGGGATGGGACTGGACTCCGGGACTGGAATCGAGTGTCCGGGATTTGATTTTGTCGTGTCAGCCGCGGAGAAGCATTGTAGTTCAGACACATCATCAGACAGTCGTTGAGGTTCTGCCGGCCTTCTGGACTCAATAATACTCAGAGCATCAAAACTGTCGGAATTAGTCTCGAGAAGTCGGCAAAGATCGACGTGTTCTTGCATGAGACCCGATATTTTCATTGAAAGCTCGTCCTGGTTCTGGACTGCGCGGTGGTCGGAACCGCTTTGCAAAAGTCAGCACATGCTCCAGGTACAGCAGTGCAATCGGCACAAACCACTGAAGAATATTAAGCAGAAGCATCATCGTTTCCTTGAACGTGTGGAGCCGCTCCAGAATGGCAGAAAGCTTGCCCTCCTTACGGGCCCATTGCATTCGCGCCATGATACGATCGCTGGCCCCTAGGTTCATGGGCGACACTGAACTCTCAAGTTCGGAGAATATGAACACTCCATTCGTGAAAACAGCAACGAGATCGTCAATGGAGACGAGAAGCTTTCGATTAATCGATGTGGTGCTTAAGTTGTCAAGCAAGCCATGCAGCGCAGACAAAACGATGCGCGAGTTGACGACTTCGGAGTGTACTGAGACGGCGATCTTGGGCGTGTCTCTCACCGCAGACATGTACGGCCCCATGATCTCGATGACCTTCCCAGCCGCGGCAAGGATGCCGACGATAGAAGCTGCGACGCTGAGAGGGTCCGCCATGATTTGGCAGGAAACAAACGTTTCAATAGGATATTGAATCGTTCTTGAGAGAAGATGGACCAAGGGCCCTGAAGAGCCGATGGTTTAGGTAGATGAGAGGTTTGGGGGATGGAATATCGATGTCAGACGTTGTCTGGGGAAAGTTCGTCCCCTCCCCAAAATCAGGCTCGGGAAAGAATAGAGGCGTCGACGGTGGCCATGCAGGAAGCAGCAGCAAGCAGCTTCATAGTGGCAAGACAAGTGAGATGCTAGTGAGGCGCACTCGTGCCGCTGCCCCGCGGAAATGAACCCTGCCAACTTCCCAACCTGCATCAGACCTGCACTGCCTTCAAGGGAGCGCCAGAGTCAACATGAGGCGAGCAATCAGGCACCCGCAAGGCGGACTTGAGATCGCATCTAGCCTCCACCGTGCTTGCCATCCGGGAGCTAAAAAACAAACAACCACGGTGAACCAAAATCAAGCTGCTGATAATGGCGAGGACCTGCCGGTTGGAATGCGGACTGAACGAGTACCCCGGGCTGAGGGGTGTATGCTAGGTGAGACACATCTACTCACGACCAATCGAAATGCGAGATGGATGGTCATACCAGAAAACTGCCCTGGTGCATGAGTCTGGCGCACATTTTCCAGTGTAGCCACACCCATTAACGAGCAACATCATGGCCCGCTTGAGAAATGCAGAAGAAAAATGTTTCCTTCACCTGAGTCTTGTCATCAAAGCGTGCTCTCATTCTCTATAGGTCTATAACAGTCATAACCTAGGTGTTCAACTCACGCCGCACGCAACTTTTCCCATACCCGCTCCCCAGAAACACATTCACACCATCAACTCCACACCCAACAAACAAACGTCTATGCCTTGGACAGCAAGTTCGCGCCAGTCATCTCTTCGGGCTGCGGCAGACCCATGGCAGCCAGAACGGTAGGAGCGACGTCGCCCAGGACACCGCCGTCCTTCTTCAGGCTCCAGCCCTCGGGGGCGTTGGCCATGATGAAGGGGACCTTGTTGGTGGTGTGCGACGTCTTGGGCTTACCATCAGCGAACTTCATCTCCTCGGCGTTGCCGTGGTCGGCCGTAATGAAGAGGACGTAGCCCTCCTTCTTGCACGCCTCGTAGATCTTGCCGATGGCCTTGTCGGTGGCCTCGACACCGACGATGGCGGCCTCGTACACACCCGTGTGGCCGACCATGTCGGGGGGCGCGAAGTTGTTCATGACGAAGGGGAACTTCTGCTCGCCGAGACGCTTGGCGACCTGGTTGGCGACGCCGTCGGCGGACATCTCGGGGGCCAGGTCGTAGGTGGCGACGGACTTGTTGGAGGGGACGAGATCCTGCTTCTCGTCGCGGGTCTCGAGGGCGAAGACCTTCTCGACACCGCCGTTGAAGAAGAAGGTGACGTGGGCGTACTTCTCGGTCTCGGCGATGTGGACCTGCTCGACCTCCTGCTTGCCGAGCCACTCGGCGAGGACGTTGCCCATGCGCTGGGGCTCGAAGGCGATCTCGAAGGGGTAGTCGGTCTTGTACTGGGTCATGGTGACGAGCTTGTTGAGCTTGGGGTAGGGGAAGTCGGGGAGGACGGAGCGGTCGACGTCGCCGAGGAGCTGGGTGATTTGGCGGACGCGGTCGGAGCGGTAGTTGAAGAAGAAGACGGTGTCGTCGTCCTTGATGCGGCCCTCGTCGCCGCCGACGATGATGGGGGTCAGGAACTCGTCCTTGTCCTTGCTGCCGCCCTTGGCGTAGCGCTCCTTGACGGTAGCAACGGGGTCGGTGCTGGCCTCGCCTTCGCCAAGGATCATGCCCTTGAGGGCGATCTCGACACGCTCCCATCTCTTGTCACGGTCCATGGCGTAGTAGCGGCCGACAACGGTGGCGATCTCACCGATGCCGATTTCCTTGGCGGTCTTGATCAGCTCCTCCATGTAGCCGGCGCCGGACTTGGGGTCGGTGTCGCGGCCGTCGCCGAAGAAGTGGATGTAGACCTTGGGGACGCCGTACTGCTTGGCGGCCTTGAGGAGGTTGTAAAGGTGCTCTTGCTTGGAGTGCTGGCGGGATAGATATGTTAGCAACTTTGCGACGTGGTGTGACATCTTCCAGGACTACTCACAACACCACCGTGGGAGACGAGACCGCACAGGTGAAGTCTGCCGTTGCCGTTCTTGGCACTCTCGAAGGTCTTCTTGATAACGGCGTTGTCGGGGAGCTCGCCGTTCTTGATGGTCTGGTCGATACGGACGACATCCTGCCAGACGACACGGCCGGCGCCAATGTTCAAGTGTCCGACCTCAGAGTTACCCATCAGGCCCTCGGGGAGACCGACAGCAAGGGAGGAGGCGTCGAGCTCGCAGTAGCCGGTCTTGCTCCGGGCGAATTCGTCCATGACGGGGGTCTTGGCGTTGGTGATGGCGTCGCCATCCTTGGGCGAGTCGGCGCCGGGAACGCCCCAGCCATCAATCACGACTGTACGAGCGCAAGATCCACAGAATTAGCCAGCCGACCTCGAGGTACAGGGCGATGTAGGCGAGGGTAAGGACGTAGTCGGGAGAATTGTGCTGCTGAGGATGATGGGGAGGGGTAGGGGAAAGTGCTTCTTCGGGTTGAGGCTTGTAGTTTCGGTTCTGGACTCCTTCTCGACCAGGCTCGACGCTCACACCACTGGCATCGCCATCACCACCACCATCGCGGGGCTTCGAGGAGGGGCTCGGAGGGTTGGGAGGGAGATGTTTGGACGTACTCAGGCAGGCCTCCTGGTCGGTCTTGGCCATGGTGTATGTGTAATTCTATGCTTTCGATGTCTTTACTAAAAGGTGTATATGCAGGAGGGAGGAAAGGCAGAAATCTAAGAGAAAGGGTTGCGTGATTTTTCAGTGTTTTACGGTGGTGGTGAGGTCTGGTTGAGGAGATTTGATTGAATCGAATCAGCCACTGCACCTACCTGTACCTGGCCAGCAGCTTCTGGTCGGCTGTTCTGTTTTATCGGTGTCAGTGTTTGGTGGGGGGTTATGTCATAGTATCGCCGATAATAGAGCCGTGTCGTTGTACTCCAGTCTGACACTGTCTCCGTCGCAGCTATTTTGGTGTGTTGCACAGTGCTGTCTCTGACGGTGACGGTGTGGGCTGATTGCAGCTGCCCCTCTGTTGACTTTCAACAATTTTTAGCTGCCAATCGGCGCCGCGCTAAAACGCCCGTGGTAGCTTCCGCGCCGCAAATTGTCTCGGCGGAGCTTCCCCCTGCGCTTGCCTACGTTTCTAGTCTCCCTTCCGCCTAGGTGGACTGTCCATCACCTCAGCACCTCAATTGACTTTCAACGCCTCAGACCTCTTAGGCCAACGGCGACACTCCAACCGCGCACCTACCGCAAGGCTGAGACTTCACGTCCTATCTTCTCGCCTTCCCACAATCAATCCTTTCTCACCAACAAACCACTTCCTCCAACGCATCTACGGCGAAAGCCAACTCGAGAAGAAGCAGCCGAACATCCACACACCTCTCCCGCAAACATGCCTCCCCACCCCCTCGAACTCCCCTCGACCCTCTCCCCCGACGCCCTCGACACCCTCACCGAGCTCACCGGCATCCTCACGCGCCTGCGCACCGCAATCCAGACCTCGGGCACGACAGGCGGCATCACGGGCTCGACCCCCGCCGGCACCGGCCCCGGCGCGACCCCCAACCCCCTCGGCGCCAGCCCCAACGCGCCCCTCTCCCTCAAGGACGTGCCCCCGCAGACCGACGCCCTCAAGCACAAGCTGCAGCGCGCCCGCGTCCAGATGCGCGCCCTGCCCGACATGGACCGCTCCACCGCCGAGCAGGAGGAGGAGATCAGGGAGCTCGAGGAGAGGATCGCGATGCAGCGCGAGGTGCTGGACCGCTTGAGGGAGGCCGGCGTCCGGTTCGGGCATGAGGAGGGCGGGAAGGGGGATAAGATGGAGACGGAGTGATGGAGGGGCGGAGGAATCTGTCTTTCGTGATGGAGAGCGGCTGGGATGGATTACATCAAAAGGATTTAAGAGGGCGTTGGCTTTTTTTACAGATTGCTCCTATGATACCCGAAATGCGACTTGTTTGAACACTGCAAATGGCGCTGTTTCTCACGCCCGTGCCATGTCTCACTAAACCACCGCCTCCCGAACGCCCGCCTCGATCATATCGCACAAGTGGAAAACCGCAACAGTCTCAATGCTTCTCAACACCGACGGCCCTCAAGATGTCATGCAGATCCTTGCCCCGCTCTCCAGGCACCGTCTTCGTCCAAATCTCCTCCGCCAGCCTCTCCTGCTCCGGCAGCACGCTCCAATTCGGGCTGGGTTCCGACTTGAGCCACTTGAAATCGTCGACCTGGTCCCATTGATTCTTCGCGGGATCTTCAGGGGTATTCTGCGGTGGGTTAGCACATCGAACAAGACCCGGGGGACAAGGAACTCTTACAAATGCCGCCGGTAGCGGCGCGAATCGCATATTGGAGCAGTCCTCGATGATCGGGTGACTCGAGCAGTACAGATAGATATCGACGTTCTTGCACTCGTGGATGCGCACCTGCCGAGCCGAGACGACAATAATACTATCCGAAACGCCCGTGACATGCGCCGGCCCAGCCACGTTCCCCGCCACGATGAGACTCTTCTGGACATTCTTCAACGCCAGGTTCGCAAACGAGGTATTCCCCGACAACGCCAGGGACATATCGACAATACACCCCTTCAGATCCGTCAACCGGCCCGAGGACGTCGCCCGCGAGGCCGACGACGGCAGGATGATGTGCAGCCCGTCCTGTCCGAAGATGGCGATGTCCTTGGCGGTGGAGAAGCTGGGCTTCCTGACCTTGGTGGTGCTCGGCCTCGCCATCTCCTCGTTGTAGTTCTTGGGGAACGACGGCAGCTCGCCGAGGCCGTCCGTCGTCTCGGCCTGGGCCTCGGGCGAGGGCACCGTCATGACGGGCCCGCCGCGGGACGCCGGGAGCGGGTCGGCGAGGCTGCCGCCGACGATGAGACGGGGGTCGTTCTTGGGCGCCGAGAGGTCGCTTGTGGCGGTGCTCTGGCCGCGGTGCTTGAATTGGAAGCGCGAGCGCGGGGCGAGCTTGGTGGTTGTCTCGTTCAGCTTGTCCGTGAGGGCTTTGACGGCCTGGGTGGAGGTCAGATGTGAGTTCCTCGTATATGTCGGGGTGAGCGTCTCACCTGAGCGTAATTACGCTGGTCATATGAGGGGACATAGTCAGCGGCGTCGGCGACCTCGTGAGAGAGAGCCGAGATGCCGGCGAGGATGTGATCAATGGCATCCTGTCTCTCGCCGCCGACCTGAGAAATGGAGCCGAGGCCGTCGATCTGCTCTTGCAATCCTGTGCGGGGGGGCGTTTCTGATCAGCACCGAAGAATCCGGGGAAAGTGGGCAATGCGGGCAGCAACATACCGACGACCTCGTCCTGGAAGTGGCGGTAGAACTTTTCCTTGGGGTCCTGCATCCTGGTTACTGGGAATCCTCCTCCGAAGGCGACAGGCTGAATCACTTCGGGCGCCATTGTTGTATTGTTTCTTGTAGAACGAGTATGAATACAATGTCTCTCTTTATGTTGTTTCTTTCACAATACTATGTGACAAAGACGGGCAAAGAAGCTCTGAGCTCACGTTTCAAAAGTGAGGAACAAAGGGCAGGATGGGATGATCAGCCTACTATACCTGGGGTAAAAAAGGTAAAAAGAAGGGCCAGGCGTAGGTGAGCAGCAACGGCCAAAGCTGAAGGGACCCTGAAAGTGGCGTGTTGGCGACGGACGGCGATCTTTAATAAGGTCGATTGCTTCTCCAAAACCACGCGACTTTTTCGTCGACGGAAGCGCAGCTTGTGACGTCGCTTAGGAGGGGTCGAAGATCCGGGGTAGGTAGAGAGAGTCTGTAGTTGCCGTCTTGCAGGAACGGTAGCGGCAGGGCGACGAAAACGGGAGTGGTAAAAGCAGCTCACTTGATGCCGAGTCGGACGATGCGTTGCTGCAAGGTGAGGTGATGGATTCAATGCTCGTCGATGCGCATCGATGCAGCTTAAGGCCGGTTCCCCGCCAGCTGCTCGTGATGGGAAGCTGCGGGGCAAAAGCTGTCACTGGGGCAGGGGTCCTAGCGCATCGAGATTGGGCGGTTTGGTGTTGTTTTAGTGGGGAGCTGCCAACCTCCTCTCGTGAATCCTCTCCCAACTCAATTCTCCTCACACGACACCACCACCACCACTGCCACTGCAACCACCATCTCCTCCACTACCGACGGGTCGATGATCCGGTCACACATCACTGGCAAATGTGTCGAGAGTGCAGCCAATTCCCCACATACATTGAGACCCTGGATCGACGGAAATGTAATATTCGTCAACACTCTGAGGGCGACGAGCCGGGACCTAGACTGACGTAGTCTCTGCATGAGGACCAACCGTCAAGACCTTGGGATGAAGTAATGCATAAGCTTCCGGTTACACCAACTTATCGCTTACACACAAATCGTGCCGCCGTTCCCTCGCGGCGCGAAAAAGGTAATGCACGACTGCTGAAGCCTCGGGAGGATAATAATGGCCTTTCGTCTGATCAACGGCAAGACTTCTGTGCATCGAGTCTAGAACATCCCCTCAGCGCCGTTGCGGTTTGAGTTTTGGGGTGCAGATGTCAACGAATCTTGACGTCTTACTTGCAACATCGTGAGATTGGGTTCTTCGGCTCAGCCTCATCCACCTCTGTGATCAGGATCCTCGCTCTCACGCGTTTTCTCCTTAGCCAGAAGTCGACTTACTTTGAGCAGTACGAATGTTTCCATAAGTCTAGACGCTGGGCGCCAACTAACAAACATCATTTGATGCTCATCGACAATGGGAACGCTGCATCGTGCACCCGTGCCATGCCTACTGTACGACCGTCTGAGATAGCCTCAAATATCTAGTCTAGACCCCGTACGGCGATGTGTCCTTTGAATATCACGTCCAGTATACCTTCCTGCATCCTTCTTCTCCAGCTCTCATCAGTAAACATCAGCATGAGAACCGAACTCGCGTCCCTCCTACCCTTAGCCAGGCTCCTCGGCGCCACCTTCATGAGCTGGAAGCTGCTAAGCTTGGCCTGCAACTGCCCCTACCCTGCCATGGTCGTCCTCTCAGAGTCCATGTCCCCAGCTTTCCAACGAGGCGACATCATCTTCCTCTCGAACTGGGAAGATCAGGTCGAAGTCGGTGACATCCCCGTGGTCTGGTTCACTGGTAATCTGCTGCCGATGGTCCATCGCGCGGTCGCGACATTATATGAGTAAGGCAGATGAGCGAATTCAAGTGCTTGAAGATGACACCGAAAGCTGCTGGCAGACGGGGAAACCAAGATGTTGACTGACGAACGTGGCAGTGATGGCGGGAAGCAATTGATTCTCACCAAGGGCGATAATAACGATGAGACCGATGAGATTATGTATCCGCCAGGGCGAACTCATGTGTTCCGAGAGGAAATCATCGGGCTTGTTCGAGGATTCGTGCCGTATTTGGGGTGTATTACGATTGCCGTCAGGGAGGTGCCATGGCTGAAGCCAGTTCTTGCCGTCGGACTGTTCATGTTGTCTGCATTCTCAGCCATTGCGTAACAAGAACGTGCGGCTGACCTCAGCACTTCGTTTCATTCACGAAACATCAAGAAGAAGAAAGAATCTACTCGGAGAAAGCATCAGAAAAGCTTGCCACGAAAGGTTTTCATCGCCTGGGTTGCTGCCTCATCTGTGGCCCATACAGGTACCCTCTTATGATGACCCAGGATCACCACATATCACGATCACAGATTCACAACCACGAGAAAGATTTTCAATTAAGTCCTTGATGTGAGACCAGACAACAAGTAGTATTATGCAGTACCAGTACCATGATCACTGTTGTTGTCTAGTTCTCTCCACAGCGCCAATCGCCGGACATCTTTTGCTCATCAGCAACTAGCACCTCAAAATCCCCTTCACAAACTCCACAAACTCCTCAACCTCTCCCGCGCAATGAGGGTAGCTGGGCTACATATGCTCATCAGTCCGACCCGGCGCCTTTCTCAAAGTATCTCCCAGTCCCAATCAGACTCCACATCCTCATCCATCTCAAACACTATCGAACCCTCCCAATCATCATCCTCCTGCTCCTCATCACTATCATCCGACATATCCTCATCATACAGAGACAGGATCTTCTCCCCGTACATCTTCAACTCCTTCTGCACCTTCTCATCCTGCTTCCGCAGCTCGTCCATCTCGCAACGGCCGACGCCGAACCGGTTCATCTCCGCCTTGAGCTCGGCCGCCGCGCGCCGGGCCGTCTGCGCCTTCTGGTTGAGGTCTGCGCGCTGCCGCTCCCGCTCCCGCTTCTCTTCGAGTTCCCCTGCCTTCTCGGCGGTGGTCTTGCGGCGTTTGTTGTCGGACGGGACGTCGCTCCAGCTGGAACTGAGGTTGTAGGAGCGCTTGCTGCGCGTGCTGATCTGGGAATCGGCGGGAGCGGAGCCGGCTTGGCCCGCAGACTTGTCGTGTTGCTCTGCATCGTCCTTGGAACACAGACGATACACCTCGTTGACCTCGAGCCACGCCATGTCTCGTTCGTATTGGAGTTCGAGGTCGTCGTGCTCGCGCTGCGCGATGGCGTTGCGGACCATGGATCGTTGTTGTCCCGGCTTCAGGGGCAGCAGATCGAACTCGCAGTTGTGGAAGAACTGGATCTGCTGGTGGTGGTAGTCGCGGGAGTAGCCGCAGATGCCACGGCCGCGGGGGATGTCGTCGCCGTGGATATTCTCGCCTTCCGGAGTCGTGAGGACGATTTCGGGGATGGCGGGTGCGGGTGTGTGTTGCTGGAAGATGTTGTACCAAGGCATGTAAGACATGACGCCGGCCTGGGGTCTGACGGAGGTGTATGTGGAAGGAGGGAAGCCCATTTTGTTGGTGATGAGTCTTCACGAGGTGAGGATGCGTGTGTTTGTTATTGTTGTTTCTTCCGCGATCTCTTGTATGTGAGATGGTATGTACCGAGCAGTCGTGTATGTACGAGGTTGTTATTGGTACAGAACGAGATGTAAGTTGTGGTTGTATGTACGAGAAGCGGTTGATGATGGAAACTGGAGTATGAGAGAAAGCTCTGAAGAGAAGAACGAGAACCGGGAGAAAAGGCCGCCTTTTATCTATTCCGCGGGAGTCCATCTATGTTCTTTCGGAGATGGGTGTTAAAGGAGAATCAGTGATTCCTCTGGCCATTCGAAGCTATTCGCAATTGACTTTTTCCCACCGGGGACGCATCTCGCTCGGAGGACCGATGAAACAAATGTCAAGACTTTTCGCTTGCCAATCAGAAAATTCAACAACACTGCTTCTGGAGAAAGACCTGGTATTGTGGGCTGTGCTTAGCTGGTTTGTTGCAGCTGCTCGGTGGGATATACCCTCGCGGCCGTAGGAAATGACTGCCTACCACCAACACGCTCTGCAGAAACCTGGCCACCAATCCAGTAGGTATCTCCGGTAAAGAGATTTTCGTGCCTTTTTGGGCTTTGACTGAGTCCCTCTGAGTCAACCGCAACTCTGAGTTTCTATAGCCCGTGGTTAGACTTACATTCTACTCGGTACACGACCTCTATAGAATCAACCTTGAAGGGTCGTGACTCAACCCAACAGCCCTCTTCCCTTCATAGCAACAGATTTCTCTCTGATTCTTCAACAAGCAAGCAAGTCTCGTGGCTCAATTTGGACAGAGCGTCGTACTGATACATTGTACTCAGATCTGCGAAGGTTGCGAGTTCAAGTCTCGTCGAGACTATTATTTTTTGGACTTGAAGAAGATGACTCCTTCGTTTTTCATTTTTCATACTAATTCTATGATTTTTCTTCGTACCTCTCTGATCTGACATTTGATCTTCTGCGGTAAGCAGATGCAGCATTGTGTGGTTTCAGATTCGCGTTCTTTCGGCGTGAGGACCTGTCCCGTTCCTTCTGGGCAGCAACGCGTAAGTAAGGTTTAAGTTGAAAATTTCTCATTCACGTTGTTTATAATGCATACTGACGGGTATATGCCCAGACCTTCAGCCATTCTACGGAGTCTGGTAGGCAAGGCCTGGCGCTTGAACCCTGGTCACAAGTACACGTCTAGAATACCGCCAGAAACGATACCATTCACAAATTGCCTTCAAACTTATAGCCACGGGCTCTAAAAAAGAAATCTGATGATTTATCGCTACGAAGAAGTACACTTGACACCCTTAACGCCGTTCACTGTCGTCTCCTCACACTTGATCGCTGTCGTGGAGGTGAACACCAAGCTGACAGTACCGTTCGTGGACGCCTCGTAATTGACGCTATGATTATATCAGCATACCAACATCTACTCAAGGTTCTCGCCGTCACTCGTACCTGGAGTTGAAGTTGATGGGGTTGATGCCAATGCCAAGGCCGATGTTCATCGTGTCCTTGGTGATCGTGAACCCACCGCCAAGACCAAAAGAGTCGGAGCCGGATTGCAAGCCGCCTGCCAATCCTCATGTCAGTCCACCCATACGCGCTCTTCGCGACTGAAGGCGTCATTCCAATCCAAGACTTCAGCACCGACTCACCTCCGAAAGATTGGTCCTCCGCCCAGTTGATGCCGCATCCAACTCCGATTCCGCCGAAAGGCGAAAGCGTGCCCGCGGCACTGACGGCGCCGGACCCGGAAGTCGCGGAAACGTTTTTGTTCAGCGCGGTAATATCCACAGCAGCCGTCTCGTTCTGCTGCTGACGCGGCGACAGGACGCCGGCTGAGGCGAGGCCGGTGAAGGCGGCGATCTTGACGAGGGAGCTGACCATTTTCGAAATTGTACTTTCCTTCCGGACGGTTTATCGGGAGAAGAAGCTATAGAAGACTGCTTGGCGCGACGTTGACGTTATGGAACGAGTGACTGTGGTGAGTAAACCTGCGATGAACACATGGGACCTCACGCACGCCACGCGGAGGGATGGGGGTCGGACACTTATATCTGCGCCGGGGCGCCCGGCAGTCGCGAACATCCCCTGCCGGAAAGGGGGAACCGCACATGAGGAGTTTCCTTGCGATCCACTCTGGAATGTCGTTTTGGGGGCTGATGGGACTGCGGTTTGCCCGGCGACTCGTCTCGAGAGCGGGCATTTAATATCTGCAGAAAGTCTATTCTCGAACCCTGGTCCTTGATGGGGGAGGTGGTCCTCCGCCGGATGAACCCCTATTTCCAGCTGTTCGGGTCGTGGCCAGACTTCAGGTGTGCTCCTACCCTGTGGAGTTGGGTTAATAGCATGATCATTGAGAACACGGATCCCTGGGTCACAGATCACAGCTGGGGAAAGGAAAGAAGGTCTGGAGTTGGTGGTGTTCGCTTGGGTTGAGACGATGCTTGAAGTGAAACTCTGCGTGGTGGCTGCGAGTCAGGTTCAATGTGTTGACGCTTCCCGTCCAAGAGACAGATCAAAAAGCCCTTTGGGTCCCTTTTCTTGTAAATTGAGAAGGACTCACAAGAGGACTCTGGTTCTCGACGATTACTAACACCAAGATGACAATACGCTACAGGATGAATACGTTGACAACTTGAGTAAGGATTGATCGAATATATACACATAAGCAACCAGTTTTGGTCACATTTAGTTCTTCATTCACTTAATTACGTGCTATTAGACTTGAATTCTTTCCTCAAAATTAGGAGAGCCAATTTGCTTCACTTCATAATTTGCCCTTTCGCAAGTCGGTAGGTATTGGAAATTTTCCATTTTCAGTGAGCAGACCTTTTCATAACGACTTTTGATATAGTGCAGTTGTTGTTCAATAACTAGGTTATTTTAACGAACAACTCACCGGAAATCCCCTGTACCAGGGAAGCGAGAACACGATTATTGATTCATGATTGGGTAAGTCGGGGGCCTGCGACTTTGCTATATATTTACAGTAATCAAGGTGGTTGAGATGGACCAACGCCCAACCGTCGAAGGAGCAGTATGCTTGTGTCTCAAATCTGGGGGCATAATTGGCGTTGTGTCTTTAAGTCCTATGATGAGATTAAGTGCTTCGCAGGCAGCAGCTATGAAAAGGCTAGTTGCCACAAATTTCCAGCTCTATCTCTCGGCATCCTTTTTGACTTATAAAGGACGTATTCTTAAAATGCAGACAGATGAACTGCTTCAGAAAATTCTCACTCGTAACGAACTGGTCACAATGGTTTGGATATCATGAGCAAAAGGATTGACAGCCCACTGGAATTTTGGAGGAGTCGCAGAACTGCCCCCCTTCTTCAAATATATACACGTTCTAGGTTAGCAAGATTGGGTTCAGTGCCTGCAAATCATACGGCGTAACATTCGCATGGCCTTATTAGGCGTACAGAACCATCAAGGGAAGAAAACTCAGCAGTGGCATCCACATCATCCATCGTACAAGGATCTTGCGTACCGTTCAAAACTTCAAGTCCTCCGCCGTAGAAACTTATGATGCGGATGATAGGGTCTGGTGGAATTCTGCTAGAAAGGTTCCCTCACCGTTTACGGATGCTTCTGCTCGATTTCGGATGTTTTTTTGTTGCACGAAAACATGGCTAAGTTGATTGTAAACGTAATGTTGCTTAACTGATACTTAAGACGCGCTGACGTAGGTATTCAACGAGCATGGATATTCGGGCCCTTTAAAATAGTTTAGAATTCTCTGAGTGGTGTAGCGAACTAGACTGTCTAGATTATGAGTGGCCAGAAGGGCAGTCACTGAAAGAGCCTGCCTGACCATGCCTGCCGTCATATGTCATGGTTCCACAGTCTCCCGTCCGTATCCTTTGGCACCTAAACCTTACGAATACACGAGTGATGAAAATCCGAGTGATGAACATTGGATTGTTACCGATTACAATTTACCTATGAAACCTTTCGCCTGCCTGGTCGCAAGTGCTATGCAAGGCCACCAGATTTCGTTAGCAGCCAGAGACGACAAGACGCCGTCATTCTTTTACTGAGCAGTCGCCGTGTTGCGCAGAATCACTGGCCGTTATATAGTTCAAAATACAGCTCTTGTCATAAGCTCCCAAACACTTTGGGAAACCTGGAACATGCAATCATCACCACGCCACAGACTTCGCATACCTACCGTACTAGGATCGCGAAAAAGGGCGTCTGCAATCTTTAAGATTATAGCCCTAGGAACTGCTACCAACGTCTATCACTTCACACCAACTCAAAAGAATATTTCTATAAGTATCTACTGACTCCCCGGGCGATATAGCCAATTCTTCAAGTGAGGTAGTCTTCTCTGATGCTGATGTACCTGAAATTTCCCAACTCAGTTCGTTGGGTCGACATGGGTAACATCGTCAACACCTCACATGCGCTGTTCGAGGCGCGTCAGAAAAGGTTTGAAGGTCTTCCATCTCGATAGTCCTTCATTTTCTCGCCATTAAACTTGACGAATAAATAAGCGACGAATGTTTCCGTACAGCTAAACACAAGATATCGTCATGAAGATCCTCCTGATGTTAGTCTCTGCTCTTCTGATTCTTTCACCGCCCTGAATACAGGATCCCTGTGACTGGTACTCGGTTGGACCTGTGAACCAGACTCGATACTGCAGTTTATCGCTGTTATGATCGGAAACATTCAAGTTCGACGGAGAATGTGGTTAAATACTACATATTCAGACGCCACGACCTCTGAATACCTAACGTACTAATCTCGGATGCACTATGATAGATTCTGATTTAGTGAAGTACCAGATCTTTCACAGCCTGCCTAGACTTGAGAAATTGCAGCGGCCACTTAGAGTACGCCTATATAAAATCGTAGGTGGTCCGGGACCGCCGCTGTCGTTCCCAGAGCTGGACGAACACCTCCACGCCTCAGTCCGAAGCGACACCAACGGCAGCCGATGAAGTCCAATATTCAGATGGCGGAGACTCTGGTAATCTCAGTTTACAGGGCCAAAAATATGACTACTACCGTCAAAACAGATCACCAGACTTACGTCCAAGCCAGACTCTCTCCTCTGTCGCCTTTCACCATCTTCGTTCGGCGTCTAAACCTCAGGAATACGCGGCCGACGAAGGGTCCCGTGCAACTCAAGTTCGTGATAGCGGTTCAAAACATGTTCTGTTCTTGTCTTTGAAAAGGATTCTTAGATGAGATGTTTTCTTCTGACACTCCCAACTCTCCGGATGATAAATCGCTTGATCGGCCCCGGATTTGAAGAAGAAAGCATGCAACTTCAACACAGTCCCATTAAATACTACTCAAAGCCCAGCATCTCTCGACGCCTGCGTGTCGAGAATGACACATGCTATTTCAGACCAGTCGTTGAGTTCGAGACTACCTTTCGCTGGAGCGAGTATCGTGGCTATGTCGACATGCAAGTCTGCCACGGCGTACTATAAATCAAAACAGATTGACAGCGTCATGTGTTGATTCGGACGCCGGAATTGATCTGATGGGGTGTGTTCTGTGGCCATCTCGAACCGTCTTGTCGTTGAAGCTGCTGTTGTGGCTCCCGCAACCCCTTCAACCGCATACCCATCTCCGCCGCAGTTTCCGAGAACCATTCTGTCCTGCGTCATTCACCATCACTATCCCGCGTCTAAAGGTCACGAATATACAGAGAACAGAGGTCTGGCGTGACTCACTAAACCTACAACATAAACACACCTCAATGCTCGTATCCCGCAGACCGGCAATCTGAGCGATGCTCTCCAAATCGGAGACTTGATATGGGACACGCCCAGCAAGTTCGGCAAACCTTTCGATCCCCAAGACGTGTGGATGGAACGGGAATCGTACTAGCTATATCATCTTCTTAAATACTCACCATTCGCCGTCTCGAGGCACTCGTCGATCAAAAGCACCAGCCCACCTCTTCCCCGAGGAAAACACACCCAGTAGACCGTATGGCACAGAACTAGGAGTATTAAAGTCTCCATCGCTTCGTATGAACTGGGTCTGCAGATTAAGTGCAATGCACTTTGGGTTGCATCCTTGTATCCAGCCGTCTTCGTATCTATAAAGTCGATTTCACAAAACCATCCCGAATCCCATCTCTCATGTCGATGCGTTAGGCCACAGGGGCCTGCTCTTGAGCTTCATCGTCTTTCTTTGCCGTCTCTCCCAGCTTATACCCCCGTCAAACACCAACGACCTTCCCGCCTAACACACTCCCCGACTTCCACACAAACGCCACCCTCGAGACATCCACGATCGCCACGCCCACGATATCATAGGAATTGCAGACTCGACTGGCAACGAACTCATCGACGATTTCCCTTAGGATGGTGTCCTAGCCTTCCTCCGTCGCAGGAAGTCGGCTTTAAATACTCACTAGATTACGAAGGAAGAGCGCGGGATGGCACGAAACACACCTCGAACGAGAAACAGCAGAACCAAAATCGAAAGTCTACGTACCCATACTTCCGAGCTGGACATTCGTGCTGGTGGGTATATAAGCATATCCTACATCCATCCAGTCTAGCAACAAGCAACCGTTTGCTCCAGGAATCTTGAGTACCAATAACTCGAGTCATCTCTGGTGCCTTCGCAGTCCGGTTTCCAGGCGCATCGTCGACTTCACTTAAGTCTCCATACCTCTCACGTGTACATCCCACGCACCGTACGTATTTAAAGGGTGTATAAACAACAAAAGACGATGAAGAAAGATAGAGAGAGACCTCGATACGGTGTCCATAAGAAAACTCATGACTCCGGTGGTATGGTGCACTGTAGTACGTCCAGCCATGGTACTGCACGATGACTGCCAACGAAACCCCACCATTGACCGTCGCTCAGGACAGTATTGCTGTTGCTGAAGAGGACGTTTACCCGTGGTTGTCTCCCCTTAAATACGTGCAGCCACCACGGCATCCCCAAACCAACGTTAGCTATGGCAGCCTGGCATCGATCAACACCTAGACCGAGACCACACATCGCATAACCCAATTGGTACAACATAAACCCGATCGAAACTCCCGGAGACAAGGCTCTCACACGGGTATAAATCTATTCTCAACGAGCGAGCGTTTCCAACAACCTTCCCAGGCCTCGACAGGCAAACACACACATACATACAACACCACAACACCACAACGCCCCCAAGACAAGACATCATTGTATCATGACAATTCGTTTCCGTTTCCCCCCCTCGGGAGTTTGTAATTCGCCCAGCGAGGACAAAACCCTCGTTCATGGTCCCCACCCCTTTATCTAATGCGAGTAATATGCGCAAAGAATATGATCCGTCATATTTTTCGTGATTCCCGTATCCATTTCATATCCCGTGTGTCTCATAATATCCGTTGTAGTAAATCCCGGACAACGTTCTTTCAAACCCCGAATGTTGGTCTAAATGGGGTTGAAAAGGCCCCCCCTGGACGCCCGCAGCCAGCTGAGGCAGCATCTCTGCCCGTGTGCTGCTACCCTGCCCCGCTTACCCGCGGAACAAATCCCCGGTTCTACATAAACCCATACCCACCCCCGGCCCCGAGGCAAGGTAGTGAATAAGAAAAAGAAAAGAAAGAAAGCAACTCTCAGAGGGGAGAAGAAAAAAAAGTAAGAAAACGGATCCCCCCTGGAGGTTTGTGTGCGTCGCACCACACCGGATACGGGTCACCTGAGCGTGCTCTACAGCATGATGGGGTTGCGCGCGTCGGCACCCCGGTCGGCGGTGAGCTCCAGGAACTTGGAACAGGGCGGCAGCCTGACGCGGGAGCGGTGCGAGCTGGCCGGCCAGGTGCGGATGGAGTCGTAGAAGACGAGGCGGGAGGGCGTGGAGGCGGCGTGCAGCCGCCGCAGGCTCTGGCGGCACGGGTTGGACTTGAGGAGGGCGATGCGGGGCGGGGAGAGGCTGAGGCGGCGGACGGGTTCCGAGTTTTGGCGTCGGCGGCGGATGGGGCTGGATGAGGATGGTGGTGATTTGGCGCGCATGAACTGGATCCGGGCGGGCGGGTTGGGTTCCGTCGGCGTCCGGGGCGGGGGTGATGCTGACGGCGCCGAGTGGTGGTCGACGATGACGTCCGGGGGTGTGCTGGATTCGGAGAGGCTCAGTGAGAAGGTGCGCGGCTCGAGGGAGTAGCCGTAGTACATGAGTCCCCGCGTTCTCGTCGGCTCGTCCTTGTCTCTGAAGACGTGAGGGGTGGCCGCGTTTGCCTGCAGCTTCCGTTTCCGCCACTCGGAGTTGAGAGAGTTCATGAGCTTTTGGAGGACGGCCCAGGGGAAGATGACGGTCTTGGCTTCCCAGGCTCTGCCGGCCGCGAGTTCGGCGGAGAAGAATGTCGTCCATGCGCGGGCGTTGGAACACGGTTCGCCGAGGATCATGCTCTCGTCGGTGTGACGCATGCATCGCATCAATTCGACACGTTCCTGTCTGGTGAAAGGCACAAAGGGCTGCGACGGTGCGTTGACCATGTGCTGGAGGAGGGAGAGCGCCTCGGAGGCTTTGAAGAACTCGGCACACTGGCCCCCGATTGGGAGATACGTTTGGCGATAGCAAGTGATGGTGGGGTGTGCTGGATTTGGCGACTCCCCTGATGTCAAGCACAGGGTGACGGCTCGGTTGTCGCGGGTGAGGTTGACCGTGTAGTTGTGATGCGGAGACAACGGTTCCTGAGCTGGTGCTTGGTATGACAGATTGTCGCCAGCCCTGGACATCATGGCGGCGTGTGAAGGGGGCTTGTGGTCGTAGTCCATCGACTCAGAAGCGGCTCCATGGTCTGATCGAAAGCTGTGTAGACTGCATCCGTCGGAATACGAGCGGAGATGCGAATGGCCGTGGCGGGCCGGCGTAGGTGGTTGGACATGCGGCTCGGACTGGAAAGAGGGATCAAACTTGGTCGGAGGCGTCTCTGGGCCGAACGACGATGTGCGCGTCCTGACGTCTGAAGGTGTGTCGTGCCGAAGTTCAGGGGTTCCGTCAGGGTAAAGGTGCGGGAGCTCCGGGGAGTAGGCGGGTGAAGCAAGAGCCGACTTGCCGTATGCAGTCGGAGGACGAAATCCGAAATACGAGTTGAGTTTGCTAACAGTCTGCGCCGTCGAGTCATCGACATCCCACGCTGGAGAACGGGATGGCGTCGATGTCGGCCATTTGGCAAGAGAGACTTGCCCTTCGAGGTTTCTACGCGGCATGGAGCGGTAAAGCGACATGGTGAACAACAAAGACAAAACGCAGAGAGGAAGAGTTTCGAAAGTCGGCAGACTTGTGAGAAAAGAGTGAACTTCGGGCGCCAGTTGCAAGCGGACTCGTCATATATACGGAAGACGCAGTCCAACAAGCGCCAACCAAACGATCGGTCCAAAGGGGGGGAGCGGTCAGCCAACAGGAGCACACCGAGACATGGTGTCTTGGGATCTCCCCGCAGGAGCCAATCCCTCACCAGCCAACATACCAAGGGCCTTATTTTGCTTCTTCTCGCTCATCCAACAACGCACGACACTTGGGGGTCTGTTGGTAGGGCTATCCTCGTCAATGGTACGCGCTGAGGTAAACAGGCCCCGTCTGACCGGGAACTTGGGAGACACAACACCATCTCGTGTGTTAGTGTGCGCAAGTGTCTCCCACAGCCTCGAGGACCCATGGCGGCTTGGCGCCTCCCTGCATGCCTCCCGAAGAGATCGACGTGGTGCTTATGCAAAAAGCAAAGGGGAGTCCTATCAGGAGGCCCGGCAACGACTCCCGCGCGCTGGCGTGCGGTTCAGAGCCTCGTGTCAACCGGCCGAAATTGTGGCATTGCCGATTGATTGCATGCGTCGCTGCCCGAGGGAGGATGACGGGAAAAGCAACGTTGGTCTCGAGGGCCTGCGAGTGGCCGGCTGTTTCGCCCAAGAGCGACCTGCAGGCGCGGAACTGCACGATATATCATATTTCGCTCATGCGTGGCGGAACACAACGAGCCAGGTCCATCCGAATAGGAGGGAGGGGCAACAACACCACGACGCGATGGTGCATCGTGTTGAGGTTGTTTGGTTCACGGGCACGGTCGGTCGGTTTGGCGGCCGACGACGTGTTTTCTCGGTTAAGGCTTTCCGGGAAAGCACCTAGGAATGAAGTCTCGGGAGGCTGACGTTTGGAAAAATGAAGAAAACATCGGCGGCGGGCTCCGTTGTCCGCTCACCGCTGGATGAGAGACGGGAGCATGACGGGAGCATGGCGTGAGGGTCGAGAAAGAAGCAAGAGGGAAAAAAGCAAAGTGAGGCCGTCCGAGCGCGCAGCTGCGATATGAGACTTTGAGAGACAGTCGCATCCGGCGAATCAGAGCGATGCTAAATTAATAACCGCAGGGAGGGGGTGATATATAGCTGCGACGGGTCTCTCTGCCAGTCATATTCGCGACGGCGTTTGTTGACGTGGTCTGCTGGGTTACACATGTTGATTGTGGTGGATTCCCAGAGACTGCATTCACCCGAGGGTCCGTGAGAGACTCAGACTCAGACTGAGAGATGCAAATGGCGACGAGACACTGCAGAACAGAGGACAGGGGATTGCAGCGGAACAGCGGAGACGAGGCCGGAGACGGAGGCGGAGAGAAACAATGTACCGGGCTGGGGCGCGAGGCGAGTTAGGAATGGCAGGTGAGGCAAGGTACGGGGAGGTATTGTAACGCAATGCAACGCGAAAAAGACCTGGCGGAGAGGTGATGGCAGATGTGATGCGACACAATGTGATGTTTGTTTGCTTTTGAGTGAGCTACGGTGCAGCTGAAAAGCTCCGAGATTGGTGTTTTGGTGTGGGAGGTGAGAAGCAACAGTGTGTGTGTGGAGGAGTCGGTAAGCGATGGAGGTGATTAGAGTGATGTGAGAGATGTCGGGTCTAGGTCGCGTGTGGTGTGGTGTGGTGATGGCGGTGATGGTGATGGTGATGGTGATGGTGATGGTGATGGTGATGATGCAGGAGGATGAAAGGGGTGAAGGTGTGGCTGGTTATTCGTACATGGATGGATGGAAGGAAGGATTGGATGTCTTGCAGGGCCCGCCACGAAATGTTCCTTCCGTGTGGGTCCCGGTCCCGGTCGCCGGCCCTTTCCTCGGCCACTGGCAGCTGCAGCCATCAGTTCATGGCAGATGGCAGATGAGAAATGAATGGGGGGGAAAGGGAAATGCGAGGGGACGAAAGTTCCGATGCGTGCATGACGGCTGCCACTTTTGAAGAGGTTACCTTATTACCTTAGCTTATCTGTACAGACCTTACTTTGGGGGTACTCCAATGCTGACGTGACAGCGGGTTGTAACCGGTCTGCCGTCTGTCACCTGCGACTGCCCATTTCGGGGTGGCTTCTTACTCTTTCAATTTGAAGCCATCCAATGATCCAATGACTCCAAAAATGCAGGTACACACACACACACCTTGGTGATACACCTTTACAACTTGTTGGTGACTCTCTTGTCATTCTGGTCAAAACCACGCCTTCCCGACGACATGAGCGACATGAACGACAGAAGAATTGGGGTCGATGGAGACCGTCAGCCTTCTTAATTGGGGAAGCCTGTGGTTGCCTAGAACTTAATCCTTGGGCCAGCTGCTCCGCCTCACCAACCGACGACTGAACCATCAGCCCAGACGAAAGCCTCGCCCGTGCGGAGAAGCAGATCGAGTTTAATAGAACTCCAAACATTGACTCACTCGCCGCGAAAAATATCATCGGCAACGTCTGCAATACTGTTTATAAGGCAGTCTTCTTTTCTTGGGCACCAAACCTCCAAGACATCCAATCATCCCATACTCACCAGCCAACTATTGTTTCCTCGACGCTGTTGGCGACGGAAAATACAAGTCTACAAAACATCACCGCAAAAGAAAATAAGCGATCAACACAACTTACCACGAAAACATGGCGGCCGCTGCGACTATCCAACTGACACCACCGTCATTACACGGTGTCGGTCAGCCCTATGCCATGCCATCAGCCACCAACAGCATCGGTGCCACACACCATGTCACCGCTGCCGACATGGACGAGGCCATCCGGTTGGCTCCCCTCTGCCGCGATGCCCTGAACCTCCTCGACGACAAGATGCCACACTTTAATCACTCGTACGCCTTCACGGCCGACGAGATCCTGGCCCTCCCCTTGGACACAGTCCGCATCCCCGACGAGTTGCACGGCCTGCCCCGCCGGAAATCTACGCGATCTTCGCTCGCATCCGCCGTTGCGACGCTGTTGTATCCCGCCACCCACGAACAGGCTCTGTCATCCGTGATCCGGTACGACGCTGCCCGTGTGAGACTGCGCGCATGGATTGCGCTGCAGCGGAAGTACGACATCTTTGCCGCCACCAAACGGAACGGCCACAGCTTCCGCGGCCTGACTGGCGGAGCCGCTCCCGGCGTCCATGCGCCTGTCTGGTCATCCCGCATCCTTGCCCAGGGAACGTGGGACCCGTCAAAACTTCCCGTGTCCACCGCTGGTCCCAGGGCCATCCCGATGCCCGTTTCCGTCGCCGACGCCGCCGACCTGGCCCCGTTCTTCGACCATCTCGAGCAGGGCGGCACTCACGAGCTCGACGAGAACTCGGCCGGCGTTGATCTCGACCACGGCAAAGGAGAGCCCTACTTTGGCGTCAAGGCAGCCGAGTTCCGCAAAGGTGTCGTCTACGAGGATGGTCGCATGGATCTCTGCAAAATGGTTGTTGGCCCAGACCACATCGGCAGCCTGATGGACAGCTTACGGCCGAATCCTTTCGTTCGACACTTTTTGCTGGGCAACAACATCATTGGCCCGGTTGGCGCTCGGGAGATTGCCCGCTTCATCCAAGACCTTCCTGATCGCATCGACACTTGGTATCTCGCCGGCAATTGCATCGACGCCCCCAGCTTCAAGATCCTCGTCGATGCCTTGGTCACCTCCGACGCCGTCACAAACATTTGGCTGAAACGCAACCCGTTGGGTTCGGCCGCCGCCGCGGATGTCTATCGGCTCATCACCGAGACGAAAAACCTGCGGACGCTGGACCTCGACCAGACAGAGATCGGGGACGCCGGTCTCGCAGAGCTGTTCACCCGTCTGGCGGCGTACTCTGATCCCTCCGGCCGTAAACTGCCCCTGCGACATCTGTACTTGAACGGCGGCGGCATGTCGACAACGGCTGCCAGACAACTTGCAGCCTTCTTGGCCTCGCCGGCCTGCGGTGTCACCTCGCTATACATGTCTTGTAACCCACTCGGCGACGCGGGTATGCAGGCACTGGCCGAAGGCGTTCGTCAAGCTCCCCAACTGACTCGTCTGTCGCTTCAGTCCACTGGTCTGAACACGGCAGGTGCCATTGCCATTTGCCAGGCAATCACGTCGCATCCGGGGATGCGCTGCCTGGACCTCGGACAGGCATATGCGACCATGGACCTCGGTCAAGCCTGGAACTACATCCAAGACGCCGCCGCGCCATCTCTCATCGAGCTCTTGTCGGGAAACCAGACCCTTGAGTATCTGAACCTCGGCCATTGCCCGATCACACCGCCAGTGTTGCGGGACATCGACGCGGCTGTCTTGAAGTCTTCGCTGCTGGACTACGACGCCGAGTCCATCCTTCCAGACCCGACAATCAAGGAACCTAGGTTCAATCCGTCAGCCGACAGGACCATGCCTAACATATGCTCGTTCGGGGCAGTGACCAAGGACGCGAAAGCCGCCGAGAAAGCCGTCGACGACCACTTGGAGGCCAACGTGAAAGCCAGGTACGGCAACGACATGACTTACACTCGATTCCAGGACGAGGAGAGACGATGGATCGTGAACGACAAGACGGACGTGCGGAAAATCGACTCGGTGTATCGCAATCGCGATGCTGGGTATGCGCGCCGGCGGCTCCAGGCCTTGGTGAAAGACTGGGACAAAGATGACGACACCCTCGACCGCGTTATGAATGCTCAAGGCCCCTTCTGTTCCCTTCGTAAGAAGGCCGCGGTGCCGGATGCGCAGGGACCTTTTTGCACACGCCGTAAACACTGAGTCATGGTGAGGGAGACCAGAACACGGAGATCTTGATCGAGGAACACAACGGCGACGCCACAATCAACGGCCACGTTCTCACCTTGACGTTCTGTTCACTTGCCGTGGTGAGGAGCTGGAGTGCTGCGGAGGGTCTGGATGGGGCTTCTCGGAATGTGGTGGAGGTCAAGGTGGCATCGGCGGAAAGAATCTGCGCACTGACGGAGCGTGGAGCGCCGGGGCTAAGGATCACGAAACGGCCGCCTTGTCAACAACCACCAGTTGACTCAGGTCTATTAGTCTAGTTGGTTAGGACGTCGGATTCTGATTCACCATCAGTTCCTTCCGTAAGCCCAGGTTCGAATCCTGGATGGACCTATTACTTTTGCTTTTGTCGGCACTGACGAGCGTTTTCGTTTAATCGTTAGAAAAATCTTTTTTTGCGCCCTACTATTATTGAGTTTCCGCAGCTGTGAATGCACGTAGCGGGGAGTACGATGAATTGCTTATCGCGAGATAAGCCTGTAAAGAGTGTAAGTAAACCTTAGTAGATACTTACATAAGCTTCAACGTCATTGCTCGAGACACTGAGACGCGCATCAACAATCAACAGATCGCCAGAATACACCGATCGCGCCGGAGTTGGTTCCAATTTCCAACGCCGGACGCTCGTGACTCACTACCATTCCGCAATCTTCATCGTGACTCTCGCAACATTCCTCGACCCACGAGACCTGTCTCTGCCAGTGGAACGCAAAAGCCACAGTCCACATATCCAACCTCGATCAGCCTCGCACCCCTGCAAGGTCACTCTCCCACCCGCGATACCGCAAAGTTTAATTGATCAACGACATCGGGGAGTCCTCTCAATCCGACACCTTTTCGGGGCGCATACCCACCCAGGGTTAAATTAGAGAAGGAAAAAAACACGAAAAAAAAGAAAGCGCACATGCTCCGATGGCGCCGCTGAAGCGCAAACAACCCCACGACGACCCCGAACCTCCACCCCCCACCACCACCGCAACCGCCACGGCCGCCGCCGCCGCACCTCCCGGAGCACCCGACTCGACGCGTCGCGCAACGCGTCAAACCCCGATCCTGCCCCCTCCGATCCCGACCTCGCAAACGCAGTCCCAACTCCCGGCCGCCGACGACAAACGCCGCCGTCGCTCCTCGACATCCACAAGACCGCACCCCCAAAAGATCTCTGAGACGCCCATCCCGATCCCCGTGCCCCCGTCGTCGTCCTCCTCCTCGATCCCACCACCAACCTCCGAACCCCGCGCCACCCGTCGAAAAAGCGGCGCGGCCGCGGATACCACGCCCCTACCACCACCCGCCATGGGCGCCGTCAAGGAGGCAAAGGAGAACGTCAGGCCCATGACCCTCGTCGCCCCCAAGATCACCTACCAGGCCTCCCAGCCGCACGCGCAGCACCGCACGGGGGGCAGCCTGGTCCGGCCCAGCCCGCCGACGAGCCAGCCGCCGATAACGTCGCACTTCAGGCCCGTCCCGCGGCCCGGGCCGTACCACCACGGCATACCCGCGACTGTCACGGCCGTCCCCGTCCCCGTGACGCCCTCGGCGCAGACGAATGCGTCGTCGACGCCGAAGCAGCAGCCCGCCGCGCCGAAACCGACTCCGGCTGCGGCACCGACGAAATCGAAATCGTCGACGCCCCGGACGCTCGACAAGTCCGCCCCGAGGACGGACCGCAACATCGACAAGGTCATGCTCGGCAACATCTGCTTCAGGGCGTGGTACCCGTCGTACTACGGCAAGGAAGTCCTCGGCGACGCGTCCGCGAGCGCCAAGGGAGGCGGCAAACATCCCCCACCCGATCTCTCCACCACCACCACCGGCGCCGGCGCGAAGAACAACCACCGCAAGGGCGCCGACGCGCCCATCCTCGACAGGCTGTACGTGTGCCCCGTGTGTTTCAAGTACTCCAAGGAGCTGGTGGCGTGGTGGGGCCACGTGCGTGTGTGCGAGCGCGGCGGGACGGTGCCGGGGCGGAGGGTGTACACGCACCCGCGCGGGCGGCGGCTCGTGCGGCGGGAGGTGCCGAGGGCGGCGGGGGGCGGGAAGAAGGGGAACGTGGCGGCCCGGTTCACGGAGGAGGTCGTCACGGACGAGGGGGAGTGGAGCGTGTGGGAGGTTGACGGGGAGCAGGACGTGGTGAGTTCTTTTTTTTTTTGCTTCTGAAAGTCTGTGAAAGTGTGGATCGGGGACTAATGGATATGCAGCTCTTCTGTCAGAATCTCTCGCTCTTCGCGAAGCTTTTCCTCGATAATAAGTCCGTCTTCTTCGACGTACGCGGGTTCAATTACTTCCTCCTCGTCTACACCCCGCCCCCGCCCCCGCGTCCAGCAGACTCCGCCTCCACAGAGCAGCAGCAGCCACGCCCGCACATCGTCGGCTTCTTCTCCAAGGAAAAGATGTCGTGGGACAACAACAACCTGGCCTGCATCCTGGTCTTCCCGCCGTGGCAGCGCAAAGGGCTGGGCGCGCTGCTGATGGGGGTCTCGTACGAGATCTCGCGGCGCGAGGGGGTGCTGGGCGGGCCGGAGAAGCCCATCTCGGAGCTGGGGCGGCGGGGGTACAAGCGGTTCTGGGGCGGGGAGGTGGCGCGGTGGGTGCTGCTGGGATGTGCCACCAACAGTCTCGCGGCGCCGGAGAGGGAGTTGTTGGTCGATCTGGAGGATTGTTGTCGGGCGACGTGGATCGCGGTGGAGGATTGCCTTGCTACGTTGAGGGAGATGGGGGTTGTCGTGGAGGGTGGGCGGGGGCCGGGGAAGATTGCGAAGAGGAAGAGGAAGAGGGGGGAGGGGGATGTTGATGGTGGCGGAGATAGGGGGGAGGGGGAAGAAGAGCAGGAGGAGGAGGATGTGGAGATGGAGGATGTTGGAGAGGAACCGGAGACGAGGGATGTTGCGAGGGTCAAGGTTGATAAGGAGGCTGTTTGGACTTGGCTTGCTGCGAATCGGATTAGTCTCGAGAGGGTTTGTGATCCGGATGGGTTTGTGGAGGGGTATGCTATCAAGGAGAAGGAAGTGGATGAGGATGAGGAGTGAGTTGGTACTTTTTTTTAGTTAAGATATCCCGTGTTCTATCTTCGAGGTGGTTGAAATGTTACTACCTGATGTGGTTTGCATATTGGTTCAAGGCTGCAGTTACACCATCCCGAAGTTTTGTCTTTGAGGTGGTTGAAACATCACCGCTTGATGTAGTTCCGAGGTTAGATTAAAGCTGCAGCCATAACATCACATACTTCCTTCCATCTTTAACATGGTTGAAGTACCACCTCTTAATGTGGTGCATAGGTTGGTTGAAGGCTGCAGTCACGATATTCCATACTTTTATCTTCTAGGTGGTTGAAGATTCACTGGTTGATGTGGCGGTTCAAGGCTATAGTCATAATATCCCGTACTTTTATCTTTAAGGTAGTGAAAGCATCATCGCTTAATATAGTTCAAAGGTCAGTTTAAAGCTGCAGTTATAACGTCCCATACTTTTATTTATAAAATAGCTAATGTGTCACCGTTCAATGTGGTTCTTAGGTTGGTTCAAAGCTGCATTCAATATCCCGCAGTTTTATCTTCTAGGTAGTTGAAGATTCACCGCTTGAGGTGGGATACATCTTGGCTTTAGGCTGCAGCGACGACTCCACAGATCGATTCTCCAGGTTGCTGAGTCAAAAGACCAATTCACGCGGCACCAACCAACACCGCAACGGAGGCGCAGCACCAACAACATACCCAGCCAACCTCCAGGCATACACACCAACACAATAAATACAATAACAGAACTCACAAAGAACGAAACACATCACCAACATAACACTCCCCTCTCATCACTGCCTCTTCACGCCCAAAAAATGTCGGAGGAATCCAGCCCCGTCCCCACGCCACAGCGAAGACTCTCAACAGGCGGCAAGCCCCCCGTCCGAGTCCGCTCCACCTACGTCGTCGAGCCGGCCCCCTCCCGCCACGACCCCTCCGTCCCCTGCTTCACCGCCTGGGAGCGCCACGAGCTCTGGGGCCCCCCGCCGCGCGGGTGGACGGTCGAGGACTTCCCCATGGCCGACACGCTCCCGCACTGGTCCTTCCAGATCTACGACACCACTCCCGGGTCCGACTCGGCGGAGCACCTGAAGAAGATCGCGCGGGCGCTGCACGAGGACACGTTCGAGAGCCGCACGATCCCGGACCGCGGCGAGCCGGACCGGTTCGACGTCTGGGGGTTGCCGATGGAGGAGGGGCTGGGGGAGCGGGAGAGGGTCGAGCGGTGCCGGGAGCACGCGATCGGGGAGGCGGCGGCGAGGATGAGGGAGGGGGTCGAGGGGTGGGATGTTCCCGACAGGAGGCATTCTTGGAGGGAGGACAGGACGACGAAGGTGATTGTCGTGATTGACCGGCCGCGGGAGGAGTGGGGGGAGGGGGAGGAGGAGGAGGAGGAGGGGGAGGAGGAGACGGGCGGGTGTTTGGGCGTCGAGTGGGATGCGCGGCCTGATTACGAGACGTACTTGAGGGGGAAGGGGGAGAGGCCCGAGGTCTGGTGGTCGAGGGATACGCTGGAGGGGTTGGGGAATGAAATGAGGGAGATCAGGTTCACGTTTCCTGAAACTGAGGATTCCAGTGAGGAAGAAGATGAGCTCTGCGAGTGAGGAGGGGATATATGACTTGCGCTCTCTGAGATGGAGTGAGGAGACGGCTGGCGAGCATGTTGTTTTCTTTTCTTGGAAGGCGACGCGCTTGGTGGCTCTAGGACAACTCGATGCCGTAACTGAGTATTTGGCGCTTCGGGAGGAAGTAGGATGAGTCTTAAGGGGTATACTAAGACTTTCTTGGATTGAACTTGAGTACTCCAACGCAGTTCATAGTGAGGCTAGATTTACACTCGGCTGGTTCTCAAAACGCCTCACTTGGAGGACGTTGGAGCAAGTCTCCAGAATCGCAAGGCGTCAGGCCCAAGTCGTTCTGTTCTAAAGTCAAAGTCAGCACTTTGAAGCATGTACCCTCCGCCTAGATCAAAACCAACTCAACTCTCTGAGTAGCTTTGAATGTATCTCACTCTCGGAAGAACTGAGGCATGTCTAACATATAATCAAAAAGGCCCTTTTCGAACCAAACTCAACATTCTGCAGCAAAAAAACACAAAATCAAACCAATTCAACTGGACACCATCCAAATTCATCTAAATCATACCTAACTCAGAATGCACCCGCCTCTCCCACAAGCCAACCAACCATCCGCCTCCACGAACTCACTAAAAGACAGTCCTCAACCAACCCCACCGCGTAGATGATCTTGTCGGGACTGCCAATATTGGGATTCTTATCAACAGCGTCGCGAGTAACACCGCTCCATCCATAAGCCCCATGAACCAACGCTCCCGCAAGCCAACCCAGCCGGGCTGGGAAAATCCATCTTCTCCGTCGTCGCGAAGCCGTTCTTCTCGTCCTTAGTCAGCTTCTTATACTCCTTGTCAAAGTCCTTCTGGGAGTCCGCCGTCCGCTGCGCTTTGTGTTAGTCTTTCTCTGTGGACACCAGGAGGTACACTCACTTTGATAATCGTCGATATTCCTCAGCGACAGCTTCACCACCTCCACGCTGCACTGCTGGTTGTTCCAGGGGTCCTTGAACGCCCAGTAATTCGCGATCTCGGGTATCTTCTCCGCGTCGCTGCTCGTGGCGTGTTTCCTCACGCAGCACCTGTACCCGGTCTTCGCCCTGCCCGGCGTGGTCTTGACGATCTTCTGGCCGATGGTGCGCCGGAAGAGATTCAAGGCCAACGAGGACAGGTTCTCGCGGAGCAGCTTTGAGAAGCTCCTCTTGCTGGCCGCGGCGTCGGAGGCCTGAGAAGAAGTCACCATCGACATTGTCGTCGTGGCCTGCGCGGCGGTCTCTGCGGGTTTCGTGGTAGTCGTGGCCTGCGCCGGCTTCTCACTCGGCTTCACCGTGGTCGCATCCGGCTTCTTCGTGGGGTCCGGCACGGGGTCGACCTCGCGGCAACTCCCGCCCTTTTCTTACACCCCACGGGACATGGATTCCGGGGCGCCGAGAAGGGACCTGAAGACCTTTGTGATGTCAAAGTCGAAGTCCGGGACGCCGCAGGCGTTACCGACCCAGTTGCCGAAGAGGGAGGCGGAGGAGGCCTGGCCGCCGGGGATGAAGAAGAGGCCGAAGTCTGCGATGGACTTGAGGGAGGAGAGCATGACGGCGCAGATAACCTTGTCGAGCGGCTCGAGCCCTCCGATTACGATCTTGGAGATCTCGTCGCAGAGCTCGCACTCGCAGACACATTGGCCCGGGTACCACTGGTTGCAGTCTTCGTCTTTGAAGAGAGTGCCGGGGTCGAGTTGGACGCCTTCGGGGACAACAGACTTACACTGGGACACGTAGGTTAGCTGTTGTTCATGTTGTGCGGGCTTTCGTCGTTGGGCGTCGTTGGGCTTTGGTAGCGATCACTTACACCCGCCTCATTTGTCATCCCCTTCACCTTCTGGCAATAGCCGTCGGGGCCAGAACAAGGTGCCAAGGTCTTATCGCGGTTGCCATTGCCGATGTAACTGAAGCACTGGCCGGTTGTCTTGTACTTCGCGATGATTTCATCGTCTTTGTTGCCGTTTTTCTGGGGACACTTTGGGGCTCTGGAATCGAGGTGTATTGCCGAGGCCAAGGCGACACTGCTGCAGAGTAGCGTCAAGAGGGCGAGGAATCTCATTGAAGGAGAGAGTTTGTAGAGCAAGAGAAAGAAGATAAGTGAATCATCAAAGTAAGCTGAGGTTTTTGAGCCGATGGTGGATGATGTAGATTGTTTCCACGATACTATCATCCACCTTTATAAGGGTTACATACTGAGGCTTTGCTTCCCAAAGTCCATCATGAAGACCAACTGCGGCTCATTCTGCTCCACTTAGCAGCCCTCAGAGTAAGCATGGCTCACAGCGTAAAGCGAATGAAGCCTTGTGTTTTTTTAACTCGTTGCATCGTAAGATCTCTGTTGGTGTATTAAACCTGAAACGCCACCCCCAAACACCCAAGCCGTGAAGAACCGCTTGAGAGACTAAGCAACTGCGCTCAGAGCCAAAAGATCTTTGGTTGATGCTCGAGGCTTTTTCCAGTCAGATGCGAGTGAAAGACTCCGTGGGTAAAGCTTGTTGGTTCGGGATCTTTAGTGAGCCCCTCATATTGGGTTCTCATCGGGCTATTTTTGGACTGCCAACAACGTGCTTCGCCTCGCTTGAGTGGCTGTTGGCGCCAACCGACTCCCATTATAACCAACACCAACACGGCCAACAATGATATGTTCCACATAACGATCCATTTTTCTCTCTTGTCTCCGATTCAAGTTGCTTGGTGCAGATGTTGTTTACGTCTGATTAGACAGTGCCTTGCATGAGTTGAAGGCTTGTCTCAGTCAATGGGACCGAGCTGGGAGTAGCATCAACGGTCTACACCTGTTCTCCTTCTGCCTTGCCGCATGATTCGTACACGTCGGAAAGTGCTAGCTTGGCCACGCTACTGTATTCGGAGATTCGTAGCAGAAGGGCTAGCCGCTCTTTGCTTCACGTTGGCTCGCTTCAGTCTACCGCGTCACACGCTGCGGTTTTAGCTAGTCCCTATGGCTCTACCGCAATTTATCTCACCACTCGGTATGTGGCTATGGAAAGTCGCACGGTATACGATAGAACAATTGAAACGCAGCCTCATTAGCGCGTCCAAAAAAACTCATGCAGCAGCAGAGAGATGCCAACGAGCCTCACGGTTTGGATCATGGCCCGGTTTGAGATATTCTGGGATCATTCCTCAAGAACAATCTCTTCAAGTCGTTCCCCCAGACAGGACTCATGTGCGCGACTGCCAACCTGCGTCAAAGACTATTGCTTAACTGTCGTACTTGAATACTGCAACGTGAAAGCGAGATCCAAGTAACTTCGGCTGGAAAACAGGTCTCTACTTGTGGTTTCCCTTGCGCATTATGGAGAAAAAAAGGGATACACTCTTATCAGAAGCTGCCCTAGGCAAGAATCACGAGGTGGCCCACGACACCAAGCAACCCATATTGGAAAGGGAATATTAGAAAGTCATTGTCAGACATAACACTCATATGAGGTCGGAAGGGTAGCTAGGGGACTTCGGCCACGGCAATTCGATAAAAGCCTAAAGCGTGCTGCGCAAACGACGCAGTAATTTTCAGTGCCCTGTGTGTCAGACTCGGAGCCAACAAACATTGCATCGACGTGGAAGAATGCAACGCGACGGGAGTTATCGGGTGGCACAGGTAGAAGAGGTATTCCGAAAAGGGAAACGAGCTTGAACCACTGTAGGCAAAAGCTTCGAACCGTCGAGAACTCGGTCAACCGAAATGATGCAGTTAAAAAAAACTGTTTGCACCGGCTTGGCTTTGTTGGCTTGGTGGCTTGCTTGAGGAGTAAAAGTCCACGAATTGATTCGATACGAGGAAAGGGTTTGGCGAGATGCCGCCAGGGTCTTGATTTTAGTCCAGGATTCGCGATGGGATGCCTTAGCGAGATGCTGGGAGCTTTCCTAATTACACCTTCCCCGGGATCGATTCTTTGTCATCCTCAGGTTGGCTTGCAGTTCGCAAGGATGTTGTCGTCGGGCGAGGGTGAGACTCATTTTACTACCGGAAGGAATGCAGAGAAGCGAATGCACCGTCGTTGGTGTGCGTGCGTGTGTGGGGCGTCTCCCGTTCCGTTCCCGCCCGTTAGCGGGGCTGGGCGGTCGGGGCTCCGGGCCCGGCCGGGTCCATTTTGGGACGTCTGATGCAGCCACTTCGGAAACATTTTTTTCGGCTTAGTCTGAGCCTAAGGCAACGACGTCTCATCTCTCTCTCGCTCTCTCCGTCGGCAGGAATGGGAGCTGACAAGGAGGTGTGGAAAAGAGAAATGAAAATGATATTCCCTTCTCCCCGTGGGTAAGACCGTAAGCTCGGAGCAACTGACTCCACATCATCATCCGTCAGACGCTCGGGCTGCCTCTAACCGGATCAGCCTGTCTGGTTACTACTACAACATTGCGGTTGCTACGAATATGTAGACACGATGGAGGTACTTGAAATTGAGGTTGATTCGCTGGTTTGCGTGGGGTTTTCCTCGGCCAAATTGAAGCATGTTACCTGGCTAGGACTTCTCTGAATGGGATACATCCAATCATCTTGTTAGACATCCTGTTGGCGAGTGGACCGCGGCACTTGTTTATCAGCCTAGGATCAGATCTACAGGCTCCTGCGCCTTTTCCCACGCTTCAGACAAGACCACGCCGCTGCCCTGGCGCGTTGCCACGCCATGCTCCCACCCAATGCAAAGAACGAAATAGCAGTCCGAATGCGGCGGTGGATTCCTAGCACTAAGTATCCGGGCCCTTTTCTCCGCGGCCGTCAACGGGTGTATGAATTCGTGAAGCCGCTCCGACCAGCCCTTCGCCACCGCTACGAGTTCAACCGTCTCGAGCGAGAGCAAATGATCCATATCCGGTTCATCATGGGCATACAAGACCCCGGCGAATTCCTGATCGCTCGTGTATAACTCGAGACAAAGCGCTTGGTTCTCTATTCCCGGACGTAGTGGTCTCGGGAGGAAGAAGGCTCTGGCTGTTCTTGCGAAGATGAACGGTAGCTGGGGAGGCGGCTCGGCCACCTCTGTCCTTGACGGGACGGGAACCGGGTAGTGAAACCCAAAGTGTCCGAACCTGTAGAGCTTCTTGAGAAAATTTTCGTCTGGGATCTCGTCCTTTATCCAGCCCTCCGGAACGTGTTCGGGATATTTCTGGGCGAGCGTTTTGTGCTGATGCCACGCAGACTTGATGGGGTGCATTTCTGATGGCGACGATGATGGCGACTTCATAGCGAACCACTTGGCAACAGGTTCCAGGAGCCCATAGTGGCTGGAGCCCATGTACTCCGAGTCCCGGAATAACTGGATGCTCCCTTGCCAGGCTAGCCAGGACCAACTTGGAACAATGCCCTCCCTCGACGTGGCGTTGGTCGACGCGACCCGTCGTTTCACTCGATGATGACCCCAGAGTAATGATCCCTCAAAGAACATCTGAGGGTGTCCATAGATAAGTCCGCCCTCGAAATACGAACTCAAAAAGTTCTGCAACCCCAAAAACGCTCTTGGGGCATCCCCCGGGAGCGTGAGGTGGCGACCGCTGAACTCGCCGGCAGCATCACAGATCCACGAATTGCAAGGGCTTCGGTATTCAGGTCCCATCCAGTTGACAAGGGGAGTGCGGATGTAAGAACTCTGGTGTGCGCCATCGCGTGTCTCTTCATACCAAGTTACGCTCGAGCACACCCAGCGAAGTGGACCGTCGGTGAAGATTAGTCGTCTCTTTGCGAAAAGGAACTCCTGCAGTGTCCATCCGCGCTCAGCCCAATCTGATCCGTCTCCAGCCGTTGCACTGCTGATATAGGGAGCACGTCTGAAGAAGGCCAGTTGCTCTCCCCCAGCTAGGTCGAGAACATTCTGGTCCAAACACCTTGGTTCCGAGATGCCTCGAAACCCTCGGAGGCCGTGGTCCGCATCTTTCCCAGAGAAGGCAACCAGACAAAGGGCCGAAGATGCGTATATCTGATGCATGATGTTCAAGTTCCGGGACATGGCCTCATGATCATCTTGGATGATACATAGACGGTCGATCCAGACATACCTGCAACCAAGGCTCCTCGTTATGTTGATGGCGTCCCGCACCGTTCTCGGCACCTTTGTGGTGTTGTCGGGGTGTAGCGAACCCGGCCTCCTTAACATCTCGACATTGTCCTTTGTGGTCATGACAGAATCCACAACGCCCCAGGTATAAGACAATGTGAAGTAGGTGGTCGTGGTCGAGTTCGATGGCACGATGCACAGGTCCTCAACATCAATCAGCCACTCAGGACACACATCTGCCCACGCCCTCCCTGGTGTCGCCGATGGCGGTTGCGCACATGCAGCTCCATGTTTCATGAGGCATTCATCATGCCAAGAACGCGGTATCGACTGGTCGATCCATTGGGAGTCAGTCAAGCGCGACGTCCCCAAATGGCCAGGTTGGTCGGGTTTGCCGACCAGCTCAAAATATTGAAGTTTTAGGAGTTTCTGCGGCTTTTCTGTTGGTCGAATGAGAATGGCTAGATCTCCCGACTTGGTCGCGACCGCGACCAGAATTTGATGCGGCGAGCTATTGTCCAGCTCCATGAATTCCCACAATCTTCTCATTGACTGCGCGTGCGGGCAGGGCATCTGCATCAGGCTGTGCATGTTTCCCAGATGGCGGATCACAGGTTGCCACCTTCTCTCTAAACCCATCCTGATGACAACCAAGATGTCCGAACAGACTCGGCAACCGTCCGGTTCCACTGTCGCTGTTTGAAAGACGGGCGCGACCCCATCGCCGGGCTCAGGACTGGCCGTGCCGGAAGAGTCGCGCCGTTTTTCAAGGCTGGGAGCCGACATTGATGGGCGCGTTGGGGGGCGTTGTTTGCTAACGAATTCGATGAACACAGGACTGAGTCCCAATTTATCAAATCGACGACCAAAGCACGACGGTTGAAAACAGGACACACGCGAGGCAAAAGCAATTGATCTGGGCGCTTAACTGAGGGGTATCTACCTGACCGGCTGGACTTGTTGGTTGGTTCCATTGCTTCATGCAGTTCACATTTGGCAGCTGCACTCCTGAGGTGGAGACCTAGGCCCGGGTCTTAGGTAAGCATGGCACAGCCACATGTGCTTACCTCACCTGCCACTCACCTGAGCCACTCTCGTCAACGGGCAATTTTGAGAATGGAAGGCACGAACCATGGAAGCGCGGCAGGAGCGACGGGAAGGGATTTTCCTGCCGCAAGTAAGCTCGGACGAATTGACTTCACCTCATCATCCTGACTGTCAACAATCAACGAAATCAATTCCGTCAGATTCCGGCTCTAATTTTCGACTGTGCCGTTCGGTTGGCTCGATAGAGCAAACAGCCAGCCGCCTTTGCTTTTTCCTGCGACACCTGTGACCCTGCAAGACCAATTTAAGATACGATCGAAATGCAGAAGTCAAACAGGGCGATTCAGGAGCACAAAGCAAGCTGTGGCTCAACTATTGGCTTCTAGGCCTGACCACCATTGGAGGCGCGTTGCACAGAGTATTGACGCAGACGTCCGGCAATGATGCGTCATTTTTGAGGCTCAATAGCCTCAGGCACACACCGAGACACACACACACACAGAAAGAGAGACAACAGCGATCGGTCACACCCGGAGCCGGCAGCGCCAACCAACGGTGTGCCCATCGTTTCTTCCTCAGCGGCCGTCAGCCGGAGTTGAGGTCGTTCCGTAATGGAAGTCATCAATCAGCAGGAGCACACCACCGTCAACGACATCAGCACCCACCAACACCCTTCAGCAGCTGTCGTGTTGGCATCAACAGCATCTTGGCCGCAAAATTTTCGTGCTTCAGTGGAAGCAAGTACCTCACACCGTTTGGGTACATACGCCTCCGAAACAATGGCGGTCCCGCACGTCATAACGGTGTGTACACAGTACGTGCTGCAGGCCTATGAAAAGGCAGCGTAGCGTTTGTACGAGTACCGACAGGTGGGATGGACGACGCTAGATTTACGTTTGGCACTGAATCAATCTCGCAGAATCTCCTATTGTGGGCCCCTGCCACGACCGGCGACCGTATGCCAAGTTGACGGCGTTGCACCCATCTCGGCCATATCTGAATTCTCAGACACTGGAGCCTCGGACGTCGGCTGAATGGAGCGAGAGACGTTCTGATTGGCGGCACTTCCGAGGCGGCAGCTGCCAACACCTCTCTGATTGCCAACGCCAGCCAGGTTTCTGGATTCCTGCCGGGATCTCACGTAACACTCGTCTACTCTTCATGCGGTAGGGGGCAAAGAGGAAAGGGTGTGAGGTGCTGTCGGGTGCAGTCGCCGACAGGAGTCCCTGACAGCCACAGGGCGCTAGGCCAATGCGCCGTGTGCTTCGATTGACTTCATCTCATCTTTTGGTGATGCGGCCCGGCCGAGAAAAGTCTGATAAGGCGAAAAGGGTTCGAGCAAGACGTAAGGGAGGGTCGACAAGAAAAAAATGAAGAGAGGGAAATTGAACGGAACACAATCAGTCGCCTCGGCCTTCAAACGACGATGCGTCTCACCGCGTCCCTTTTTATCTCTGGGACCGACGCTCCAACTTGGTCATCGTGTCCACTTTCTTTCTGGCGTCGTTGGGTCTCTTTTTTGAGCTATTTTGTCGGGTCCACCCACGTGTGAGTACAGGCCTGCGGCTGATTGGACCCGGTCGCCTCAAAGTGGGGGCTTGAACGGTATCGGGGTGGGGGTCACCGCAAGCCATGACCGGGTTGATATCAAAGCTGACATCGTCTCTACATTTTAGTGCTGAAAAAGCGCGCGGTGCCTGAGGGAACGGTTTTTTCGAGAAAATTTTCTCGCCATGGGACGCCCGTCTATCGGATTTGGCAGGCGCAACCCCCCCGACGACTGCCGTCATCGACATGTTTCCTTTCATATCTAGACCCCGTTCAGCCGTCACCAGCACTAAGGTAATCCATCATTCAACAACGCTGGAGAGAATAATCCAGTGATGCTCAACGACTTGAATAACGTCTCGCCTCCGTAACGATTCGACCCGTAACCATTCCCATTGCCGGCCGTCACAGACTCAACCTTGAAGAATTCCCGGCCTTGACACAGCCAAACCCACTTCTCATGAATCGTGTTTCCGGCCAAGGGGCATTATCGCCCTTTTTCCGTTGGAAAGCAGCCACCCAAGCCTGAGGCGTTAACGCAAAAGCGTAACCGTCGCAACGTCCAAGATCAACCATTCTTCTTTTTGCTGCCGTGCCGTCAAGGATTCCCTTCGACGCCCAGGCTCCCGACAAGGCCCCCGACAATGCCCGAGATCGGTGCGAGGGCGTGTGTGTTGGGTCCTTGTGTGGATGGAAGGTCCACGATATGTCAACGAGTAGTCACGTCTTAACTTGATTGGGACGCCTCTCACATTGCGAAATCCATCTCGGCGCCGGGTCCACCGAGGCAACGGATTCACCAATGCCTCTCCTGTTTGATCCGATGGCCACCGACTCTGAGCCCGTTCTTGGGTGCGTAAGATACCTGCCCTGCCGTAACCGTATCGTCGCGGCTAGTCACCGTAAGGTATCAACCTCAGGCTTTCAGGTTTTTACCTCACCTTTCGGCCTTGCTGTCGCTGCCGTCTGCCAGCCTCCATGAGGTGAAGTGCCCGCCAGGCCGAGCCATCTGGATCAACTTCCGCCGTCCCGTTGGTTGGCCGGGCCCCTGCCCTCCTCCTTCTACCGAGCTTGCCCGTCACCTGAGCAGAGCTTTTCCCGTCCCGTCCTCGAAGCTTTTTTTTCCTCTCCCTTCTCCTTCCCTCCTACTTCCACTTTACCTCTCCATCCCCAATCTGTCTCTTGTTTTCCTATCTTCTTCCTTCCAGTCCATCACCGGTCCTATTCCACCACCTCTCCCCTCCATCAGTCACAATGGCCTCCACTCGTGTCCTCGCCTCCAGGCTCGCCACCCAGATGGCTACCAAGGCCGCCCGCCCTGCGGTCCGCGTCTCTGCCATGCCCAAGCGCACCATCTCTGGTAAGTTTTTCATCGTGGCATCTTCGAGATGAGAGATTTTTTTTGCCCGCCGAGCGAAGGATCCCGAGAAGAGGAGGAAAAGAAGGCACACACCCGACGACCACAATCACAATCATCACAACCCTCTCCGCCGATGACGAGCCAATTGGCCTCGCCGGCACCCGATCCGACGTCGAATCGATGTCGATGTCGGCCTCCTCCTCCCTGTCCCCCGGCATCATGAAAAACAAGAAGAAAAAGACACCTCATCCTCCGAAGAACCTCGTTTCTGACACGATTCGAAATTTTCAGGCTTCAGCCCCCTCCAGGTCGCCCGCAAGCAGGTTGCCGCCAAGCCCTTCACCCAGGTCCAGGCCAAGCGCGCCTACTCCTCTGAGATCGCCCAGGCCATGGTCGAGGTCTCCAAGAACCTGGGTATGGGTTCCGCCGCCATCGGTCTGACCGGTGCTGGTATCGGTATCGGTCTGGTCTTCGCCGCCCTCCTCAACGGTGTCGCCCGCAACCCCGCCCTCCGCGGCCAGCTCTTCTCCTACGCCATTCTGGGTTTCGCTTTCGTCGAGGCCATCGGTCTTTTCGACCTCATGGTTGCCCTCATGGCCAAGTTCGTACGTCAACTCTCCGGTATTCCCCTCACCAATCGGCAGCGATACTAACCCGCCACGCAGACGTAAGCGATTCAATTCGCACTGGCGAGCTGGGGAGAGCCGAGAGCAAGCTTTGGACAAGTTGCTCCCCGGCGTCCCTCTCTCCCCTGGGACAGGTCGCCTTTTCGTCTTCCGGTTGACCCCCAACTGTATGATGAGAATGAGTAATTAGACGGGAAAAAACTACTTTAGACAGCATTGGTGGCATTCTAGAAGCATAGAGGTCATAGAAACCGCACACTTTTGTTGTGTTGTATAGATGGAAAGTTCTCCGTTGGGCAAAAGAAAAAAAGACGATCAAGGATATTGGGGCAACGCACCACACACTTTTTTGTGTTTCTTTTTTTGCTTTCACGCGCGGGCTCTCTTCCTCAACGTATCTCCCTCCCCGTCCCTGATACAATTTTTTCTGTAAAAATACTAGAAACCTCAAATCACTCACGCGTCCGTCTTGTCTGTGAAATCGTGAAATCTTATCGATAATGAGCGGGCAACTTCTCATCATCCGTCGAGCTGTCCGGTTCGAGATAGCTCCCTGCCGCCCGGCCAAAACGAACGGCTCCATCTCCACTCTGGAGAGAGCTCGACGCCTCAAGCTCTCGATCTCTCGAGCCGAATTGGCCAATGTGAGGTGAGAATTGAGGTGGCGTGGTGTGGTGTGCCAGCTTCACTCGAGCCGGGAGCTTTATTGCGGGTGCGCGCGCGACCTTTGGCTCTCTAACCAACCCTTCAGGCATCAGCGGGAAGGACAAGGGAAGGGCATCTCGCAAAACCCCATGGGGAGCAGAGCGCCCGACTTGAACTACTTCGATTCCCGTTCCGCCGGCCACCACCCATGGAACCAACACGACGATGAACGATGACGATGTCAGATCCGGGACCTCGTCCTTCTTTTTTGGCCCTGCCTTTCCCTCGATGAACGGGGGTCCCTTATCACGCTGAGCTGAGCTGGCTAACGTGGCGACGACGACGATCTCTCTCACTCGAGGCTCGCCATCACCACACACACAGCACGCGTCCCGTCCACAAACGCCAGCAGGTTCGAGGAGCGACGGGACCTGAGGTACTACCTACGACTCGGTCTCCGAGGTCCCGACCCACGCAACCGTAACGACTTTCCCTTATCTCGCGGATCTCCCTCGCACCCCCGAGTCGTGTTCCTGCGTCCGAACCTCTCTCTCTGCTTTGCTTCGCTCGCTGGCCGGCCCCTCCCAAAATTGCCTCAGATTGAACCGAGCTCCCGTCTCTCTTCCTTCCAACGGACGAAAACTTTCGTCTGGGAAAAACGTCGGAAGAAAGTCAATTGGAACCTTTTTTTAACCTTCCCGCTGATAAGAGAAAACTTAAGGGAAAGCATGTACTCTTCCTCACCGCGAAGCCGGACATGTGATGATGACAATGACAATGATGATGGGCGACGGCGACGGCCCCCGATCTCGATGATGGGAGCAGCTCGGTCGCCCGCACCGCTTCAAGGTCCTTTTCCTCCGAACCTAAAGAAAGGCAGGCCCCTTGCGAGAACCTACCTAAGACGCTCGCTGGCTGACGTGCTCCGCCGTTCCGTTTCGTGAGCAGGAAAAAAATCCTGCTCTCTTATCGCGGGTTCCGCTTCAAATCGCCCACGACCGTTTGGCCACACCTGAGGTGTGACCGTCCACACACGCCCCCCCTTTCCGGCGGGTCGCGCGGTTCCACTCCATCACGACATTTCAATCACCGTTTTTTTCGTTTGTGTACGGATACTCGCCACCGTTTTATCGTCGTCGTGGCGTGCTGTGCTGTGCACCTCTGGGATGCGGTTCACGATGAGGGCGGGGGATGGATGAGATGTCGTTGGAAGGATTATCTAATTTTTCACCTTGGTCCCGGTGGCTTGGTTCGACACCACCCTTGATTTTTTATGACAGGTTGCGGTGCGTGTTTCCCCTCACGCGAGTCTCGTTCGATTTTTCCGAGACCTGGGCTCATTTTTTGGGTGCTGGTGCTGGTTACTCCAAATTTTTTTCTTCTGCAGCACACAGTTTGGTGAGGAGGGAACAAGCAAGCGAGGCCGACCGAGGGCTCGGTTCGGTTGTGACGGTGAAGAATTTTATGGGGCGAGAGGGGTCCACTATGTGACTTGCTGCTTTTGGATTGGGCGGACGGGTTTGGGTTGGGGGGGTTCGATGTTCTGGAAGGTCTGGTTGGGGCTTGTTTTGACCACGTCTGAACACTTTGAGAGTCGAGGTGTGTTGCGGAGTGCTTTATCTGTGGGGTTATTGTGAGGGATTGAGAGGATTGTGAATGGGGTTGGTGAGATGTTTGATTTGACCTAATGTGAAGACGGCGATTCCTCTAAAAGACCGTTTCGATGTGAGATGAGGGTTGAGATGAGGGTTGAGATGAGGGTTGAGATGCGTAGGGCGCGAGTCAGACCAGCGGGAGGAAGACTCCGGACGTGTTCGTCCACAACGGTCGACCACGAAACCTACTGCTAAAAGACGGAGCTGAATCTGAAGTTGATGTTTTCAGCGGCACTGGTTCCTGGACTATCGTCATCTCTCGAACGGATTGGTTGAAGGTAAATACAGGACCGAAAGGGCGCCGTGCAAACTGTTGACTACTGGCTAATCCCGGAACGAGGACATTGTCATATCTTCTGGCTAGTCCTCGTGTAACCTGGGGAGGAGAACCGGTTCGAGGACGCCCCGCCCCCCACGGGGTAACCACCACGTCAGTCCCGCAAGTTCGCGAGGTTGATTGTGGATGCTGAGCCGGGCTGTTATCGTTTGGTGGGAAACGGGGGATGGCCTCCGAGGTGAGAGTGGCGAGCCAACCTCTGTCTCCCCATCTTCATAATAGTTTTCCACGTTACTGGATTTCCTTCCTACCTACCTAGTGCCTTGATCCAGTTGATTGCCTACTCGAAGTTCTTATTCAAGACAGTCGAGGCAAAATGGTAACCACGATACGAGGTCGGCCTGGTGTATGTGGGAGGTTGCGTTTGGAGGAACACTTTCCTTGCTTTTTAAAGAAGATTCACAAGGCCGGGGTGTGATTGAATGCTTGAATGAAGTATGTTTGGTTTTGCACACAGTTTTGTTTACGGTCCTGGCCTTGTCTACTTTTTCACAACAACTAGCAGTCGACGTATTAGCAAAGGTAATTGCAGAAGAGAGGCATGGCTAAGAAAGTACATTCTCAAAATGTCAACGAGGTGATCATAATGCTAGACTATTACTTAAAGATCTCACCACATCATCTCTAGTTCCATTTCTCACCTAGTAAACTTCTGCATGGCCAGGTCTAAGTCGGACAACCCCTTTCACAGAACCAACTCTGCCTAGTAGATATATTGCCCGCTAAGGTCTACCCCATGCTATCCAGGACGACAGGAATGCTTGCGAAGCCACAACAGTTTCAAACTGGCCAGTTTCCCAAGTACCCCAACTTCTCGCCAAATACAACATCCCACAAATCGTCCTTGCCTCAACCGCATCCGATTCCCAGCAGCAAACCGCAAGATTTGCGAAGCGTCCAGTGGTCGTTATCCCAAAAGGGCTCACGTGCGTCCAGGAAACCCCATCTCCGCCGAACCTCACAGACACCAAACCAGGCTCCTCGAAGAGGAAGGCCCCGTAGTCCGCAGGCTCTGGGACGAGGTAGATACAACTCCGCTCATAATAGCGGTGACCGGCTAACGAGGCAGGCGTGATTATGTGCTCCTTGATGGATTTTGGTCGTAAGGATCCATGTTCGTCCAGGCAGAGCTCGAAATAGTTCCAGGGCGAGAAGGAAACAACTCCATTACGACTCTCTCCAGGCTCCATCACGTCTTGGACCACGTTGGAGATTGATCCTAATTTGAAGCCCGTGAAGGCAATGCTTTCGCGACATATCCTGATGAAGGGACTCATTCTGGCCGATTGAATTTTCGGCGCCATGAGACTCAAATCCCAACCGTAGCGCAATGTTAGCCCTGGCACATAACTATTCTGGTAGGTATACGGGGTCGTGCGTTTTGTCCAGTCAGGCACCCACATGGGCAGCGACGAGTTATCCCACTGATGCATATCCGCCTCTGCGTTCTCGTCAGGCTGGTTCACATCTACAGTTCTCGCAAGTAGCGCTGGTAGACCGAAACTTCTGGCAATCCAGGTCGCAACGTCGATGAAAACGTCCTCCGTGGACTTGGTGTAGTCGGCCACGAGCCCGTCCTTTTCCGCGAGAAACATCAGTCCGTAGACGGCAAAAACCTTGTCCCTTGGGTCCGTAGCCTGGCTCTTGCGAGCTAGGTCTAGCAGATCGAGAAGGTTGCTCGAGTCTCTGTATGCAGGCGCGCGGAGGCTGAGGGCTGGTGGGAGTTGCGTCATGTCTGGCGGGCTCGAGAGCAAACTCAGCTCAACCAGCCACGAAATCCGCATTGATGACCAGGGTAACGCATTTTGACCGCAGATCAGAGTGGCTTTCCTGGCTAGCGCGATCTCCTGAAGGATCCAGACCCGGGAGAAGTACCGACGCTTCAAGAGCTCCACCACAGTGAACTGCAGTTGCCAGTGCGTCGTGCAGTCATCTGGCTTCCCGGACAGGAAGTTAAAGAGTTCCTGATCCTGTGGGCTAGCTTCGCCTATATATATAAGAACTTGCCGGGCGCCTGAGTATATCTGGGGCATCACGCGGACCTGGTGACCCCTTTCGTTCACGTCGTCCTGGTTGATGCAGATGGCGTCGATCCAGACGGTTTTGCGGGTGAATTTGCTCCTGATGTGGCGCAGAGCGGACTCGCAGTTTGGTGTGACGCAGAATGTCTTCTCGCCGAGTCTTATACTACCCGTTTCCCCCATGTTATTGTCCTCGCCACCCCAAGTGTAGGATATTGCCTCATATTCAGCTTGACTCGTCGTGCTACTTAGGAAAATGCTGCATTGGATCGGATCTTCGAATTCGCCAGGTTCGACTTTCAGCAGTCGGATGTCTGTCTTTTCTTCCAGGGGCTCATAGATCGGCCTGGGCATCGCAGTCGAATCATCGCCGGTCCCTGATGTGGTCGCCTCAGCCGCCGTCCCATAAGATCCGCACTTCAGGCAGCTCACAAAGCCTTCGCCAGCCAAGATGTCCGGCTTCTTGCAGGACGAGTCGTGCCAGTCGTCCATGTTGAATAGATTGTTTCGATATGTCCTGAGAGCTCGGTGAATCAGTGATGTGGGAAGAAAACGTCTTGAAGTCGGGATGCAGATCAGGCTGGGTGGTGCGGGGTGAGATGGATGAGGTGGTCATGGTCAGCTGATTGGTGCTGCATATGCTGCATACGATGAGCCGCATGCCAAGCCATGCAGACCGTGATCGATCAGCCTATCACCAGACGTGGGTGGGACTGCGGACTACCTCTCCTACATATCGATAGAGTGCGCGTATTTGGTGTCTTCGTCGACGATGTGTAGCAAGGTGAAAACGCATATCAACATCTATTCTTCCAGACGTATATTTATGCACAATAAGGCAGGGATAACACAGTCGTGATTTCCCGAGGACGGAACCACCTAGTTAGTTACCTAACGCTCGTAGGCAGTCGCCGCCCAAATCCCAACAGGTCATTAAAGCAAGAGCGGAAGGCGAAACCCAAACTTCACCCACCGCCGCACCTTCCATCCCAACACCAAACTATCCTTCACCATCCCAAGGCATCCACAACCCGGGGGGGCGCCAGGCACCGAACCAAACGAACAAAGCCTTATACCCCCCAACAACTCCCTTCCCGTCACCAGTTCAGCAATGACCACCGTCCGGGGACGCCCGGATGGTGTAGTTGGGAAAGCCGCGCTTGCGGTGGGACGTGTAAAAGAATACCTCGATCGGTCGTCGTCCTGACATGCTGGTTTCCGCGGGGCGCGCTCAGTTCGAATCCCGTGACGACGGGGTTCGGGCTTGAGGGCGTAGAATTTTTTGGACTTTTTGTTGTTCTGTTTGATCTGCTCTTCTTGGCTGTGTGTTTTTGCTTTGTTTTGGTTTTGTGGTTGTGGAATTAGAAGCGTTGAAAGTTGGCGGTTTAAGAGATGGTGATGGTGGTGATGGTGGTGATGGTGGTGATGGTGGTGGTGGTGTTTTGTGACACTCTTGAATCTCGAGGTTGAACAGGCACCCCTCGAGCGTTGTCCGCACGACGTGACACCCGTCCGTGTCCCCCGAGATCTCACCTCGTGAAATGTCTCTCCAAAGTTGCAAACACAATCAGCCGGCACGACAACCCCTGGATCGAAAGCCAAGAACGTCCCTGGTCTCAGACGATAAAAGCGTGCTCATACTCCTCCGACATGGAGAAAAAGATACCCTCTAACCTTGAACTCCTCCCGCAATCCTCGTCAAAAAACCACCAAGACCGAACAACAATGGTACGTCCCCCCAAACCTCTCCCAGCCCACAACCTAACACCTCCCCAGAAACTAAACCTCCTCCACCTCCTCTTCCCAGCCCTCCACACCACCGCCTCACACGACACCTTCGCCACAACCGTCCGACGCTCCCCAGCCCCCTACTGGACCTGCAGCCCATCATCCCCCACCACCACAACCATCACCGGCCCGGGCCTATCAGGCCTGCACTCGATCCACGCCGTCTTCACGACCCTCTACGGCCCGGAGCCCCTGACCCTCGGCCCCGAGGAAGCCCGCGTCGCGACCTGCGGCGGTCTCCTCTTCGGCCTCTGGAACGGGCGTCCGTACCCCGTGACCGAGAAGCCCGGGTTCCGGGACTCGGTGGCCGCGCGGGATCCCGGTGAGAATGGGATGGAGTGTCTCGGGGACGGGGATGATGGGGACGGGGTGGAGGATGACATGAGGCTGAGTTACATGTTTGGGGTCGGGGAGGATTCGTGGGTTAGCGGGGGGATGACTGAGGTCCGGCGCTGCGAGGACTGAAGCAAACTCGTTCTACTTTCACGGGTTACAAAAGGTCAAAGAAAGGCATGGATTACAACGTCGATTCGTTATCTAATGATGATACCTCGTCCTCCCACCGCCGCCCATCCCAGAAGGGTACCTCTTACCGTTGATAACGAAGGGTACCGTCTTCCTCGCCGGATGCCTCGTTGTGATGGCGTCCCACATCTGGCGGATGCCTGCCCTCCGCGCGGGCAGCATGCTGTACTGCAGGCTGTACAGGTTCTTGCGGTTGAGGGGTGGGACGAATTTGCCGGTGAGGAGGCAGAAGAGAACGCCGGGCGAGAGGTAGTGCTTGCGAATGCGGTTTCCCATCTGGAAGTACTGGTGGAACATTGCGCGGAAGGTGAGGGGGATGGACTGGTAGCGGGATTAGCTTGTGCTGCGGTAAGTGGCGTGAGAAAGAGGGCGATAGGTTACCTTGAGGTAGATGACGGAGGTTGGTGTTTCGTTGGAAGTATTACTAAGTCTATAATCATGGGTATCTCGAAGTTCAAAACGAATGCCGCCTGGGCGAGTTAGTTATGGATCTCCATATTGGGCCGATGCCGTCTCACCTGGAAGTCGTCTCGGGTCTTTGACCCGTAACATCAGTGCGAAAAGAGGAAAGTGGTTCAAACAAGAAAGCATCGTGTCGAAGACGGCCTTCAGGGAGATGATGACCATTCGAGCGATGGCAAAGTTGAGGTAGAAAACGACTACCGTGGGAAGGAGGAAGAACAGGAGGGTGAAGAGGATGGTGCCGACGAGAAGCTGGTCGAGGTCGTAGTCGCACGAGTCGATACGGTTACGGAGGACATTGTGCTTCTTGCCGCGGAAGAGATGGAAAAGGGAGATGAGGATCGTCAGCTGCCAGTGGTAGATGCGCGCAGATGCGAGGTAAAACGAGTAGATGTGGACGGTCAGAACCGAGAGGAGATCCGAGAACATGGCGATGGGCATGCTGGCGCCGGCGAAACTTGAGAAGCCGATGAACCAGATGATGTGAGGGAGCAGAGGCTGGAGCGCAGCGATGCAGTCTTGAAAGTCAGCATTAAGATTGCAATTTCATTCCAGCATAACTCACTTGACCAGTAATCGATGACCCAGAGGAACAGGTCGCCGAGAAACAATGCCAACTCGCTGTTGAGTTTAAGACCAGCGGGCCACCCCATCAGCCATGATATGCTTCGCTGGAGCGCTTCGACGGTGTACTTGCTGAGCAGCTCGCTAATGGCGTTCGCAACCCAATCGGCATTGTCGATAATGTACGACCCCAGCGCAATGCCAATGATGACATCGTTCGCGACTAGCCACAAACTGTTGTAGAACCTGATGTAATCGGGATGGCTTGTCGTGACGCTCTCCCAGTCGTTCTTGCGTTGCCGTAGCGTCGTGTACTGCATTGGCCAATAGCAAAACTGCTGGAGCCGAATTTCCACCTGTTGCGCCGTTGCCGATATATCCTTCAAAGCCAGGTAGTTGTCCTTCAGCCGGAACTCCAAAATCTGAAGCAGGAACTCCGCTACCGTCCTGTGGCCCATGAGCATGTACACGAACCCCCATTGGATAAGCGGTAGCAAATAGAAGATCAACAGATCCCATACGAAGTTTCGCATCGTTGTCGCATGTTCCACCACCCGTTCCGAGACGCTCAAGGTCCGCTTAGGCCTGGTGCCGATCCGGGAGATGTTCTTCTGCAACAACTGCTCCAACTCCCATGCCCAATTGATCTGGTTCACGATCTTTGGCAAAGCCCTCTCTTTCGGTGACGGCGATCGCTTGATAATGGTGTGCTGCTTCAGCTTTTCTACCAGTTTCTTCTTTTGCTCCTTCACCTTTAGCTCCTGCTTTTCCTCCTCCGCCATGTGTTCCGTCGGTGGTAGGCTCGGCGCCTCCTTGTTGCCAAGAGCAAGAGATATCGGGTTCAGCGAGATGTATTGCATTCGTCCGGGGCGCGGCCGGTCGTAGAGGATGATCTGGATGCTTAATGCCCTGACGCAAGTAATTCGGGGTGCCTTCGCATTCGCAGGCGTCGTTGCGACGAACAGGGAGTGGTCCAGGACGATGGCGTCTTTAGGGTTAGTGAGGCCCAAGACATGCATGGCTCCATGACCACATCGCTCGTAGATGCTGTTGACGGGGTGAGGCGAGTTGCGAAAAAGCGTGCCCGCCTTGAGGGCGAATTCGACATGTCCGGGCTGTTGATTCGTCAATTGGTGTCCATCATGTAGGCATAGGTCTGGGAGAGTGCTGACATCGACGTCGTCCAGGATGGCGACGACGAAGACATCCAGGCTCGAGTTCCTCCATCCCACGACGACGCCAGGTAGGTCGGAACGCTGGATGTCCGTCGGCCAGAATATCCTCATTAAGCCATCATTTTCTGGCATGTCAACCAAGCGCGCAGCAGCGGGAGACGGCACTTAGAAGGACCCTCTCCGTCGCAACTGTTCCCTGGCTGAGACGCCAGCTCCGGGGGATCTCGGGTGCTGTCCGTCGTTAGCTGGAAGCTTCTTTGCGTCTGCGCGACCAGACGTGTCTCGGCGAGGAGCGTCGGAGGAAATTGTCGTACCAGGTGCGCCTCCCTCGTGGCTAGGCGTTCCACTGGGATGAAGACGAGGAGGAAGACGAGAGACAGGAGCGCGAAACCTTTGGCGGCGCGAGTCTGTGGGAGACATCGGTGTTAGCATTGGGGGGTGGTGTGGTCGAGGAGACGGAAAGGGAGCTTCATACCACGACTCCGTAGTTCCAAGCAAAAATGGCAAGCTCATAGAGGCGAGTAACCAGGTCCCATCGAGCGGTGATGTAGCCGGCTACGAAGATCCCAAGGCTGAGAACGGAGAGGGGGTGCATAGAATCGCTATTCCCTTGGGCAGTGCATGCCGAGGCTTGTCGCCAAGGAGTTTGCGGTAGGCTTGGGTTCTCGAAAAGGTTCAATGTCGAATTGCGGGTTTGCGACTGCGGGGAGACGAGGGGAGCTTCGAGGGAGATGCCAGGGTCCGGATCGCGAACTTGACTCGAGCTTGGAAGGGGTTCGGATCTCTCGGTGACGAGGGACGGAAAAGATGGCCGGCGGAAGGAAGAGCTCGAGGTAAGGTCCAGGTCAAGGTCGTGCGAATACGGCGAATCGTGTTTATCGCGCGTGTTGTCTGGGGAAAAGAAGGGACTGGACTGGACTGGACTGAGGTGGATGGGGGAACCGGAGACGGGAGGTGGGCGTGGGTACTTGGTACGCGGCCGATGTTGGAAGAGAGAGCCAGGGACGAGCTTTTGCGCATTGAGGACTGGACGTCTTGGAGTCTCGGGGGCTGTTCTCTGGGACACTGGAATTGCCAATTTCTAGCGAACGTTTCCCCTGTTTGCTGCAGCGATGTCTTCCACTAGCGAAATCTGGCGTTAGCGGGTCCAATCCACTGGAGTGTCGGCATTGGGAGCGGGAGGGGCTTCTCATTGGCTGAGAGCTGCAACAGGACACCTCGCGTTAGGGGACTGGGATGTGGGCGGTCTGGAACCTCGAAGAAATCGCGATTGGAGTGGCTCTGGATTGGCCCAGCTACCTTATGGTCCCTGCTTGACACCATCTGGGACGGGACGGACAGGATCATTAATGCATTGCCTTCAAGCTGCCTCGGAGACGACGACGACTTGCTCGATTGCTTCGAGTTGTTGTCCCAAGACGATGTTTTCCTTTTCTGTCATCGCAATCCCGAGTTGCTTGACTGCCTCATGCTGATGGAGACAACGGTTGATCTCAATCTTGGTACTTGCACATGCCAGGTATCTGACTTCAGAAGAGCATGACGATGATGCCACCTGATAAATGCGTTGCCATCATACTTTCTTTTCCATCCATACACTAAGCTGTGTATGTGTAGGTTACTAATGTCTTCAGGAATTCAAGCAGACACTAAAGGTGAGCACACTTCACGCAAGTATGACCAGCACGACAGCAGCTGGACGCGTCATGGAGAGAATGGCGCATATTTCGAGATTGCAACTCCTGCACTGCCACACATTACCCCGAATAAATGCAACCTTGAGGGCGCCAAAAACTGTGAATGAGATGCGTGTTCCCACCTAGGTGACTGATATACATTCTGCACCAACAGTCAGTGGCTTGTGAGCAGTCGAGGACGGGAGCTTGCTGAACTCACATTTGCGTCCCATATAATTCGCATCGTTCTCCTTGCTGTCCTCCCGTGCCTCGTCCAACATTTTATCGATGCCGCGCTCCTTCAGCGCCACCTTGACGTCGTTAGCCTCCATAGGTATACCGTCGAACAACGAGTCGAACTCACCGTCAGGCATTTCTGGTAGTTCTTAAACAGGTCGGCGCACTCGTTGTTGTCCGTTCCTGTGCCCCGGAGGTACTCTGCGCCGGGGCTGTTAGACGTTGACTTCTCATCCCGCGACGGCCATGGAACTCACTCTCGCTGTACCATTTCAAGAAGCACGTATCGTAGCGCCTGCTCAATATTAGCCAACATCCTATTGATCCAAGCTGTGCTATTGTATACTCCTTGACTTCATTACACTCTGGTGCTAATGAGGCGGACATGGTTGCTGTTGGGTGCCGGATTACACGGAGAACATGAGATGAAGTTGAGAGGAGAGCGGCTAGAAATGGAGGCAAAATCGTGACCGCGCCCTTAGGCAGCTAGGCGCGTCACAGCGGCTGCACCTGCCGCAAGTTTTGCGCCTTGGCGAGTTCTTTTTCAACTACATCTAAGTAAAGGAAAGTATGCACATCCACTCAGAGAAACAACTCGTAGTTCGAGCTCACAATCCTCTCATCGATTTACATCAAATCAATTGGAATAATTCCGTCAGCGTCAAAGCTGCTCTTCAATAACCCTCGATGCACAGCTGCATCATCGCGACCTGTACTTGCTTACATCATCCAAATCGATAGGGTAGACAAGTGGGGCACTTTATCTTATCGGCCAGGGACCTCTCCCGGCGGCCATAATTTTTGATCGTCAAACTTCGCAGCCAAGTCGCGACAACGTCCATCAGACCCCAAGCGTCGCGCCAACATCATGACGTCTCCTCAGGACTTCAAGTCCTTGCAGGACAAGGTTCAGTCTGCGCTCGTTGCCTCCACCAAATCTGTCAACCGCATCTCCGCCGAAGACCTCGCATTCCAACGCGCCGTCAACCCCGGCGTTGGCGACGACCTCGATGCCAAAACCGAGCGCCTCCTCGAGCTGTCGACAAGGCTCCTCAAGTCTGCTGCTGGCGTCTGCGGCCTGAACGCGCCCAAACTCGAAGATGCCGACGATATCGACATGCGCTGGAGGGGCATTGTGGACGTGGTCGACTCAATTCTCGAAAAGGCAGACACCTCGATTGACGAATACACCGGAGCTCTGAAGAGGAAGGATGCGCCCACCGCAGATGTGAGTCCGCCTGCAGCTTCGCTACGCATAATTGATTGCTGACGATCTGTACAGTCCTCCCAAACGAAGAAGCCGAAAACCACCGGAACTGACAAGGTCATCCGCAACGCCAACATCACGAAGCCCCAGCTCAACTTCGACCCACCAGTCGACAACCATTCTCCTTGGAAACCCCTCCTCACAAACAAGCCCCACGCGAAGGTGCCGCTTGAAGAAAGTCTGGTGCCGAGTGAAACAAAAACGGGCTTCGTCCTGTACGAAGACAACCTTTCCTTGCAGTCGCTCCTCCCTCAACCTGCAGATTCTAAGAGTGCTTCCAAAAAGAAACTCAAAAAGATCTCGAAAGAACGATTATTTCCTCCAACTAACAACCCAAATAGTTACAAACATCCGTACGAGACCGAAATCCTCGAGGCGAAGTACCCCGACCGAACCTATCAGCAAGCCGAGCCGATCCCTTGGCAGCCTGTTGATAAAACCGAGGCCACATGGGTCGACACATACGAGGGCGTATTGGAGATGCTGAAGGAGCTCAAGAAGGCCAAGGAGATTGCTGTTGACTTGGAACACCACGACTACAGATCCTACATCGGACTTACCTCGCTGATGCAGATCAGCACGCGCGACAAGGATTGGATTGTTGACACATTGAAGCCTTGGAGACAGCAGCTCCAGGTCCTTAACGAAGTGTTTGCCGACCCCAACATCATCAAGGTAAATACGGTGTCATTTCACGGCTTAAATATCACTGACAAAAGTAGGTATTCCACGGCGCTTACATGGACATCGTGTGGCTCCAGCGTGATCTTGGCTTATACGTCAACGGCCTCTTCGACACTTTCTTTGCATGCGAAGCTCTCCAGTACCCCCAGAAGGGCTTGGCTTTCCTTTTGAGCAAGTTTGTGAACTTCGACGCCGACAAGAGATACCAGACGGCGGATTGGCGCATGCGGTGAGTGTGATAGAAGCACATTGAGATTTTGCCGCTAATTTAGAACAGACCCTTGACACCAGAAATGCTCTATTACGCGCGGTCCGACACGCACTACCTGCTCTACATCTACGATAAGGTCCGGAACGAGCTCGTGATGAAGTCCGACCGAGGCAACCCGGGAACCGACTACATCGAGACCGTCCTCCAGAAGTCGAAGAGCCAGTCTCTCAGCAGATACGAGGGAGACTATTTCGATCCGGCTTCCGGCAAAGGTGGAAAGGGCTGGTATGGTAACCTTCTGAAGCATCCCTCGCCCTTCTCAGGCCAGCAATTCGCCGTGTACAGGGCCATCTGGGAATGGAGAGATGAAGTGGCGCGGAGGGAAGACGAGAGCACCGGCTACATCCTGCCCAACGGCATTATCGGTGACATCGCCAAGCGCATGCCGCCTGATGCGAAGGCGTTGCACGGGCTCATTCCTCCTAACGCCTTCCTCGCCAGGAGAAATGTCAATGACATCTGGGTGCGGTACCAGGAGGCAAGAGAGCGTGGAGTCAACGAGCCTAGCTTGTTTGAATTCTTCCGCTCGGATCTGCCGTCAGTCGCAGCCAAGCCGCTTGCCGAGAGCGTGGAAGACCAAGCCAGCGATGCTGCCATCGAATCCGCACAACTGGAGCAATCTCAGCTGTTTGGACGCATGGCTCTCAGCTCTGCCTGGGAGACAGCTGCTTCGCCGGCTAATGGGCTGGGAGGCTATGTCGAGCTCCCGTGGCAGAGGTTTGTGCAAAACGTTGCCACAAAGGAGGCGGTCGCGGAGGAGGATGTTGCAATGGAGGGAGGCGTTGAGGACGAGGCCAAGGCAGCTGCTACACCTCAGCCTGAAGAGCCTGAAGTCGAGGAGGAATTCACCCTCAAGGCTGGCGTGAAGCGCAAGGCCCCGGCTCCGGCCCAGGAAGGGTCTGACGCTAGTGAGGACGGATCCGACTCGGACGACAGCTCAGTCGACATCATTCTGGAGAGTTCAGGCGCAACTTCAGGCGGAACACGCATAAGACGACCCAAAAAGGAACGGAAGTATACCGACGAAGAGTCACGCAAGGCGGCCGAAGAACTCCGGAAGCTCAGGACGGAGCAGAGAAGGGCAGACAAGGTCGCGCGCATGCAGGAAGACTCGGACAGGTTTGAGGCAGAGGTTGAGCGCCTTATCAGAGATGTCGCCGAAGGACGCGCGTACACGGCTCAACTGGAAGAGGTGCGCGAAATGGCCCAGGAGAAGAAGAAGAAGCTTAGCAAGTATGTTTCGGCACTGCAGCAACGCAAGAACAAGGCCGAGCGCAAGGCGTTGAAGAAGTCCTTGAAGGAAGAGGGCAAGACGCCGGAGCCGCCGAAGGAGAAGCAGCTGTCCAAGAGGGCCCGCAAGAGAGCCGAGAGGAAAGCGAGCAAGCAGGCCGAGGCTGCCGGGGCTGCGGAGGAAGACGGCGACGAGGAGCCAGAGGAAGAGGCCTTTGACTACGGCAAGGCTGCCTCGGTGCTTCACGCCAAGCGGGATGGCGGAGGTAAGAAGGCGCCGGTGAAGGCTGCCTTCGATCCGTATGCGAAGACGGGAGACGATGCGCCCAAGGGTGCACGGAAGGCTCCTCCCCCTAGAGGCGAGAAGAGTGCCACTTTCAAGCGGTGAATTATTGGCAACGGTGGCTTGGGTGTGCATAGGGAGGGGATTCGGTGTAGAAATTATTAGCATTGCTCTCGAGGCGGACTCGTCTTGGATTGGTATTCATGGCTAGATGGGTTCCAGGACCAAAAATTGCAAAAGAAGTAATTAACTGATACCATCATCACCTGCGCATCTTCCCTTAGCAGGGCATTTCCGCGAGTGCGGAACGACCCCCGCTGAATAAGAACACATGAACGCCCTGCGTCCGGGGCCGCACCTGAGACCCCGCGAAGGGCGAGATGTCAAGATTTGAGGCGCGTCTTGGCGGCGGCGGCCGCGGGTGACATCTGACAAGTCGAGCTAACATCTCACTGATTCCACCACGAATCCACACCTACGCCATCGGTTCGGGATCCTTCTCGCGGGATACTTATTCCGACCTCGACGAGATGTCAAAGGGGCGCATCCACTCCGCGCCCTATGGTGGACGACGTGCATGATGTGGTTGGCCGATCTCGTCCCCCCGCGGGCGCTAACGAGTTGATAGGGAGCGGCGTGGGTAGATTGTGATATCGGTGGTGAGATTGGTGAGATCTTGCGTGCTTGGGATATAAATTTCAAGCTCCTCGTTGATCTCCTCGCTAGGTAAGAGATCAGAGATTTGATTCAAGTGCAGTCAGTACCTGGACGGTTTTTGACGTTGAAAGTTTGGTGTTTTCTCTCTTCCCCACACCACAGAAACCGGGCACCTTCTCCATCCCAAGAACCTCGGTTCAACTCCAAATCTCAACCTCACCCAGTCTACCTACGATCTCACTTACAACCCTGCATCTTCAAGTAACCCTCACCAAATCTACACAAAAGTGCGACCATCGACATCGCTCCCTCCAAGATGGCCGACCCCGCAACGGAGATAGAACACCCCGCCAACCTCCCCTCCCCAACGCACCACGTAATCGTCAAGCTCGAGACGATCCACGTCGCCGTCCCCGAAATCGACACTGGCGCCCTCTCGCACGAGGTCATCGGGTACGAGTACACGCGCCCGTCGGAATCCGCCGTCGCGGCGGCGAGGGTCCGGCCTGCGAGTATCCTCATCACCACGACGGTGCCCATCAACGCCGACACCCTCGGCGAGGCGCCCTACTTGTAAGTGGACCCCCGGCAAATATCATGAAGACTAAGCCGTCTCACGCACGTACAGGAAATGCATCATCACGGAGACGACGGGGACCAACCACATTGACCTGGAAGAGTGCAGGAGGCGAGGCATCACGGTGATGTACTCGCCCAACGCGACGGTCGAGGCGGTCTCCGAGCACGCCCTCGGTTTCGTGAGCACCTCAAACATCATCATCATAATAATCACGAAATGCTAACAACTCGACAGTACTTCTCAACCCGCCGCCGCCTCGTCACGCTCCACAACACAATGATGGACCACACCCCCTCCCGCGCGAACCCCTGGCGGACGACGGGAAGCATGTCCTCCCTCCTCCTCGACGCCGACGGCCGGCCCCCGCGCACCTGCGGCAACGAGATCGTCGGCATGATCGGGTACGGCCCCATCGGGCAGCGCATCGCGCAGATGTGCGAGGCGCTGGGCATGCAGGTCCTCGTGGCCGCGAGGAAGACCGCCCCCTCTTCCACGCCTCTGACCAACGGCACGACAGCCGCACACGCGAAAGCGAGAACGCCCTTCGACGAAGTCCTCCGCCGCGCGACCACGCTCTTCCTCGTCGTCCCGCTGACGCCCGAGACGAAGAACCTGATCGGGGCGGAGGAGCTGTCGACGATGCGCTCCGACGCCGTCGTGATTAACGTCGGGCGGGGCGGGACGGTGGACGAGAGGGCGCTGCTCGCGGCGCTGCGGGAGCGGAGGTTGTACGGGGCGGCGACGGACGTGTATGAGGTCGAGCCGGCGGGGAGCGGGGAGGATAGCGTGTTGCTCGGGGAGGAGGCGCGGGGGGTGAATTTGACGTTGACGCCGCATCTTGCGTGGTGCGCGGACCAGACGCGGGTGAATATCCGGAGGGTCGTGGGGGAGAATGTGAGGGGGTTCGTGAGGGGGGAGAAGGGGGGCAATGTCGTGCTTGATATGAGGTGATGGGGGTGTAGGAGGGCGAGAAGTGCGGTTGCCTCCGGCAGAGTGAAAGGCTGCGATGTCAGAGGACGGATAGAGGGTTATGGTTAACAGACTTGAGAGATGGAGGTTTCGGCCATGACTTCGAACACTGGGAGAGGAAGCGAGGTGTGAATTGCGGTAGAAAATAAAGCTGCGGTATAGAGGATGGCGAGAGGCTTATGCTCCATAGACCGAAGAAGACGAACATTCGATCACGACTTCGCAGTCTTTCACCGAGTACCCCGAAGTGAATTCTCCGCAGGCTGCAACACCCCGCGCTTGGCGTCACGAAAATGTCCGATGGCGTTTCGACTGCCGTGGGCCATTCAATTGGCTCAATCACGATTCCCTAGCTGCCGTGCCAAGATGAGGCGGTTAACGAGCCGACCCTGCAGACGTTTTACTCGATCTTTCAGCTGAGAGGAGTCTGAATTCACACATCCTACTGGATTCGAGTGCTCCTGTTGTTGGAAGAAACGCATGGCCAACGCATGCCAGCATCGTCACTGGCGGAATCCGAACGGTTCTCGCGTCTTTCTCATGGATTTCGCGACGTAGCCGCCTACTACCGTTCCACGACAGGACGCCATCCCGACGCCTTTCTTTCCTTTCTTCCCGCTCTCAAATGAACTCGACAAGACACATCACGGCACTGTCATCAAATTGACACCCCAAAAAAAAGCGTCGTCAGCACCCACTCAACCTGCCATTCGATCCCAAAGTCCCCGATGTCACTCGTCTTGGAGTGTGATTGAGGGGGAGCGGGAGACCCCACTGATCGCCTTTAATCTCCCCCCTGAACAGGGCTGCTGGGGTGTGTTGCTGCATGAAAAATGGCCCGGCCATTGGATGAACTCGTGTGCCGTGCAGCGGCTGCGGACGTATTTCAAGACGCGGCAAACTTATGAGAAACCAGCTGAACCTCTCTCGTCGGGTGATTCGCCCACAAAGTGATTGTTTCGATTTGTCTCGGAAGATAAAAAACCTCGTCACACAACTCACACAGCCGCCAAGGCACTGCCGGCGGGGATCCACCATGGGAAATCAAGACTGTGGGGTTTTGTCAAAAGTCAGGAGATGGGAAACACAAGCAACCGCAATGACTTCACTCACATAAACACAGAACGAACGCGTTGGATGTGGCTGCAGTGGTCCAGACCGCGGCGGGGGGTAAGGATGTTTCCCGGCCGGCCGGGATGGACGTGCCGGACGGGTGTCCCGAAAATCTCGTAATGGCCCTACACGGGAATCTGTTCGAAACGCGGCGGGTCCCGGGGGCCAATTTACATGTCGACGCTTGCGGGAACAGGAGTCGGACGGGAATGGAAGAAAGGGAGAAACGTCCTTGGGGATCGGGAATCATATAAGACCGGCCGAGGACTTGATCTGTTTATACATATCCTCCTTCAGCCATCGTCTTTCAAACAAACCACACCACACACACTCCTTCACCAACCACACTCGCTTCCCCAACAATGCAGCTCCTCAAGTCCCTCCTCCTCGCCGCCCCGGCCCTGGTGGCCGCCACCCTGGACCCGGCCACCTCCAACACCAAGGGCGCGTGCCCGTCCGTGTACAACTGCAGCGCGACAAAGGTCTCCAAGGCCATCCAGGCCGCCGAGTGCTCGCACAACACGCGCACCTCCAAGACCCAGACCTTCGCCGTCTTCGAGACGGACCACCAGTACGACGGCAACAACGGCTACCCCTACGGCACCTGCTCCGCCTACACCTGCGACCCGCCTACCCAGGCCCAGATGACGACGGATGCCGACTGCTGGACTTTCTTCTGGAGGTGAGTTATCCTACGTCTGGAGTTGAGGGATTGAGTGAGTGGTCTTGTAAGTGGTGAATGCTGACGGGTTGTGTGTGAAATAGCGGCGAGGGTACTTCTTCCGGCGAGGGCGCTGGGTGTATCAAGGACCCCAACACCGGCGAGTGCGGCTGCGAGAACTCGGACGGCACTTTCGTTCCCGGCAGCGACAGCTGCAAATAGGCCTGTCTTTGATCAGACGGCTGCAGTGGTGGAGGGCAGTTGACGTGATGACAGAGTCGACGGTCCTCTGATGAGGCAGGTTACACATATGTTCGTGTATATATAACAAAAGCATTGTACAAAAACAAAAGAAACATTCCATGGCGAAGCTCTGTTTTCAGTGCGCCTACTCAGACCGTGAATGTTTCTTGAGGGATGCCTTGAGAGCCAGCGCGGACTTGGGTATAGGCTTGAAGTTCAGAGATCCTCAGAAGCTGAAGTTCTTGTTATATAAGGGCGTGATGTAAGGTGATATCTCCTCCCCTTCCTGAACGAGCAGGCATTCTGACGTTGCCGGTTCTGATTCGCGTCTAAAACCTGCTGTTTGCCTCGCAGATCCATCCATCAACACTTAACATCACACAACTAGTTACTTCATAGGCAACTCGTATCCTGCCAAACTCCAGAGAGAACGAGAACATCTTGATGCTCTGAATATAGTCCCATCCTATTACACACGAGTTACTCACGCCCCGGCAGCCAAATCAGCCGCGTTCCCCCTAACACTCTCCTCCAACCCGACAAACCCGTGCCCATACGCCTCCCTCAACAACTCCTCCGCCCTCTTACTCGGCACGTACACCGCCCTATCCTCCTCCCCCCCGTCCGGAAAATCCTCCCACTTCTTCTGCGGGAACGACTTGCGCAAAATCTCGACGATGCCGCGGAGGTTCACCGGCGCCGCGATGGCGAAGATGCGCTCGCCCCGGACCCCCGGGTGCGCGAGCCCGACGAGGTGCAGCCGCGCGTCGTCCTGCACGTTGATGTAGTGCTGCGGCGGCGTGCCCCGGAGCGAGTCGTAGTCGTGGTCCCAGAGCTTCTTGACCCAGCGCGCCGAGGTCGGGTAGCCCTGCTTCGCGGCGTTGATCAACGGGCCGATGTTGGCGTTGGGTTGGACTTTTTGCGGGCCGGTTAGAAACTCTCCAGAAAGTGCACTTTCGAGTGTTGGGTTGCTTACCTGTGTTCACCACCAAGGAGGGCTTGTTCTCCTCGACCCATTTCGAAATCGCCCACTCGGCTTCTACTTTGCTCGCCGAGTAGACCGTCTCGCCGTCCGCGCCGGGCTGCTTGCAGCGCTCGACGGCCTCGACGTTGAAGCTGTCCTCGGTGAGGGTGAAGACTTTTCCGGGCTTCGGCTGCGTTACCGCGAAGGATGACGAGGTGAAGACGAAGCGCTTCAGGCCTGCTTTAGCCGACGACTTGAGGGCGTTCAGCGCGCCGTTTACCGCTCTGGGGATGGCGACCGCGGGGTCTCTGGAGCCTGTCATGTCGTTGGCGACGTGGATAAAGCCGAGTGCTCCTATTAAATGTTCAGCAGTTGGCTTCAAAGGATGTAAGTAAGTAATGTTGCGGGGTCTCACCGTCGACCGCATTATCAAAGGCCCTCTCGGCTTCCATGTCGGGCACCGCGAGCAGCTCGAAAGTTCCTTTGCCATATTTCTCGGTAAACAGGTCTACGATCCATTGGTTCTTCTGGACGTCTCGCGTGGTGCCGCGGACTTTGTAGCCGGCTGCTAGGGCCTGGTCCGCGACGTGAGAGCCGATGAAACCGCTGGCGCCGGAAATGACGACTATGCTGCCGTAGGGTACGGCGGGGTTCGGGATGCCGGGGATAGTCATTGTACAAGATTGATGTTGTCAACGAAGAGTTGTCTGTAAGTTGAACGAGGCATCGAGGTTGATGAGCTGTGGATGGGCTTATATCGTCATGAGAATTGTCCTGAGACGACGCATCGACTTAACCCTTCGGGACATATCGAAGCGAGCCACATCTGGTTATGATTTGGGGAATGGTGAAGTCATACAACTCCACAGATCGGTTAGACGTGCCGTGGTTGCGTGCTGACGCTTCCCCGGCTTTTGTCTAACTCCGCACGAAATCAAACCAACTCTATTTCGACCCCACTGTCAGCGACTTGCATATAACTTGTGACTCATTAGATGTGCTAACATTCAACTGAATCAATAAGTAACGTACTTACGGATTTGTTCAGAGCCCAGGCGAGTAGTCAGGTTGTCTGGACCCATGCGTTTCTGCTTGAGAATCGTGCTATGTCTCATCACAGTATGGTTAGAGACTTCTTCTCAGTCCAAATGTCTGCCATGGTAACTCCAACTCCGACCCGTAAGTACTTTCCCGGCTGCTTGTAAACCTCGTTCAGAAGCAGAAAATAGTGCTGTACGGCTCCACGATACGCGGGGTCGTTTTCAATCATCGAGTAGCGGCTCACAAGAAGACACCACAACTTTGGGAAGTAGTGGACCCCAACCTCTCTTCCGTCGAGAGCGACCCATGTTCCGAGAGACCCCGTTGATGCTTTTAGACTGTACATGCCGGCCATGGGAGGATCAAAGTAGGGCGAGCCGACCGGCTCCAAGTTCGTCATCGCTCTGACTTACAGTAGCTCCACCACCATTCCCTCCAATGTGACGGTTTGGCCCTGCGCATCATCAACGAGCCCGAGAAAGTCACTGTGCGAACGTTGAATCCCTTGCTCGTTACCGCGGAACTCGATGGCAGATTTCATGAATGAGTCTGACAAGTTCTGCGCATAGCTGATCCGACCCTTCCAATGAGCCCACGACTACGAAGGGGGCACCTTAGCACCAAGACTCGCCTTGCTCGAGAAGTCGTACCGCGCATGTTCAATGTCGATCCAAAGCAGACCCAGGTGCAATGACTTCTCCCACAGGCCGAACATGTACCTTCCCGCCTTGTTCCGCTCAGAAAAGTCTTTGGCGAGGCCCGCGATCGCAAGTAATCGGTCCGCATCATGCGTGAGCGAGCAGGAGCTGAATTTCTCGACCAGTGAGTACCAATACGGCGAGCCACGGAACGAGTCGTGTACGTCCCACTTGTTGTCCGCCCACGAGCTCAGAATAGGTGCACCGGAGCCGCGCAGATCGTCAGCTCGGATCCTGGGTTGTCTTCGAAGAAGATGTGGTGGCGGACGAAGTGGAGAATCCGCGGCGAGAGGATTCTCTCCTGAAAGATCCAGCCCCTTTGCGTCAGGAAACTCTTAGAGACCTGATCTTGAAAGTTGCTCGCTAGGGTTAAATTGGAGATATAGCGGCCCTCGCTGTCTTTGGATCTTATTTGGATGGTTGGTACTGGCTGCAGCGCCGCGTCGAGGAACCCGGTTTCAACCCGGTTTCGCTGTCTTTGGCGGTATGGGCCGCGACGGTACAGGATGCGTTGTGATAGACGGATGCCATCCGGGCGGATTCCTTCAGCCAGTCCTCGTCATCGCCTTGGACAATGCACAAGGCGTCGATCCAGAGATACCTGTAACCGAGTCGGCGGGCTACTACCATGGCGTCTTGGTATGTTTGAGATATTACCAAGAACGGTTTACCGTCTTGAAAGGACCTTTCGGTCTCTCTTGTCAGTTTTGTGCCCTCTGCTTTCCCCCAGTGGTGGCTGAGTGCCATGTATTGAATGGGTTGAACAGAACGTATTGATGAGGTGGCCAAGACCTTGACTATTGTTGATCGGAGCTTCTTCCTGATTTGTGAAATCTTGCTGAGGTTGGGATTCCATTCCTCACCGAGGTCCATCAACCGACTTGGAAGATCGCTCTCGCCGTGTTCTTGGGCAGTCAACTTGATTCCATCCTGGGGTGCCGGTCTAAGTGCGAGGTTATTGCTACATATGCATGAGTACGCACGATTAAAACGGTCAGACTCTCCGCTCCCTGCGATCAATTGTTAGAATTCCTGTGTGGCTCAAGATCGCGGCATATGAAGTCATGACTCACATCGCGTTAGGAATAACCTCCCTCCAGCAAGAGACAAAAAGTGTGTCGGGTTGTTGATAGACGCTTTCGGCTGCAGAAGACCGAGAATTATCATCGAGCCGACAGGGCCTCTTGGGCGATACGTGTGACAAAAGAGCATGCATCCCACGCTTTCGTCTCCGTTGATAGACTCGAATACGGTCCCCATAGCTCCGCCTGGAAGCAGAAAGCTGTTCGCCAGGTCCAAAGTACGTCTCGCAAACCAACATGACCGGCCATTGACGGCGATCGTGGAGAAAGACTTCTCAAGATAATCTAGCGGCAACGGGGTATCGGGACCTCCAGGAGGTGTTGGAGCGATGTTGTCACCTTGCAACATGCGAAGGAAGGCTTGTTTTGTGGTGTCGTAAGGCAGCAGGTAGAGTCAACGTTCTTGCCGCAAGTGCAACAGGGAAGGCGTGTCGATAAGAGCGTCAAAGGGTAGGAAATAGGCGCCAAAACCGCCGCCGTGATCCAAAATGTTAGAACTCCAGCGTCCACGACGAACTTGACTAACCACCAAAGGAGATTGAGAAGACAACATATTCCAACCCAACGAATCACCGATGTCTTCAGATTACAGAAGTATTCTGCGAACCGAAGAATGATTTACTTAAGATAACGAATGTGATTGGATCGGCCTAGTAGGTGCACGTAACGCTTCGAAACTTACAACGTCACTTGCGCAACTATTGAAAGACTCTAAGCAGACTGCCCAGCGCGCTGCCTAGAGAATTGCAAGATCCCATCGCCCAAATCATATTTGAGGAGTACGGCCACACAAATACGAAAATAAACACCAGCAACGTCTAAACAGCACAGATGTTGCATCCAATGCAAGCAAGCCTCTTCTTCTGGCCCACGATACCCTCCTCGGGACTGAACTCCCACGAAGCAACAACAGGATCCTTCTTGGCCGCCTTGAGAGACTCCTCAGGCACGGTGAACATGACGTTGGACCGGCCAAACGTCTTTTCGAGCTTGATGACACCGGGCTGCTTGCGCTCGGTCAAGAGCGTGAGGCCAAGCAGATCAGCCAGGCCCTCTTCCTGGAGTAGCGCGTCGAATTCGGCGTAGAATGCGGGCTTGTTGGGCATGTCGCCGTAAACGGCCGGGGCACCGTGCTCGTTGAAGCCGTACTCGTACGGGATCATCTGGCCGGCCTTGAAGATCCAGCTGCGGGGCTTCACGACGCCGCCGTAGAACGAGCCGTCGGGTCGCTCGACGGGGAAGTCCCAGGGAGAGGCGACGGAGCCGAACTCGACGAGCTTCTCGTTCTCTGCCATGTCGAAGTGGCGGTGGATGAGGATAACGGCCAGCTCATTGTAGACTTCGTGCTTGAGGAAGAGGTTCCTGAGATGTGGTGTCAGAATGAGCGGATGGACAGTTCTTGCAAGGTAGCTTACATCATCTTTTCCTCGACGATGGCCTGAGGTGACCTTTGTTCGTAGGTCTGAGCAGCTTCGTGCAAGTGAGGCAGAGCCTGGTAGGTCTGGTAGAGGGAGGTGGTATCAACAGCGGCAGCGGCCATATTGAACGATGTGATTTTGATTTGATGTTATGAAAAGTTGATGTATGAATGAGTCTTTGTGAAAGAGATGTAAGTGAGGTTTGAGGGGTGAAGAGTGTGATGTTGAGATTGTGTTTCCATCATCTATCCTCGGGATCACAATGGGTTATTTATATGTGGTTCAAGAATTTCTGTTTCCTATGGAAGCAGTCGTCCTCGAAATGTCCATAGTAAACCATGAGGTTATGAGTGGTTATAAAATGTTAGTGAATCTTTCTTATCATTGTCACAGAAGGTACACTCAAGTTGCCACTTCCATATGGAAGCACAAAATGACAGGGAATTTCGTCTTTCGAGTTCCTATTCATGACGAAACCTTGACCTTCCCTCGTGCATTGGTACACTACTGCAACTCCTGGAACCAAAAGTCCCTATCTCAGTCAAGAGATCGACTCTTCAGAAACAACTCCGTAACCCGGATTCTGCGTGTTGCGATACTCTTTTCCCCAAAACTGACTTACATGCCGTAATATCACAGAAGCGTGGACATTCCCCTTCAATTTGGGAATAGCTTATCAGCCAATGAGAACCAAAGGACCAAATGCTTCAGGACCGAGGACTACAATGTCATCTCTTGCTCTCTGAATCTCTCCATCAGCTGTTGATAGACCGGAACTGAAAGCTGAGCCCAAACCAAGTTTCAACCCCAGAGGTTTCTGCATGCAACCCATACCCGCGCGGCATCGTCGAGCTAACCGAGACCAACGAGAGTATGTGAAGGGGCTCTGTGCCGCAAATTCAGACAGTAGCGTAATGCTCGTTGGGCGGGGTTAGAGCTGTTCCGCCTCCAACACATGAATTCCATAACAGCCACCAACAAAGACTCGCCGAATTAGTCGAGATCAACACACTTGATTAGGCAGGTGCAGCAAATCCTGCTTCAGCAAGGTGATTAGCTGGCTCTGAACCCCTCTACCCACAACCCATCGTTCTTCGCTCAGCTGTGCCCGGAAACAGTCTATCACTTTGCTGGAAACTGAATGTGCTTGGTTTGGGACTTTGGTTTATCAAGTTATCATTGATCTAAGTCGTTGGGCAAGAGGCTGTATGCCTAGCATTCGCCAAGAGATGCAGCCGCGGCATGTGTGACGAAAGAGTACACTGATTTACAGCCAAGAGCAGAACAAGCTCAAGCCTGACGTGAGATAAAGCAGCATACCCTTGAACGCGGCAAGATCCTGCCGAAGTTTGATAAGTCAGGCAGTTTCACCATTGGAACTTCAACGCTTGACTCTATCGCGGGGTCTTGAGGATGGTGTTATGCATCTTGAGCTTCGCACATGTAGGTTGCCTCTTAAGCGGAATATAGACTGAATACTGCGCGACGACGATGACGACGATGTCGAGAACGATATCAACAACAATAAGACAGATAATGAAGACAACAGTGATAATAATAAAAATAGCGATTGAAACAATGATAACAATAAGAACGACAAATCAGAGTGTTAATAGTGAAAACGGTACCAATAATAGGTTATTAACTTACCTTAGGATGGGTGTTATTTAGCTTCCACATAAGAGAATGCTTATCTGCTTATTAGCTATTGAATGATGGCCTGATATTGGCTAGATACTGCTAAAAGGTGGAGGCCATGTGTAATTGGTATTTGAGGTATGTCAAATTCCCCAAAGCTGGAAGAATAGGCAGGTTGCTTCTGCTGTGCCGTCTTGGCGCGTGAGATTACCGCTCTGAGACGGGGTGATCAGCGCGCGTTCCTCAAAAGTCCCGGCCCCCAATCAACTGTCCGTGAAGGTTTGGCTTTCAACGCAACATTCTTCACCGCCACCTGAGATAAGGAGAATGCCAGTACTTTTTACTGCTAGTTAGAAGCAGCCACAAAGCTGCCGAAGCCGTCTAGCTCTGCCGGCCCCGATATCGTCCCCAGTATGCCAATGTCACAGAATCAAAGACATCGAAATGATGGCTTGGCCAATATCGTCGACGTCTGAAGGCTCGGTGTTCCTGTCTTTGGAGTTTTGCGACACGATTCTATGCATTCTACCCCGCACTGTTTCCATCATCGCGCTTCTGTTCAGATATGTTCTACATCGTCTCATTGCTACACCGCGTGTTAAAGTTCCAAGCCGAAGGCTGTCTCAGTGCATCGCTCTAGACCGTGCAGTAGGTTCTCTCACTCTTCAGCTCACTATGGAAGCAATTCTGTTTAACAAGAGTCCAGGCTCTTCTGGGCTGCATAGCGGCGGTTCACCTGGCCTCACTTGTTGTCTACTGCACACAAGCTGCAAGCCTTAGTGGCCTGCAGGCAAAGACCACTCTGCCTGCTTGCGCAATTCAGTTCACTTGCGCGGTGGTCCTCCTTCGTTATTCGACTGAACGGACAATATCTCATCTCCTTGAGCTCATTCTTCTCGCATCTGCCATACTTGATGCCTTCAGACTCTCAACACTATGGACTCTGGCATCTCAACATGGCTTCGACTCCCCGAGAGTAGCCGTGGTGGCTCTTCAGACTACAAGCATTGCAATTTACGCCTTTGCTCTGGCTGTTATCTCTCGATCGAGCCCCGCAATCAAAGATGTAAGAGAACACGAACCAGAGACAGCACAAAGTCACACACAGGCCATTGCTCCTCCAGAGAAGGACGCCAGCTTCTTCAGTCTCATTTTCCTCGGCTGGTTGAACCCGCTGCTCTCAGCTGGCATGAAGCAAGAGATACTTCAAAGCGATATGCAGCGAATTGAAACCCATCCGACATCAACCTTCTTCCCTCCACCTGGGTTCGATGAGCATCGTAAAACAAGAAACGACCGTTCATTTTTGGCGCAAGTCATTCACGAGATCCCACTTCAAACCCACTTGCTGTTCCTGTGGGCTTTGGTGTTATCTGGGTGCACAGCTGCGACGACGCTATGTCAACCCATCATCATCAAAGCCCTAGTCTCGTTCCTTCAAAGCGATGATCACCTTTCAGTCGGTGCATGGCTAGTCGTAGTCTTATTTCTTGAGTAAGTACTATCACTTTGCTGGTGATGTGGTGAGGGTCGTTATCTGGATATAGCTGACACTTGTTCAAGCTTCACTCTACTCAATATCCTGGTTGCGCAGAGCACTCACGTAATGGACCAGATATCTTTCCGCATCAGGGCTTATCTCACATACCGCATTCACGCAAAATCCGTTGAGCCAATGGCCACGCAGGCCAGCGCCAGAGGAAGCGATTCGGAAAGTGCGAAAGTGACAGTCCTGGCGAGCGTGGATGTCACACAAGCTGTCTTCATACCCAGGGTCCTCGCCGAGACAACAACAAGCGTCATCATTGTTGGCGTTGGAGCCTACCTTCTGTACCAGGCCGTTGACCTTGTATTGATTGGACCTCTTCTCCTGGCACTTCTTAGCATCAGTATCCCGATATCACTGGGCAAAAGACTGACACGCAGTCAAAGACGTGCCCTCGAAGCTACGGAACGACGAATTCGGTCAGTAGGCCAGCTTGTGGAGAAGACAAGGAGTATTCGCATGGGTGGCATGGAGTCGATGGCCGAAAAGGAGGTGCTTGAGAATCGCGTGGTTGAAATTAAAGCCATGTCTCTTTACCGCAAGCTTCTCATCGTTGTTGTGTTCGCATGTGAGTTTCACAATTCTCCTAATGTACGCAAGTCAGACCAGCGTCGAGTTGCTGACACGGGTGCCGTCGACTACAGCGGATTCTGTCAATGGATTCTCTCTGCTCTTGACGTTTGGAGTTTATACCGCCGTGAACGGTACCGACTTGGAATACACAACTCTCTTTACGGCGCTTTCGGTCATCTCCATCATGCTCGGTCCTTTCCCTTCATTTATTCAGATGCTCCCAGCACTGTACGAGGGATTTGTGAGCTGGGGCCGCATTAGTGCCTACGTCAAACCAGACTCTGAGCAATCTGGGGATGCTCACCATCTGGAAAAAGCCGATAACCAAATATGTGGCCTCATTCATACCAGCTCGGATGATCTGAATGTTGCCACGTTTTGTGGTGCGAGTCTAGGCTGGGGCACTGAAAAGATACTCTTCGACGTCTCTCTCGATCTCAAAAAGGGCAGCGTCATTGGCGTTACTGGTTCTTCTGGCTGCGGCAAGTCGACACTACTGCGATCACTCATAGGAGAAGTCAACATTCTGTCAGGAACGATCCGGACGAGCACGCTTAGAACTGCCTTCTGCGACCAGACCCCTTATTTCCTGGCCAACCGCACCATTCGCCAGAACATCATCTTGGAGAGCCCGTTCGATGGGAAGTTGTACTCCGAGGTGCTACATTCCTGCTGTTTGATACCAGATATTTCCAAGTGGCCAAAAGGCGACGATACCGTTCTAGTTGATGCCGTTGGGACGTCTCTCAGCGGAGGTCAGAGAAAGAGACTGGCGTTAGCCAGGGCGCTGTATCACCGTAGCAGCCTCCTGATTCTCGACGACGTTTTCACGGGACTGGATTCGAGAACGATACGCGAGATGAAGGACGCATTGTTTGGCAAAGAAGGCTTCGTGACTAACAGAAGACAAGAGATGGCTGTGCTCATTGTAACGCCTCTGGAGACTTCCGTATTCCCGTCAAGCTTCCCTCACGAAACTTTCTCTGTAAAAGAGGGCAGATTGTTTCCTCATAGAACGGAGCCAATAACCGAGGAACATCCGGAGTTGGAAAAGTCGGAGTCAAAAGAATCTCCAGCTCAACCATCGCTCAAGATCGAACCGAATGAAAACTCAAGTGCGTCTCGGGCACAGGACAAAAATCGCAAGTCAGAATCCTCCAACGCAACCCCTAATGACCGCGCTCCAACAACTCCGGCCAAGAAACACGTGGCTTTGCGGGACCTCGCGACATACTTGAAATCATTCGGACTGTTCAATCTTATTATCTCTCTCTTAGCCACTTGTGGCGCATCTGGTATTAACAAAGCAAGCGGTAAGTCTGTTCTTTACTCCAGATATTTTGCAATGAGTTGTCTTTGAACATCCTGTTATCTAGCTTTTTTCTTGTCTTATTGGGCAGGGAGATATGAAGCAGGCGACTTTTCAAAAACACCGGAATTCTACATGGGCATGTACTCCCTGATAATTGGTTCGGGCTTTGTCTGTATCTTGGTAACTTGCGGGTAAGTGATGATCTTGGAGGACCGGAGTGTTGGAGTTGAACTTTCCAGCTGACTGCATATCGATTTTCCCAGATTCTTCTTTCTTCGAATGATTCCAAAGTCTGCTGTTTCTATCCATAAGGACATGTTGCATGTTTTAGTCAGGTAAGCCTGACATGTTTCACATCAGTGGTCTGAAAGTCCAACTAACATGAAGTCTTTGACAATAGCTCGCCAGCCAACTTTCTGGAGAGCAAAGGTCCCGAGACCTTGAACCGGTTTGTTATTTCTTGAGTCAAATAAACATTGCCCTGAAATAATACGATTGTCATCGATTGGGAAAGTAGGCTCATGTATTCCTAGGTTTACCAACGACGTCAATGTTCTCGATCTCGCCCTTCCTCTCGCGATTCTCAACTCAATATGGGGTAAGCACGCAATGACGTATGGACTTCACAGAAGTACTGACTCTTTCAAACTAGCTGTCGCTGCTGTTCTCGGATCTATGGGCGTACTGGCCGCCGGGTCGGTCTATACGCTGATCAGTCTAGCTATCTCCCTGGTCGTTCTCTATTTCATCCAGCGCCGGTACCTCGCCACCTCCTCACAACTCCGAACCCTTCAAATTGCTTCCCAGGCCCCCGTGATCGGGACGCTACGGGCAAGCTGCGACGGGCGTGCCACAATCCGAGCCTTCAACCTCCAGGATAGTGCATGCAGTACCCTCGTTGACCAGGTCTATCAAGCAAGCAAATCGGCTTATCTGTTCAAATCTCTTCAGGCGTGGCTGTTTCTGGTGATTGGCCTGCTAGCGGGTGGGGTTGCGGGAACGTTGGCTGCGCTTCTTGTAGGTCTGAAGTCGACGGTCAACGTCGGCTGGGCTGGGGTGGCTCTCGTGAACACCATTACTCTAGGCTCGGACTTGAAGATGCTTATGAATTGGTTGACCCTCTTGGAAGCACAATTGGGGGTTGTGCGGAGGATTCGAGAGTTCATTGCTACAACACCTACAGAGGGCGATGGGCACGCTGGTCGAGTCGAGGAACCACCACAAGGATGGCCTCGCAAGGGGAATGTGGTGCTTCACGGAGTCTGTGCGGCATATGAGTAAGTTCTTGAGTGAACTGGTATGGTCCACGATAACTTGAAGTTGCTGATAATTTTGAAGTGATCATCCAGTCTTGAGGAACGCTTCAGTGAATATCCGGGCAGGCGAAAAGGTTGCCGTGGTCGGGAGGACAGGCAGGTATGTTTTATTCCCCATGTACCAACCTCCAAACTTGAGGTGTACTGACCTTTTTTTCGAAGTGGAAAAAGCTCTCTCATTCAACTACTTTTCGGCCTTATCGAGAAAACCAGTGGGTTAGTTCAGGTCGATGACGTTGACTTGGACACTGTCTCGGTTCAGTCGCTTCGAAAGAGCTTTGCCGGAGTTCCTCAGTTCACGTTTTGCAACAGCCAAGCAAGCGTTAAGGCCAATATTGATCCCAACGACGAGCATTCACACGCTGATGTTGTCGAGATGATTCGCCTTGTATCTGCGGGGATTTCGGAGTACGGCGAGCCTGAAGCTGCTATCGATATTGATCAACTCTGGGAGTTGTCAAAGTTTTCATCTTCGGGATGGCAGCAGAGACTTGGAATCGCAAGAGCATTGCTCAGAAGTAGTGCGCTGTATGTGATGGACGAGCCGACAAGCGGGTAAGATGCGTTCCTCCCATCATCTTTCTGCTCTTGCTGACGTAGATTACCAACCAGCATGGATGGGAAAAACCATAAGGTCATGTTGAGCAACATGTTTCAGAGACGACCGGAAAGCACCTTCATCATCGTCACGCATCACAATGATGGACTAGACATATTCGACAAAGTTTTGACTGTACAAGAAGGAGACATTTTGACTTCTAAGAGCTAACTCGTAGCCCTGAACATTTTGTCGGATACATTCAGAATCTTTCTTGCAGTGGTCAAAGGCTAGCAGATGTTTATGCAGTGTTGGCTGCATTATGATCTCGCCATAGTTGTGCCTGCCTGATGGAGCTATCACTGAGCTACCCGACTTCATATCCGAGCCGATGATCTGGTAGGTTTTGGTATAGGTCGCAACTGCAACGACCAAACAGACGGAATATACAGTCAGCTTCTACGTGCAATGTAGCTCTCAAGGAACTTTTCTTGGGTGCCTCAAGGCTCAGATCTCGCTCTCCTTCTGTAGCGCTGGATTAAATACAAGACTGCTTTTCTTGTCACACAGTTGAGAACATCATCAGTTGGCACCTCCTGTTAGCAAGAGCCCATGGGCTTTAGGGGTCCGGCTTTCATGGAACCGTTTGCGGAAGTCGAGTTGTGACTATTCAATTCGTAATGGAGGCTTCAGGTAAGGTATATAATCTACCAATATGTCTTTTCAAAGTAATCTTATTGAGATGCGCCCACCACATTTGAGCTGCATGGAACCTTGACTGCTATTATTCTCTCTCTACTATTGTCGCAATTGTTGAATCTATCTCCATTGCCATCACTGGTGTCATTGCCGTTGCGAGCTTCATGTTCTTCGCTAATTATTCATTCTAGGTATTTGTCTTCCAAATGAAGAGGATGCATCTTGACACTTGGTCCAGCATCCGTTGTCAACCCGTTCAGTCCCCGTCCCGTCAGTTGATCATTAGACATGGATGCGCGGTGTTAATGCAGTTGTTTGAAATTGACTCACCTGTCAGCCTACTGTCAGAAATGCTTTACCGAGGCCAGCAGAGGAGACAACGATGACTGCATCCGGGGAAGAAGGGAATCTCACGTGCGATACCTTGAACGGACAAACAGTCTTCCCGCATCTCATGCACATCAACTTCAAGCCCGTGGTTCTGGCCCAACAACTCGACAGTCGCTAATCGCAACACGTTTGACCAACTCTTGGCCTCTTGTCGTGTCCAATGAGAAACGTAGCTACCCCAGAAACGATCAATTTAGCAACTTGAAGTCGCATTTGGATCTGCACGTCAAGTGGAAAATCTGGTGATTTGACCCCGTGATCCGCTCCTGGAGGTTTTGGAAGATCGTGTGCGACGCGCTCCAATGGGGGCCTCCTCTTACCAACGCTCAGACGCAAATGCACGAAGATTCTCTTCTTCTCACCAAGTGAAATGATCGACCCAGGGGTTTATCACAGCTTCGTCATTCCCATCGATCGTCTTGTTGCGTTTCGCGTTTCTCATCCTGGCTAGTCTCCCGTCTTGGTGTCTCGACTTCCCCGGCCAACTGCCTTTTTCGTGCGCGATCACGGACCTGTGATTTCTAATTATTGGTAACAACCCGATTTTCTGGTACCAAAGATCTGGATCGCACAGAAAAACGCCGCTCACGATGATTGTTGGCGAGTTTGACGCGATGTCGGACACCGAGGCCACCTGCGTCTCCATCTTGGGGATTTTCAGGAGTCCCACTTGGCGCTCGACGACCGCGGTCTCTGGGCGAGAGTTGCGTTTCAACTCGACTGAAAAATGTCACAAAGTGTCAAAGACGAAACCCCCCTCCATCCAAAATAAAAAAAATTCTGAGGCGGGGTAAAAGCGAAAACCAAATGCTCTACGACGATTTCGAATTGAGGCGTTTTTTTACTTGACATGCCACTGTTTCATTCTGGTTTCCATTTTTGCCGTCTTCCCCGGAGGACCATGACACCCATGGCAGGCTTGACGACCATGATCGACTTAAGATCTACAGCAACCGAGCAACTCCTGCACCTCGAGACTTTGATGTCTTCCACCGCGTCCTACCCGGCCCACACGATCACCAGCTGCCAATAACGTCAACATGCATTCGGAAGAGAGCTTTGGCATTCCAGAGGGCTCTACCGTTCTTGTGACGGGTGTGAATGGCTTCATCGGCTCCCATATCTGCAGTCAACTGCTGCAGTTGGGTTTCGATGTCCGCGGAACCGTCAGAGACGTGACAAAGTACGCTTGGGTCGAAGACTTGATGGAGAGGGAAAACACAAGGGGTTGCTTTACGCTGGTCTCTCTGCCAGACTTGGAAGAGGACGGCGCCTTTGATTCTCTCGTCGATGGTTAGTCTTGGTGTAAGTTGTTTCGAGTTTGGTTAATGATTTGATTTGTAGGCGTTTCTGCTGTTATCCATGTGGCTTCACCTGTTTCCTTGAGCCCCGATCCGGAAAGCGTCATTCCGAGCAGCATCAATGGAGCCTTGAACGCGCTCAAGGCCGCCAACAGATCGCCCAGCGTTAAGCGATTCGTTCTGACAAGTTCTTCTGTTGCAGCTGCTCTACCGAAGCCTGGTCAGAAGGGTGAAGAGGTGACAACGACAAGCTGGAACATTGAGTCGGTTGCGGTTGCGTGGGGAAAGCCTCATCCTCACCAGGCTTGGCATGTCTATGCAGCAAGCAAAATTGAGGCAGAGAGAGCGGTTTGGAAATTTTACAACCAAGACAAAAGCTGTCGCCCAGACTTGGTTGTCAACACAGGTACATATAATTCATAATTGAAGAACGCAAGAGACAGAAGCTGACCAGTCTTCAAGTGTTACCTAGCTGCAATTTTGGAAAGAGCTTGGACGTCATCAACCAAGGTCACCCTTCAACATCCTCATTCATTGAGAGTTTGTGGTACGGGATCAACATGGATCAACTGGCTTGCAGTCCTCCTCGTATGTTTGCCCCGTTAATTATCGTTAAAGATTGTGCTAACAGTCAACCCAGAGCACTTCGTTGATGTCGAGGACACGGCAAGACTTCATGTTGCCTGTGCTATCCTGCCCAATGTCCATGGTGAGAGGGTGTTTGCGTGGGCTGAACCATTCAACTTTGACGCTGTACTCGACATCCTCCGCAGCGAGTTTCCTAGCAAACATTTCGTGGAGAACTTCCACGGCTACCGCGACCTCTGCACCGCCGAGAAAGCCAAAACCAGAGCGGCTCAGATTTTGCGACTAATGGGGAAAGACGGATTCACTTCTTTGGAGGAGAGTGTTCTACTGAACATTGATGATCTGCCTTGAGAAGGCGACTTCGAACTTTGATCGCGGGGGTTTTCTTTAGGGGACTTTGGGGCCCAGTTCGGCAAGTCCAAGGGGACGAAGACGAGCAAGTTGACGACACTTGCTGAAGTTACGGGAACGGCACTTTCATTCACCCTTACATATTTTCCAACTATTTTACACGAGAAACGAAATCTCACAAACATGAACTCAACGCATGAGTTGGCCTGAGCGCCATACTGATGCAGGGTGCGGATAGAAGCCGCCATCAGGTGGAGGAACAGGGTCAACTCTCCACTCCTTAGCCAAGGCTCAAGGCCTGAATATACGTCATTGGAAACATCCACGGGTCGTGCCGCTGAACTGTCATCTGATCTACCGAAAGTAACATTGAACAGTAACATTGAATTATGCCATTCCTAAGTTGTGCTATGGAACAGCTCCACCATTTGGACAGTAAGATGCCTCCTCGCCATTATGAGCGCTCCCATCGCAAGCTGGGGCGTCCAATGTTGCCATCCATCTTCACGAAGGTTTTATTCACCCTTCCAGCTTGAGACATGAATCATGACTCTAGAATCTTGACTTCCAAGGCTGGGCCTCATTCTTAAATAATATTCGACGAGAATGGTCCCAGTGGCGATTCATGAACTCTTACTGAGACCACACCTGCAGTCCGAGGGCTGGGTTGTCGGTAGACTGACGGGCAGTGGTGCAGGAGTCGCCGGCACCAAGAGGCACACAGATAGAGCCGTATACGCAGAACAGCAGCCACTTGTTGGAAGTGTTCTGGACAGAGACGGTCGTGTCGTCCATGGTCATGACGCCGTAAGAAGGGGAGGTGGCCGTGTAGGTGTTTCCGTTTTGTGTGAAGCTGACGCTGTCGACAGTACCGCAACCGGGGCAGCCGGCATCACGGGAACACTCGGCCGCAAGTGCAGCGGGAATGAGAGGCAGAAGGAATGCGGCGAACTTCATGTTGATTCTGGACAACGAATGGACGTGGTGAACGAAAGTCAATATGTAAGCGAGGCTGGGTTTGCTACTAGGGACTGGGATGGTGTCACAAAGGAGGAAGGTTGAGACTTGAGAGGGATTATTTCTGAGTTTATATCCTCTCCAGTCTGCTCACAATGCACCACAGCGCCCTAAAAACAGGTACGCAGTAACATCACGCCCTAAAGATTCCATGATCTTACGATAAATAGTATTGCAGCTCTCGTGATAGTCAACTTTGCCAATCTCCACTGCGCCTCTTTATGGTCAGACTTGCATGAGACTCCATCACCAAGTGGCATCGATATGCACGAACAACACCATCTATCTGAGTTCATCTCGGCTTAGACGTTCCGAAAAGGCAGTCGGGTTTCTCGCGCGGCAATGCGCGGTAGTATAGATGCAACGCAATCCCCGCTTTCGATCGCCATTTTAAATCAGGCCACTGACTCGATCTAGAAACTCTGCCGACGGGTCCCCGGACTTGAGTTTGTACTGGACTTTGTAAGATGTTGTTAATAAGTAAATGAGGTCGCGATCGGCAGATTTCTCTTGTGTATAAACCTGTTTTCATCTAAGTATTGAATGGTTCGTCGGTCGTCAGCGATTGAAGGTTGTACTCCGCCGCGGTTGTTCCCCCCCTGTTTCTACCACTCGCTATCTTTATGGTTGCCTTCTATCCGCAGTCACTATCCAAGCATTCAACCCGGAATAATGGCCGCTGGGTAGTGAATTCAGGCTTGAAACTGTCTCGCCATCTGAGTACCGGTCAACTGTTGCCAAAAGCTCTTCTGGTTGCTCAAACGCCCCGCAGACGCCGGAAATATCATAATATGCTGTCAACAATACGAGCCATTCGTACCGCCCGTGAAAGACCGAAGCATGACCACTTCTCAATTGTGATTAGTGATCTGCAGGGTTTTGTATGGGACCACTCCAACCCCGCGGGCAATAAGCCATGTTGGTTGTAGTTCTTTTGTAAGTAACCCGGCACATGCCTGGGCTGCTCTTCAAGGGGAGCCGTAAATGATTACTGTAGTTAGATAGATAGGAAAAAGTCTCCATAGACCAGATGCCACCTACCTGAAAGATAATAAGTGATATCATGAGAATACCACGCAAGTCCTTGGCAACCCTCTTATAACTGGATGTACACCCCTCCACGGTTATTATTCCTGGTCGAATACTTCAGGAGTAATACCGGATATTAAGGAGAACACTAGAGCTAGTAGCAGCAAGGATAGGACTAGAGGTAGCGAGAAGTAGTTGCAAGGGAAAAATAACCGTGGAGGACTGTACCTACATCATTGGACGCCAATCCTATCTTTTCTCCGGATTGGAACTCAGTACGGACAACAGCACACTTTAGTTATGCAACTAAGCCGGCCATTGTACACAAATTTGTCAGTAGACCGCTCATCGATTCATGATACCCCTGAACGAAGACTGATCAACGATGGCAACATACTACAGTCTTTGCTTTTGACACAGACAACGAACGGTCGATGGTTTTGAAGATCTTGATTATGGAAACTGAAATTGCTACCGGCTCCTTTCCTCAAAACAAATCGATATGAGGCTCTGTAGCGACAAAACTCTTTTATGCTAATGTTTTCTTCGTTTTCCTTTCTGTCTTTTGATGCAGAGTAGGAACAAAATTGGTAAGATTATATTTCTTCTCATGAAATAGACATCAACCGTAAGGAGCCCCCCACGAAGGCTGATTGACTATGCAGTGACTTTTGCTGGTTGTGTATTTTCGGCAATAGATTCCACAGCCAATCGATATATAACATTGCGCAGTATACGTTTATGAGATCTAGTACTGGCTAAAGTACCCTCATACTGTGGCTTATCTGTGGCTACCTCGCGCCGTATGAGTCTAGGGCGCAGCAATGGCAGCATGGAAGCCTGTCAAGAAACAAGACTCGTGAATATTGAACGTTCAATGGGTCCCCACTCGGTATGGCGAGATGTGGAGTCGAGCGAAAGGAAATAATAAGGGTGGCTGCATTATATTGCGCGGTGTCTTGCAATGGTATGAAGTCTAAGACGAAAACTCAAATCACGCCCTTAATGTATGCAGTCACATAACATCCTTCGTGAACACTCTCCATTGAAATAAATCTTATCGTGCGCCCGTAAGACGAGCATTGGGTCTTAGCTCTCTTCCTTACACTCCAAACCACTCTCTTCAGATCGCACGATGAACTCTGAATCACCGGCTGATAAGCCTGACGAACCAGAGAAATGTTCTGGCTCCGGGGCAAACCAGATCCTCACAGGCCAAGATTCGATTATTGGCGGTGCAATGCAACGCTTGCCACCGCTTCACGACCTTGATGATTTGGAGCTTCAGCGAATAAGCCAGCTTTGCCTACCGAGCTGGGACTCGCGAAAGCGCTGGCGGGACATTTCCCATGCCGTGCGTCCCGAGAGACCAGAGTACTCTTTCTTGTTGAGAATTCCACAGAGCGAAGCCTGGAATCAAGCTTTGCGACAAATACAAGCTGGATACTTCGAGGGACGAAGATTCGAACATACCCTGACAACTGTTACGCCATCAATACACAAACCCATCTTTGGAGCCATCTCTATGATTCTCTACGACAATCAACTCCGGCAGACACGTCCTATCACCAACGCTCTAGACGGAAAGCCATTTTGCGCTGTCAAGTCGAAACAGGAAGCTGATGAGTACCTGTGTGTAGTTCATTATCGGCTCAAATTCATCGATGGCACTCTTATCAGCTTTTACGATCTCGGCAAGATCGTTCTGGAACACATGCTTTACGTGGACTACTGTATTGGAACATCTTCTCTGCGGCCCAGCTTTCCTTGGTCTTATTATTGGCCTTTCTGGCTGGTACTATGTAGTGCGGTATCGGACTACTCAGCGTGCTGCGCCTATACGACGCCCCCCAAAGCCCTGACGGAGCTACTCGCACATCATCTTCAGTTTCTACACCAACTTGCAGCCTCTCTTTCTTGTTGGACTTCCGCGACATACGAATACGATCTTGCACTTATGTTGCATCACTATTGGACGCACCTGAAGGCGACATCAGTATGTCACTTTTGGCATGGGGCAACAGGATACACTGGCATCATGACTGAGCTCGTTGCCGAGGTGCCCATCGTTGGAACCGAGAGATTGGGTCGAAAGTTGTCGGTGGATTATCACGAAAACATCAAAAAGTTTGTAAGATGTGAAAGCGATAGGAAGATCATGATGAAGAAGGTCGAGAACATTGCCGCTGAGTTCGGCGTCGTTCTCGGTATCAAGAATACCCGTGGCTTGGGCACGCCCATGCTTGAAATTTACTGCAAAGATGGGTTGTCTAGGCAAATGTGACTAGGGAGTGACGTAGGACCCGATTTCACGGTGTGATCGATAATTCTCGTCATCCAAGTCTGTCAAATTCTACCTGTCGGCGGCATATCACTGAGAGCATGGACACTGTGAGGCAGGGCAGTTAAAGGATTTCACTTTATGTATAGTCTTGATAGTGTACAGGTTGGCTAGTCATCCATGTCGTCAACGCTCTAGGTCTCCAAGTCCCACTTCGGGGTTGCAGTCGCTCAAAAGTCAATCTAGTCTGTACGCAGGGTTGAATCAAGCATTTAGCAGCGTACTCAGACACCGGCGCATGAGGTATACTCCTTGACGGCAACGGAGGTACTTTTTCTCAGTTAGCTATTGAGCCATGTGCTTATGTAGGAATTCAACACTTACCACGCGGTTATGCATGCGGCGTCCTTGGCACATCCATTGATACAGGCAACTTGATCCGCAGCTGCCTTCGTCTCGCAGGCAGCAATATCACCACCCTTTCCGCCCTTTCCGTCGCCGTCCTTTGCGTCTACGGGCATGGCAGTAGCGTAGGACGCAGCGAGCAAAGTGATGATGGTTGAGAAACGCATTGTGATTCTTTGATTTCGAACGTGAATGTAATGTGTGGAGGTTGTTGGGTTGGGTTTATCTGGTTTGGTTGGATTTGTCTGGTTTTAAATGTAGATAGAAGTCTGTAGATGTTTGATTGATTGTGCGTTGAGCTTGATTGCCGGAGAGGATTGGGTGGGATTATCAGGATCATTATATACACGATTTCGAGGCTTCCTCCACCAGTCGACCTCCATTTCCATTCACTTCCGCGAATACGATAACGTTTCGTCATGAGATAAATTACCGTACAGCCCGGCGGCCACGCGCATAGGCCACGATGACCCGAATGACGGGGCTCCCGCTGTCAATCTCGGGGACGTCAGGGGATGACGTCTTTTGACGCTGTGCAGGTCTCGCAACTGCTTTCCCAATTAGGCTTGCGAGAGAGGAGACAGTAAAGCCTATTCCAGAGAACCCGTCCTGTCCGCCGTTGATGGGTGCCTTGTCATGAATGGCATTTCTCTAGTGTGCATCTGGCTTCTTCCACCAACGTAAAGATCGGACGAAGATGTCGTCTCTTGGTCAAATGCAGGGTCTTGGACGTTTACCGGTAGGCATGCCTCGCTTACTATCAGAGGTCAGTCAGGCGTCGGCAGTTGCTACTTTAGACGAGACGTCGAATGGGCGATCGCCAACGGGGATGTGTTTTCTAGATATTCGGGGCTTTTCCCAAGGGACCACACAACCATAATGCCTCGGACCACTTACGCGATGTCCTCACAAACACGTGAAGTATGCCGATGCCGCCCGGACCATTACATCAGTGCGGCCTCCCGAACGATGCTCCACGACTTCCCTAGAAGGTTCGAACGGCGCTCGATTTGGAAAGAGACTCGTAGGTCATGCCCAATGGGTCGTCAATCGGGATGAGTTGTGATGAGAACTGCCACATCATGTTTGCATATGACCACATGTTGTCTCCACTCGTCAGCCTTACTTTTGATACACGCGATATCCGGGGATCTGGTACCGTGGATTCACGTAACCGTCCTCAGGAGTGTTCGGATGGTGAGGTCACATCAAGAGATATCCAGGGCAGTTATTATTCTGATGGTATCAGTTGTTTCCGCGATCGAACAGTCGTTCATCTTCGAACTATCTTCAAGTCCTCAGGTACGTCATCTTCTCGATCGAGGCGAATTTCCACGGGGCCGGTCCCACCCGGCTCCGTCGGCATGACGCCCCGACGTCTCACGATCAATGCTCCGCTGCGCAGCAACCGAGCCTCGGCAGCTTCGGTGGAATTGGAACTCAACTTTCTGTTGATCGTGCCTGGTTGTGGATCGGCTATGATAGGCGGAGTTAGGCTGTGCCAATCATGTGGAATCAGTGACGAAACCAACATGAGTTATCTGGGTACGGATTACTGAGGTAAGATGCACATGAACGATCCTGAAGCTGGCATCCCTTGCCTGGTCTACGTTGATAACCAGCAAAGAGTCAAGTCCTGTTCACCGGAACGTACGCTTCGCCAACAACGGTAAGCTTAAGGGGGCTTTCCAAGTCGTTCATGTTCTAGCCCTTGAGCCCCGCAGCTTGTCCAAATCTTGAATATCAGTTAACGAGGGGACTTGCGGGGAAACTCTTGATGTGCGGGATGCGTGCATGGGTGCGGAAACGATGCACAGAGGAACTCAACGCTCCTCACCACCAATCCGATGACGATGCAGAGGGGCAACCGGAAAGCCTGAACGTGTGACTTATTCATGTTTTTGCATCACCGAAATTCGCGAAGATTCGTAGACTTGTCGTAAATCGTACCGCGGTCTGCGAGTGTCCAATACTGCCTCGATTCGCCGTTCATTCCGAAAGAGGAATGGCGAGTGAGCAGTGATCACGCCAATTAGAGATGTCCCTGCATAATGGTATAGCCCGACCAAGATAACCTTAAATTGAACCACATCGGATCAACCGCGGCTCAAGCCATAAATCCGATCCTTATCAGCGTGACGCCAGCTATGTTGCTCTAATGTGAAGAAGGCTTCAATGTCTCTGCAATGTCTCTTACCGGATTGTTAACTTGTTTGTCTGTTTTCTTCTCGTGGCGGTCGATCAACAGGCAGTAGTAAAGTCCCTGGCCCGTTGGTGCCTTCATCCAGCTGCGCCCAGTTGTATGATGCACAGAGTCTCGGCTCCGAAGGTTCTAATATCATCAGATCACCGCGCTTTACGTTCATCCGAAAATGTTGATTACCCGTGAAATAGGAAATCCGGTCATCAAATCGCTGGCTCGGAGTTCCGAATGTCCTGAGAGGACGGGACTCCGGCGGTGTAGCACAGGCTTGGAGCTATTCTGGACAACACCCATGTGTTGATTGATTCGACGGAAAAGACAAAACAATGATTGCTTTGCGTTCTTCATCTTTGCGAATACGCCTCAGTGCGTCGACCTTTGCCGTACAACTTGATCGCTGGATTCGGTCACACGCTGCTACCAAGTCTTTCGCGGGCTGGTCTAGAATCGAACTCCAGAGTCGGGATTTGACAAATAATTTGCACGTCATTTTTTGAAATACAGATTACGTGATAAGCAAGATACTCATACCGGTGTCGCCGACGGGCGATGCCGACGTTTCTTATCAACCGGCCGGTTTTCGGTGGGTCACTCGGTCTCGCAAACCGGCGCAATTGGTCCGAAACTCGGTGATGTGGAGCTCATTCCCGGCTCGCGCTTTGTCGGAGACCGGCTTACGCATTCGTCGAATTGCATGAGCACCATCTTTACGCTAAGGGCAGTCTACGAACTCAGAGATCAAAACTGTTAGCGCGTTGCAGAAAAATATGTCGTGTCTGGTAAGAACACACTAACGTCTTCAATCCTGCAACATGTAGTGCTTCATTCCATGATCATAGTAGACCACACTTGACCATACCATCATTGATGTTTGCGGTGAAGTTGAAGACTGCATTTCTAACTTATCAACTTCAGCATGGAGTCGAACAGTAACTTCACTGAAGAGAACGCCTCCAGAAACGTCGACGACAGTTTGTCTGCCAACCTCTTCTCATGTCAGCCATGTCGGGCAAGAAAGCTGAAATGCGATCGCGTACGGCCTTGTTGCAGCCGCTGCGTGAGGCTTGGGGACGACTGCGAATATCCCCAAGCAAGAAGAGCCAATGTTGGCAGAAGAAAAAGAGTTCATGAGCTTGAAACAAAACTCGGTGCGTTGCAGCAATCTGGCCTTACAATGTGGCGAATACTATCAGTTTCAATATGAGAAGTCTACGAGGAGTCTGTCGGAAACCGCCGTAGCTGATGGTTCTCAGATCAACTCGAGCGACTGGCGGGAGCAGAAGGCTCCAAGAAGGCAGAGGAACCGGTGCTTCAAGATGCTTTTCAACAAGCTGCCAACGCAGTGCTACTTAGCTCAGAACCTTTGGCGACAACTGCCTCCTCAGGAACGACCCCTAGTCAGCATCAGCCGCAAGAGGATGCTTCATTTTCAGAACTAATATCTCTTGGGTTGTTCGAACAACAACCTTCGTCCGAACTCATGCTTTTCTTGTACGTCGATGTTTTCTAAAGTATTGATTTGGGCTTATGGCTGATTCAAACAGAACAAAGTCGTACTTCGACAAGTGGCATTTTGCTGCTCCTGTTCTTCATCGGGCGCGGTACATGATGTCGCTATTCCTCCCGACTCACATGCGCCCACCTTTGTGCCTCCAGTACATCGTCATGGCACTCGGTGCCGACATCATCAGAACTCATCGGGAGCTGGCAATCCCATTCTACCATCGTGCCAGAACATACATTCAAGCAGATGAGATGAGAGTGAGTAACTTGGATGTATCCCCCCAGCTTCTGCTGACAGTCCGTCTAGGGAGAAGGCCAGCACTTCGCCACAATTGCACACGTACAAGCTTGGAATCTCATTGCAAACTTTGAGGGTCAGCAACTTCATTTTGCGCAAGCATCCATGAGCCTCTGCAAAGCCATCAGAATAGCACAAATGTTAGGGCTGCATCGTGTCGATGCCGAAGCCGTCGACGTGATCCCTTTACTGTCGCCGCCATCAGACTGGTCAGAGTCAGAAGAACGGCGGAGAACCTGGTGGGTGATATACTGTTCTGATCGACTCGTCTGCGGCAGCACAGGTTGGCCGGCCATCATTGACGAACAAGACGTAATGCCACCCTCGTACGCCTCCCTACAGATTTTGACTTGTTGTAGATTCTCACCCGACTTCCTGCTTCCGAAAAAGCGTACGAGACAGGCACCGAAGAGGCCACCAGTCCACTGACGAGTGTATTGCATCAAGAAGGGGAGAACTTCTCTTCTCTTGCAGGACGCGTTCTAGCAGCCTCTTTGTTCTACCAAGCTTTTCAACATTCAAACCGGGCCTCTGCAGATGAAGATGTGCAAAATACCAAGTCCAGCCTTCATTGGAAACGCCATCGTGAGATCGATAACGACCTAGCTGCTCTTCTCCACTGTCTTCCAGAGGACTTGATGCTTCCCGGGAGGATACACTGTCCAAGCGCAACATTCGTCAACATAATTATACACACCGCAGTCATCTGCCTCCACCGGGCAGCGTTATCGAGAATACGAACACTAGATCTACCACAACACATGTCCCAGCAAAGCAGCGCACGATTGGTAACGGCGGCTGAGGAGATGGTTAACATATTCCGGATGATGTCGGACATCAATCAAAAACTCAGGAACCCGATGTTGACGTTCTCGGTGTACATGGCATCACTCGTGTTTCTCGATCAACCGAAGTCGGCCGAACCGGACTACCAACGGCAAGACAACTTGGACTTCATACTTCGGCTCATGATACTCGCGGCGAAAACATCCGGTAACCTGATCACAAAATCCATGGCTATTCAGCTCGCTATGGATATGAGAAGACTCGGTCTAGACTCGGCTGCAGTAGACAAGGTTGGTGGCTTGTCTCTGAAATGTGCATCCTTATCTAATATGGAACATAGGCTTTCGAACTACCCATTGAGAGAAGCACCGTACCAATCCTGGCCAAGGGGGATTCAAACTCGTCCAACTTCCTGTTCCAGCACGACTCACAAGAACACGGGTAGCTCACAAGACGCGCCACAGTGACCAACATGGCTATTCTCTACATAGATTAATACGATAGACGTATGGAAAAGCCGAACGATGAAATTTGGCTTTCCGGATAATCAAGCACATTGCTTTGGAACATAATGATGAAAGTGTCAAGTTGTAAGAACTTTGCTCGTTCTCCAACATTACTGGTTTCACTTAGGGAGGGGGTATCGCAAAATAGCACAAAACTGTGCCGTTATATGAATGATGATTATGTGTGTAAAGAGAGATTCCACGAGACCGTTAGTGGTATCAGATATCGGTACAAGTTGGCGGAGATTACGGTGCCTCCGATTGCCTTGTCTCCCGCCCTGAGGTTACGCCTCCGTGGTGTGTTGGGAAGTGGCTCCGGCAGACTTGCTTGATTCGATTCTATTTTATGGCTTTGCTACAAAGTAAAGAAGGTTTCTATACTATGAAATCAACTTTTTGAAGGCCATTGTTACCTTGCTTTTGCCTCCTTTCGTGACCTGAGGTTTAATAAGCTCTTCTCTGGCACCTGCTCCACCATCATCTTGAGGTCGAGGTCGGCTCACGGACTCTATGTGTACGTGTGCCATCAAATGCTTGCGACCACCCTCGACTTGTCGGAGTTCCAGATCCACTCTGACTTTATGATGCTTCAGAACAATCTCGCTCCCGGCCGGCGAAGGATCAAACAAGCGTTGAAGTCTATCGAAACTCAATACTCCGCCGATTTCATCTCCCCGTTCGTGTGATCGTTGAAAGCTCGGATCTTCAGAAATGATCTCTTTAGCTTGATACCCAAATTTCAGCTGCTGCGCCGATCCGATCATGACGAGAACTTTAGGAGCTTCCTCCTCCGTGTTCGAGTATATCAGCCCTGCGGAAAGAGACTCTGCGCCCTTGGACAATCTGAATGCCAGAGGACGCTTCTTGAATGATTGAACCATTGTAAAGAGATTACCCAGAGGTTGGTAGTTCACACCAATCTCCTTGGGGTTTTGGACGAATCCTAACAGGCTGTATTTAGCCTTGAACGGTGCTCTGCGAATATGGATGATATGCTGTAAGAACACGCCATCTGCGTCCGAGATCCCGTTCAATTTCTGCCTGACGAAGATCGTCTGCTGCTCGCCCCGGGCTCGGACCTTGGTAAACTGTCCCACCCTAACCCGTGCAAATTGTTGGTCAGTGAGGAATCCTTTCTTGAGATATATGCCTAGAAAGCATGAATCTTCAAAATCTGGTGCTGGGCAGTTAAGAGCCGCGACGGTGAAACCTTTCTCGTCGTTGGAAATATGAAGGTCAATGCGCAGGCCGCGGTTGGTCATGCTGTAAGGAGGCCGAAGTGCCCAGCCTTGGTAAGACATGATGTTATTGGCGTGTGCAAATTGACGGGGCGACGTAGCCAATAGACCGTAAGATTCGTCGGCAGGCGCAGAGGGATCAACCCACGCAAAGATGGAGTGGTCGTCTGATTGCTTCATGATCTCCTCTTGAAGACGAAGAAATGCTTTGTTGCCCTCGCCATAAAGCATGGGCATGTTGACGTCAAACAGACCCATCAAGCAGTATGCCATATCTTCCGGGCGAGTAGTATTCCTGTAAGCGGCCCAAGACATCCTCTTCGCCACGCTCGCGGCCTGAAGGGACTTTGTTCCGTTGAGAATATCCTCATCTATGCCAGTGATGAGAGATAGAGGTCGGCAGAGACTCGATTTCTCCCCAATGTTGACCCCATCCTCTGAGAAGAAGATGACGTTGGCAGGTGCAAGGAGTTCCTGTAAAGTCCAACCACGAGTAAACCATCTGCATCCACCAAATTGATCATCGGCCGTGGCTGTGTCGGCATCTGAAGATACGCCTGACATGTATGCATAACAGACTTCGGACCCTTTGTACCAGTCGAACATCGAGTTGATAGCCTCGGATAGTTCTGCACTACTGCTCTTGTCGATGCAGCAGGAATCAATCCAGAGGTAATCCAGCCCGTCAGCGATGGTTCTGATACAGCTGAAGCGGATCTTGTCAAAGGAGCTTTTTGACGCTGCGGAATTGTTCCTGATGTCGGCGTAAACTACCTCATCAGAGCCCCAGGTATGCGAAAGAATGGCGTAAGGCGGAATTTGATCCGGCATAAAGTCGACAAGTTCGAGACATGACTTGTCTGAGTAGATCGTGGAGGCTTTGATCAGGCGCATTTTGGTGTACAGTGATCGCCTGTCAGCATTCTATCTGGTTGTTTCCGGAATGACAGGATTTTGAGCGACCGTTGACACATGTGCCTCGTCTCGCCCTTGGACAGGACTTTGTGCCATTTAAAAGTTGAACTGGTCTCACCTTTCCGCCACCCCCAGGTATCTCTTCAATTGGTGGTGTAGTGTCCGCCCCGATCATCGCCGTTCCTATGATATTGAGGTAACATCGCAGCTCAAAGGCACGAATGAGGGGGGCAGATTCCCAACTTATGACTTGGGCCTTGAAGCTTAGCGTAGGGAGAGTGAGACCTTGTGTAATCGAACAGGCGGCATGATGCATCATCCTGAAGACAAATCAGAGACGCAGTCACGGCAGGGATGTCTATTCCCGGTTACAGCTGACCGCCAACACCTCGTGTGGGAGACACAAGCCGCCCTGATTGTAGGGCTGTGCCGCAAGGATATCTCGCTTCGGAGCTTGAGCTCATGAGTTGGTGTTGGCCAAGACGACCTAGCGCCGAACAGGCTGGTCTCATTCGCCATAATGTTACGGTTCTGCCTGGATTGCGGGTTCAGCTTTTGCTGTGCCACGTTGGTGTAAAATTTCAGCTCAGGGAACACGATCCCATACATAAAAGACGAGCCAACACATTCACAAGGTGTTTCTTAGAGGAGCATCGACAATTTTGACTCATAAACTGGCGAGTACTTATTGTCAACGAACCCGTCACTAGCTCGCATTCGAGTACAGTAGCAATTACAATCATCTTTCGAGATACCATACACAAAACACCATGGCCCAACCGCAACCAGTCTCCGTGGTGGATACCCCCGATGCCGCCATTCAGCAGCCGTCGCCGGCGCATGACCGCGACCCGATTCTCGCCGCACAGAACTCCGGTCCGGCGCCTATCACCGAATTGCCAACAAATTTGAACAACTCTGGGTAAGAACATGCTCGAACAGTGCCTTAGCCAATTACATCCCCAACTCATACCGCGATAGGCCCACCACAGCAACATCTCACCCAGTGAACGAGAAGGGCGGTGATCCGAACATGATGGCACCCCCAATGATCCAAGGCGTCACACCCTTACATATGCTGGGAGACTCGCCGCAATGGATCGATTGTCCCTTTTGCATGAAGCGAACGTTGACGACAATCAACACTGAGGGTACCGGCATGCAAATGTGAGTTATCCGCAGCCAGATCCACATTGTTCATGTGCTGACAGAAAACCCAAGGGTTGCTGGTGCGTTGTGCTGCCTTTTCTGCATTTGCCTTACTTGCGTACCATGCATTGCAGGTTGGTGTGAGGACACTCACTTCTCTTGCTCCAACTGCCACAAGAGGGTCGCAACGCGGCCATACGACGGTCCCATCCAAGTTTACGGCCCTCAAGGCCCAATGTACCCAGTAGTGCCGTCTCAGTATGAGCCCACAGCACCACCAGTTCCTGAGCAACAAAGCCCTCCGATGTACAAGTAACTCGGAATGAAGTTCGAGGAGATTGAAAGATAATATGTATCATCTTGTGTTCAGGGCGTTTGGTCCAGGGCAGGCGTTGAGAGCAGGTTCTTCTTAGATATCCCTCAAAGCCACAGCGTTTAGTGTTTATTTGTAGTTCGTTGTTACGATGTGGGCGCACTAGTTACATGGATATCAGTGACTATTAATGATAATGTTCTCCAATTCAGACGATAAAGTTGTCTTGAGTCTGGGAAATCATCGTCGGGTTAATTTGGGAAATTGATAGGCTCTGGCATTGGTCGAGACTGTCATACACCTCAGAGCAATCATGGACGATACATTCGACCCTTTGTTTAGATAACACTCGCGTATTAACACGCAGTTTCAAGTTTTGAAGAGTTGCTGTCTCCAACTGGAAACAAAAAAAGCCTTTTTTGAGGGTTAAGCTTCGCGTCGCCGGGGAAGACGATCTCAGCATGATGATCGCGCGAACTACCTCGGAAAGGGAATATTTTATTTACAGAATTAATTCAGATCCGTTCCTACCCTTTACCTTTTATCGCCGACGTCGTTTGATGGATGTTGTAGATTTATTCAGGATCAATCTAGGTGTCTCTATATTTGCACTTTCCGTGGACGGTGGCTCAAGAAAGCAAGTCCCCTCTCAAAGCGTTGAACAGCCATCCGAGTAGGCTTCTACGGAAGAATCATCGCAGCGAGAAACGTGCTTGCGATATCCTCCCATCACAAAGCAAATCCAATTAATAAGCTTCTCTATTCAACATCTCCTGAGAACTACAGCATAGGGCGCCACAGCTACTAGATATCTCACCTCACGCCCTTCCCTCTGTTACCTCTCTTACCTTCCTTCCCCGTCCTTCGATTATTCATGTCATATTAGCCTGGTACTGAGAGATATCGAATTTTGACATTCATAGATCTTTCAGTTCCCCGAGTACTTGCTTCATTCACAGTGTTACTGATCTACTATGAAAGTCTTAAGGCAAATGTTTAAATATCTTGAAGTTTATGTTAACTGGAAGAAACACAATCAAATTTCATATTCAAGTTAAAGAGACAAGCCGAATGATTAAACGTACTTCCTTTCGCAAACTGTTTCCGGCTTTCTTCACAGCCTTAAGAGCTCAACATACATGCCCATAGTCTGACCTCAAGTACCTAGATTATCGTAAACAAGCAGCTTTCTTTGTCATCTTTCCTGCGGAAAAGATGGTCTTCGGAAAACTCTGAACATTCATAAAGTAGTGCAGGCGTGTCCCATCTTTACCTTCCAGCCACGTCAAGTTCAATTCGAAAGCCCTTCAGAGCAAGGTGTGCCACACATTCACCACGAAAAGGGACTTTAGATGCTGTTTAAAACGTTGAAACATCAAACTTTAGTGTACGACGTATGGGTGGAAGAAGAGTGAACCCAGTCTCGTTTTGGACTTTCAAACAACAAGAAGACAGCTCATTATGAGGACATAAGCATACCAGATGCCCACACAGACGGCTTCGTATAATCTTGAGAACGTAGACATACAAAAAACCTACAATACCAATATTTCGTGGATTCCCAAGCCGCGCAGCATTGAAACCGCCGAAAACAAACAAGAAATCCCAGCTCATGGATCTCTTGCATAGCAAAGACACCAAATACCCACGAGCCCGTACCTCAGCTTCGCCACAGACTTCACCACCGCTCACCATTTTTACCACCATCCCCGAATTATCTCTGATCTATTGGATCACGCCGAAGTTCCAACGCCATCTTTCTCTATAGTTCGGATCTCAATGTACGCCGTCCAGTCCTTCGAATTCTCATTATCAAAACAACCTTACCCAGTCACCTGACACCATGTTCCCACTGCTGTCGGTCACAGTTCGCTCGCTCCGCTGTACCGGAGGGAGGCCATGAGTCCATGAGCGCGTTATAAAACTACGGTCATACGTCCAATTTTTCATTACGCAGACCCATAATGGTCGAAACCGTTCTCGTCAACTTTCGGCGTGCACTTGTCTGCAAAGCCAAGCTTCTCAGGCGGATGAATCTCCAACGTCAATTAATACATCCTGAATCAACTTAACAAGAGTGCCATTTACTATCTTTCCCTGGTCATCTCTATCCCCATCCCTGATTTATTACTCGAATATTGTATTTCTTGTACGGTACGTACCCGGTGTTCGTCCCAGTCCAGCGAGATCCAGACAACATGACGCCAGACTGAAGGTACCAAGTCATCGAGTATCCTCGGGACTTGAAAGATATCTCGGCCGTCAAAGAGAACCTAGACGCACTCTGGCAGATAAACTTTGGAGCCTACGTATTTTTTAATTTATGTAACATTCTCGTACCTCATGATAGCTTCATCGTGCGCATATCACTTCATCCTAATACCCTCGGCCAGCACATCACATTGAGAACAAACCACTAGAAAAAGCTCCAGCTGCGTCAACGGCCCAATTTCCTTTTGTTTCATCAGCAGAATAGAGTCTTCGGCGAATTAGTCTGAGCTACTAGACTGTTCTCAACCTCCACACCCCCTCCATCTAAAACATCTAGCTGGCAGAACGCACTCTGAACTACACAAATCCCTCCTCAACATGAGCGTCTCTGACGTCCCTCGTCTCTCATCTATTCTTGCATCATAACTTCCAGACACCCCTTACGACACTTACGACTACAAGAGGCGAGACTTGAGAACAAAGGGGCGGAATATCGTGGTGATGATGGTACCTGCCCCTCGTGGAAGAATTTGGCACGTCTTGAACTTCATCGGATATATTCCATTGTGCGGGAGAATCAAAAGCACTGAACATCAACAGTCGTCGATTTATAAGCATGAGATTTGAATCAACCCATCATTCTTTGGACGGCGCAACCCCCAATCCCCTACGACCCGTAAAGCGAGGGCTCGCCCATTGGTAAAGCATTTAACCCCCCGTGCCAGTACAACAACGTGGGCTACAAACCAACCTATGATGGACCGTCTTCTAGAGACTGGATCAGCTCAATGACCGCCATCGCATACTTGATTCCCAATGATGTCGAACAATGCATGGACGCAGCATATGTATCATGTATACCTCTACCATGCTTCTCGCCACGGACAGACTCACCACCCATCATCTCCGTCTCCATCCCTCGCCTATTCACCTGTTTCTAGGCCATACTTCCTAGGCACATTTCGCAGTGCCCAGGACTAAGCGAGACTAGACAACAGTCATAGAAGTCAGAACACTGCCATGTCGGCAATGATCTGAAGAACCATGACAATGGAATGAAGGAAACAGCGACAATGAGACATGTTGCTCTTGGCCCCCGCATGCTCAAAGCTGCAACGGAATTCACAGGGGGTAATTTATACTCATCATCCAACCATGCAGTAGCAATCTACTCTAGGAAAATAAACAACCTCAACACCCACATCCGCAACAAATTCCGATATTTATACACACAGTATCAGACGTTTTCACAGCAGGGGCCAGGACAGCAATTAAACAAGCACATGGCTGTCAGGGTTTGCTATTCCACCCTGAAGCTCGACTGCCAGAGCGATTGTGCAGACACATCTATTCCCATATACCTTGACTGCGAGATTTTCAAACGGACTGCTTCATCTAATCCATCCATCATCTCCATCTTTACTCCTTAAGTATTCCCACAGTATCACCCCCAGACTTCTTCGGTTCCGTTGACGTTCATCAGACCAGAAACATCGATTCGCTCCCGTGGCCATCCTCAGAATCAGGGCGCCAGTGCTTCGCTGTCGAAGGGCCATAATCGAACTGCCCATAGCGAAAGTCTGTGGGAGACTGCAAATGGCCGGCTTATTTCACTTGGTTGTTTGAAAATTTGAAAATGGCCTTGGGGTCAGCTTAAATATAACCCTGAGCCGCACCTTCCGCGAGTCGCAGCCGTAAATCTCGGCGCAAGTTCAACACGCTGCCTCCAGGCGGCAGGCGCGACGAAACACCAACAGCTTTTGGCATATTTAACGCGAATAGAACACTAGGGAAGAGACAGAATATGCAACCGATGTTAGTTCTCCAGACTGTCTTTTCAACTTCTTGTGTAAGACCAGCACGCAGACGCTGCATCAATATTAAGACCAGCCAACATCCCCTAACCGCTTCGTCGATTCTACCCACGTCTCGACCGGACATTATCCTCGCTCCCCATCTCTGTTCCTGACTTATTACTACCCTAACACTCGGGTACCACAAAGCCCCCGGGCCCCGTGATCATCTAAGTCCTGGTCTACAATGTCACCCATCTAACGCAGCAAACAGACGTCGACGTGCCCCGCCCCGTGGCATCTTCGTCAGCAATCAATCTACATGCTTCAGGGCTGTCACAGTCCAAATCCAACGCCATTATCTTGTCCTGTTAAATATCCTCTCGAACTGAGATTTACCTGATTGAACCAGCGGGTTGAGCTTGTGCGTCCGAAGGCAGCCTTGACGTCAGCTTAAATATCCTCGAGAACCGGACCTCTCGACTTGTTTTCTTTCTTTCACACATGGAGTGGCTGTAAATGTTGCTAATGCAAGCGTCCCCGATATCAAAAAGACTAAGTAAAGCGTCAAGACATCACAGAACCAATTCCTAAGAGTCTTTCCTCGCCTCTCAACCACACTTCCTCCTGACTACCCGTCTCCGTTATTCACCTATTCCTCATGTATCACCCCAAGCCTGTCTCATAGCGCATCCAAGTCCCGGTCTATAACAACATCCATTTAAGAAGCATTCTCAGGTTCTCCCATCGCCAGACTTATAAAAACAGCAACTCGCCTGATCATTCGGCCCCAACATTCAGCCAGATGAGCTTCTCGTCAGAAGAAAATTTCCTCTGGTTCTCAGAGATTTAATCGGAACCTCCGCATCCACACATGCTCAAGCTACGTCTAGACCGGAAGAACACACGAAGCTCCTACACAGAACTGCTCCTTGCTCCCCGTCTCTATCCCTGACCTATTCCAACTCATCACGCCCAATTCTTCTCACAGCATATCCGAGTTCCTGTCCACGATGACTTCCATCTAAAGATCACCCTCCGTCGCTGCTATCACCACCCCTATAAAAACATCATCTCGCCTCATCATCAAGTCAGATCGCCACCAGAAAGTCTCTCCGCTTCAGACTCAACAGCACATGCCCAAGCCAAGTCTAGGCTAAAAATCACACAAGACTACCATCCTTTTCCAAGAGCTAAATCATCTACCCTGACCAACCCACGTCCTCGCTCCCCATCTCCATCCCCAACCTATTCCCAACTTATTCCAACCAATCAACCCCTTCTCTTAACTCAAGTCTCGGTCCCCGACCATTCTCTGGACAGATCTGCTGGAAGAACCCGTGAACACAGCCCGACTCTGCGAATCTGATGCTTCTGAGACATCGGAAATGCCAAATTGCCTACCCTCTCCAAAGAGTACGACAACAGAGGATATATATACCTACCCTCCACCTCCTCAACCCTGCTCGACGAGTCTACCCACATATCTTCACACCTAAATCACATCCTCACTCTCCCTCATCTCCCTCTGCGTATTCCAACCCAATCATCCCCAAACACTTTCCAACAAGACCAATCCGGCCTACGATGGCCACGACGGCAAGTAAGCTCATATAATGAGGCCCGAGGCAGTCTACGCCGCGATACCATCGGGAAGGAGTACATGATGTCTGCCTCAGGAAAAGAAGACAACAGCGGCAGATATATATACCCATAATGTCTCAACCAATCCCTCCTCTCTGCATGACGACTTCCCACGTCTCCAGGCCACTTCACCACGTCCTCGCCACACATCCCCGTCCCCGACCTATTCCAATTAGATCACCCTCAAACCTCCTCCCAGAGCTTCAAGTCCCAGTAAAGGGGCCACCCCTGAGCAACGTTCAGCACATCTGACCTGCCTGACATGGACAACAAAAGTCTCAAAGATCCTGACCTCAACAAAATCCGAATCTTCGTTCTTCTCTCATTCATCTTGTCAGTCCTCTCCAGAGTACAGAGACGCATCACGTATTTATACCCACGAACCGAGCCTCAAACCTCCACTCATTACCACAATGTCATCACTCCCCAAAAGCAACCATCAATCATCACCGTCACTATCACCTCACCAGTAATACAATCTTCGTCGGCGAAACTCTCCATGTCTTGCGTTATCTAGGTAGTACACAACGGGAGCCGCACTCCCGTCCACACATACACATCCATCACCCTCTTCCTCCCTCTCCACCGCTTGCGCATCAGCACGCACGCATGCCCGTATCACAAATCAGAAAATAAAAGTCTATCGTCACCACCACGAATCGTTTGCTGAAGACCCCAGCGCCGCCCCCTGATTAAGGAAACCCGACCTGGCGCTCGTTTGCTCCCGCCATTCCACTTTGTTGAAACTCTACAGGTACGGGCGGGGGGAAGTAGAATGTGGCCGGCCAACGGCAAAAAGAGTTGATAAGACAAGGCAACGCGAGCTAAGAGAATACAATGTTTGTTTACATTCCCTCGAAGTCGCCGCCGAGGTCGTCCTCGTCCAAGTCTCCCTCCTGTATCTCCTTGGCCATCTCGCGTTCGCGCTCGCGGGCTTCTTGGGCGTTCTTCAGCTCGAGGCGGTGCTGGTTCATGGGGAATCGCATGGCCTGGGAGGAAGTGGGTTAGCTAGACGTCAGAAACAAGTGGACATTTGCTGAGGGCTTACCTTGACGCTCTCGTCGTGAAGAGCTAAGCAAGCGCGAATTCTGTCGTGGAAGGCTTCACCAGGCTCCCGCGTAGCATAGACATCGCCGACTTCCTTGCTCTTCATGTAGCCGTGCTCGCGGTCCAGGGTGGCCTCAATGACGCCGTCGCGGATGGCCTTGGCGACGATGTACTCCGCAGATTCCTCACTACCCAGGTCGAGACGAATGCAGATGTCGCGGAGGGAGATGCGGGAGTACGACAGAGACATCATGCGGATACCGGTCTTGATGACGTTCTGGCGGAGGCGGAGGATCAGGCTGTAGGTGCCGTCACGGCGGAAGGTATCGGCGTGGTCGGCAATAATCGTCTCGAAGTTCTGCACCTTACCAACGCGCACAGCCTGGACGAGGAGGAAGTACGGGTGAAGGGCCAGCTCGAGGGTAGGCTGGCGGAAGGTGGAGCGCTCGGGGATGTCACCCATCAACAGCTCCACAACGAGCAGAAGCTTGGTCGCGGTCTGGGAGAAGCCCACGGCGGCAGCACTTGAGGGGGCCTTGCGGGTCGCGGCCGTCAGGTGCTCGTGTGCCTCAGTATATCTGAGCTGGATGGCGCGGATGCGTCCGAGGTAGTACAGGAAGCGGGCAACCTGGTTGTTGGCAGCGTTCTCGGGGAACTGAGTGTGGGAAACAAGCAGGTCGGCTTGCGCGATGTGAGACGTCAGCAGGTAGCTGCGAAGCAGCAGCACGATAACCGAAGCTTGCGTGTCAATGTCCTTTCGGAGCACCGCGGTACGCAGAGCCGCCAGGAGCGTCGGCCGGATGGCGACGACCGGGGACTGGGGAGACGAGGGTTGAGGAGCGAGGTTCTCGCAGAACATGGAGTAGTAGAAGTAGACCTTGGCGGAGAGGGAGTCTAATGTGCGGCGGTTCAGGGTGTGGATGCGGTCGGTGAGCTGCTTGGAGAATTCGGCTCCGCGCTGGTACTGCTTCGAGTCGAACAGGTGAACTTGGACGAGGATGCCGAGGAAGATGTCAATCTCCGGGATGATCTCCTTCGCCTCCTTCTTCTGGCCGTTCTTCGCGGCCTTGGCGGGCTCGCTGTCGACCTCCATCTCAGCACCGCTAGAGCGGCCCAGCGGGACGTTTTCGCGGCCGATAGCAATGAGAAGCTGCTTGGCAACGTTGCCAGAGGTGACGGTCGCGGGGAAGGTCTCGACGATGGCCTGGGCGAGGATGTCGGGCGTCAGACGCTTGCGAATGGTCGAGATTGACCGCAGGGCTCGGAGGGAGAATCTGGCATCGAAGAGGGCAACGGCGCGATCTAGCAGAGCGAAATTGCTCTTGATGTCTGTCGTAGAGAATAACGTCAGTATGAACCATCCAATGGACACGTTCCTGGATATCAATCATTGCGTACCTGACACAGCCTGCACCGCGGGGTCGACCTTGACCTCTGCGTCATCCTGGTTCTCGTCACCCATCTCGACGTCACCATCGGCATCACCGGCCGGGGGAGCGGCCTTCTTCGAAGGAGGAACGACGACAGTCATCTCTTCGTCGCCGTCCTTTGCCGTCTTCTTCTTGTTCTTGGCCTCGTCTTTGCGGACGCCGTTCTCGAGGGGCTCCTTCCCGTTGCGCGAGGGTGTTTTACCCGGCATGTCTGTTCAGCGGGCTAGCTGTAGATGTGTTGAGGAGGCACTCCGGTTGCCGTCTGGGATGGCAACGGTCGGGATCGGTCGAGATATCGCGCCCGGAGAGGAGGGAGCTAGGTGGGTTGTTTTGCGTGAGATAGACGGGGTCGTGAGGTGTCTGGTATCGAGAAGACGGGGGAAAAGTCAGGTGACACAGGTCGAGGGAGTAGTGTGCACGCTGCTGGATGTCGGAGCTCTCGCGGAGTCGGCGTTCGCTGATGGGAATGGGTGGTTGTTGTTTGGCTGTTTGCCTCGCGATGCAAGAAGGTTCGATGGAGGAGAGCTCAAAGATTGAATACCTGAGGCTCAGGTTGCTGCACTCAGGCCCTTGGGGGACGACACAGGCTAGCCCGCCTGGGAGAGGTCACGGTACTTCGTTGAGGTGGGCAGGGTACATAGAGGACACGATGATTCGGTGCAAATATTGGCGGGGAGAGATGTATAGTCTTTGTACCTTAGCTAAGCGAGCGAGATTGCCGGGTCTGCTGGGAGCGTGGTCCATCCCCAAAACTGAAGGGGCACACGGGCCGCAGGCGCGAGTGACGTTGTCGATGCTGCCTGCCACATTGCCCATTTGCTTGTGCAGCTCTCAGCCGAATTATGTAATTATTCACGAATCCCACCTTCACAAATCACCTCCCACACGGTATTACTAAGCATACGATGGTGGTTTTAAGGTACAACCACGAAATCATGTTACCTTCTCATTTTAGGCCTAAGAAACCAAACTTCAATAAGTGCATAGAACAGCATGAAAACACAAGGATCATCGCAAGTTGAATTCAATCTCATTCCGCTCAACCAGCAATGCGAGCTCAACTGCCTTCATCCAAAGATGAGAGAAATGCGGCGCGCCACCTGCATGTCTGCTTGCGATATCCGGCCGAATCCGGACTCTTGCTCTCCCTTGCTGCCGCCTGGCACCAAGTGCACGATGTCTGGTCTGATTTCAGCTGACTCAGCATACGACGTCCTCGATCATCACCAAACTCGGGTGTCACTGTGGGAGGAAATGCTATTTAAATCTCCAGTTGTCAATTTTGGGTATACTCTACAATTAAGGAAAGAGCGGTCTCGATGATGAGCGCGACGTTTAAATGCCGCCAAAAGACCACCTTGGTTACCGAAACGCCTCATCATGCCCTCTTATCCGTTCCGTAAAACCAAGCGAATTCCAGGTTACCCTCCCCCAACACGTGCACACTACGCCTTCTTCCAGTTGATCTCGATCTGGTCCGGGTAATGCTGGTTATCCGAACTGTTCTCGTTCCACTCCTCGGGTGTAGGGTACTGAATCATAGCTGGTCCTTTAGCCGGCGAGTTCGCTCCAGAGGAGCCAAAGCCCGAGCCGAAGCCTTGAAGAGAACCAGACGCGGTCTGACGGCTCTTGGCGGGTGTAGAAGTCCGAGAAGAACCCTTGGCCGTAGCGGCAGCTTTTGAAGAACCCTTGACCGGCGTAGAAGTCACGGAGGAACCCTTGGCCGGAGCAGCCTTTGAAGAACCCTTGACCGGAGTGACCGACTGCGAAAAGCCTGGGACGGGGGTGGTAGCCCGAGAAGCACCGCCATCACTATTGCCACTCTCCTCGCCCTCGAAAAACCGAACACTCTTGGCCACGCCACGCTTCACCGAAGCACGCTTCTTCTTGGGCGCCGGTGCCTGCTGCGGTAACTCGTCGGGGTCGTCCTACTCGCCCTTGCCGGAAGTAACCTTGGCGGCTTGAATAGCGCTCATCTTGGTGATCCAGGCGGTTGAGGGCTGGATCTTGCGCACGGTACGCAGCTCGTCAGACGAGTAACCCGGGACGCGAATGTTGTAGGTGCGCTCGAGGACCAGCTGGATGTCGCGGATCTCGAGGACCTTGGATCCGCGCTCCTTGGCGTTGCGGCAAGCGGTCTCGAGGACGTTGTCCACGAAACTGTCGGCCATGGTCAAGACGCTCTGTTCTGATGTTAGCATCGTAGGTTCCCATGAAACTGAGAAGGAACTAACCTCTTCGACCTCGGGGGTCAGCATGTTGGGGTCCTGACCCTCGCCGCTTCCACCACAGACCTGACGGACAAGCTCGTCCAACTTCTTCTTGCTGAGCACGTGATCGCCTTCGGCCTCATGGACGTACGCGGGGATCTTAGTCATCGCGGGCTGGCCCATAACACCTCCAGCAACGCCGCCACCGCCAGTGTAGGTAGGGCGACCGGCTCCAGCACCACCAGTCATCGCGACAGGCGTAGGCACGGCGGTCGCCTTCTCGGGAAGCTGCTTTGGAATGGGAAGCTTGGAGACCAGGGTCTGCGTGGGCTGGGTAGGATGCGACGGTTGCTGAGGGATAGCTCCGGATCCCATCACTCCCTGAGCGCCGGCAGATCCAGGAGTGCTAGTAGGTTGCTGCTGTTGAAGGGGAATGGAGGTTTGGGAGTTCATGCGCTGGTTTGCGCGAGAGACGGCGGCGGAGTGAGAAAGCGCCTGGCCAGGTCCGCCTGCGACAGCTGACTGGGGAGTCGCGACGCGGTTCTGGGTCGGGGTGCCTGCCGAAGGAAGTCCGCCGGCGGCAGAGACGGAGGCGATTGCGGTGTTGACAGGAGGCGGGTGCTGCTGCTGCTGCGCCTGCTGCGCCTGCTGTTGCTGTTGCTGTTGTTGCTGGGCAGCCATCGCTTGCTGATGCTGTTGCTGTTGTTGCATCTGCTGCTGCTGTTGCTGCTGCATTTGTTGTTGCTGTTGCTGCTGTTGCTGCTGCTGCAACTGCTGTTGGTGTTGTTGCTGCGCCTGTTGCTGCTGCTGTTGTTGTTGCTGCGGCGGCGGAGGTGCGACTGCCTGTTGAGGTTGGGCAGGTTGAGAAGTTGTCGGAGTCGGGGCCGAAGGGGTGGGTGCCTGAACCTGAGCCTGAGTTTGAGTTTGTTGTTGCGCTGCTTGCTGCTGCTGCTGCTGCTGCTGTTGCTGTTGTGCTTGCGCCTGCGCCTGTTGCTGGGCCTGGTGTGCCTGTTGCGCCTGCTGGTTCGGAGGAGTATTACGCGCAGCCTGATTTTTCGCAGCCTCGAGAGCCGCATTCACCGCGGTCGCGTTCTGATTCTGCATCACAGGAGTGCCGGCTGCAGCAGGCACCGGGCTAGGCTGGGCGCCAGCCTGAGTAGCCGGATTCTGAGCTGCTGCAACGGCTGGGCTGGGCTGCTGCTGTTGCTGCTGAGGCTGCTGAGGTCGAGCACCGGTGGCCTGTCCGGCGGCGGCACGCTGCTTGTTGATGGTTTCCTGGCTCTTGCGGAAGTTGTCCACAAACTTGTGCGCCTCCTGGTACATCTTGTTTGCGTGCTCGCGTCGGATCTGTAGCTGCTTAATCTCGTCGGGGGTGTACGGGTTGCCCTTCTCCTGTCTGTCCCTGATGACCTGATCGATACGCTTCATCTGGGTTCCCTGCTGGTCCATCTGCATCAACGCTCGAAGGTACTTAGCCTTGAAGTCGTTTGACCAGCGGGCCGCAGCTTCGGTTCCCTTATCGATGACAGACATGGGCGGATGGAAGGTCATTGAGCGAATGTGTACCAAAATGTGCTCCGGGAACTGGCTCGTCTGTGGTGTCTGCTGGGTCGTGGCGGGAGTTGGCGCGGTGGCGGCTGGAGCTGGGGCCGAGGCGGGGGTGGGAGCCTGCGCGGGCTCTGCTGTCGTCGCCGGTGTGCTTTCGGTTTTGGGTTCGGTCTTGACGGTGACTCCGCCAGCATTCTGGTTCGCGGCTTGCTGCTGCGCCTGCTGTTGAGGCAACTGAGATTGTTGCTGCTGGGGAGTAGAAGCCTGCGCGGGCTGGCTCTGCTGCTGCTGCTGCTGCGTCTGCTGACCAGCCTGCTGCTGCTGGGCTTGCTGCTGTTGCTGGACTTGGAACCTCCGCTGCTGCAACTTGTTAAGAAGCATCTTCGTGAAGTCCTGAATCTTCTTTTTCGCGTCCTGGTGCTGGGCTGACTCCTCAGGATGCGTCTCAAAGTGGTTCCAAAGCTGACGGAGGCCGCGCTCATATTTGGCTTTCTCTTCGTCGTTCAGAATCGGCAAGTTACGCATCATTTCGGGTCGATACATGGGCGACGCTCGATTCGCAGCCGGAGCGGCTTGACCGGCCGCGGGGCCAGGCTGGCCAGGCTGGCCCTGATTGTTCATCGTCGCGGGATTCGAGAGGGGATCGCGAAGGTTCGGTTCGGTTCGGTTCGTGGTCTCGCGAGGTGTTGTTAGAAGAAAACAAAGACTACAGATTCGAACAGCGAATCGAAATTTTACGCCTTTACGAGATTCTACGCGTAACAAGGGAGATAGATTTGACCGTGAGGTGATTAATATGACGGTAGAAAAGATGGCTGGTGTAGAAACAGGTGCGGTTGATGTTGCGACGAGACAAGATGCACGCGAGTACCTAGCTGGAAAGTTCCGTGTGGAGATGGCGGACCCCCAATGATTGGCCAGCTGGCGCGCTCCTCCAGGTAAGCACTTTAAGCTTTGGCTCCCAGTTGGCAACCACTGAAAAGCTTGATCAACCTGGATATCTATCTATAATTCGAAATTGAAGTCCTACTTCTCCTGGCATAAGGTATCTAACATATGAACAACCACTGAAAATTGACTCTGGTTGGTGAAGAACTACGTCGGCCGTTGCTGACTGCAATGCGGACTACCATAGATCATCACCGCCCATCCTTTAGGAAAACCACGGACGTCCTCGACCTTTAGAAAGGGCATCTAATCTCCCTACCGCAGTGTCTCCAGGACAATGACGATAGTGACGATGAGAGTAATACTAGTAACGATTTCTGCGTGCGGATTTGCCCCGTGGGTACAACTTGGCGTATCTCGATCCACGGCACCGTGTTTTTCTCTATTCACGACATCACGCATGTTTTGCGGAGCATACCTGGAATGGGGATACTCGTGGTGCTGGTCGTTTGGTCTTTGGTTTCGTGGGGTGATCGAAGCAGCTCGTCCTCTCGCATAGATTGCACCGTCATGATGGCAGACTTGTTGAAGAGCCTCAAACCATCTTCGTCCTTCCAAAATAAGAAATCTTCTGGAACGAAACAAGCCCCGGCCCAACAACAACCAACAACACCTCAGAGATGGCTTCCTGCCGGTCCTCCTGCGTGAAGAGGCCCGCCGGTCCTGCAGCCGAATGGAGCCCCCGTTTGTTTCCACCCATCCTGGCGCGAACTCGCCATGCGCCATTACACAAACTTGAAGATGGCCGCATGAGGCCGGTGCAGGGGCAGATAGACGGGGGCATGCCCTAAGGCGGGACGGAAGCTCAAGGAAGACGATGGCATCGTGGGTGAGGTTTTTGTCGCCGTGAATCAGTCGTCGAGATGCCGGGGGAGGACGGACAGGCGGCGACTTCTATGGCGGCCCAACGCAGGGACGGCCCGAGATCAGCGCTCGTCGTTACCGGTTTCTTTGCCGTGAGCCTGAACCCAGCAGAGACTGGTGGATGATATCGTTCACCAGGCTTGGGTTGGGTAAGGGATCTTCTCACTCAGCAAGGAACGGGAAAAAGGCTAAGAAGAGGGGCCGTCAGCGTCGGGTTACAGGGGTCAATGTCAATTAGTCCTCATCTTCATCCTAGCCATCCTGAGTGAGACGAGGAAGACCGTTTTAGATGGATGTAACCGCCTCTTCGAAGCACCCCCGGCGTCGTGATTTTTCCAACCTGCCACAAAGATGGATGTCTGACTTGGCTCCAATGATCGGGAGACGAAATGGACAGACGGGAAGCTCAAAGAACGTGGCGTGGTGAAATGCCGTCGGCTCGAGTTACACGACGTCGACGTCGACGTCGAGGCCCGATGCGATGCGAAGGGAAGGCCTTGTCTTTACCAGGAAGGAAGGAGCAGTGAAGTCGAAGGCGCCTTCTAGAATCAGCAGAAACATTGAGCGTGCTCCCGTTCTTCCAGTCAATTGCCAACCAGTGTCCTTTTCTGACCGCCTTCTTCCTCTCTCCACAAATCCCACCTCGTCTTTGAAGTTTTTTTCTCTCTCGGTGCAGTCTGGCTGCTGCAAGTTTCCTGCATGACGACCGAAAACCTGCAGGGCCTCTGCCTTTTCGCCTCCATCTCGAACCCTCGTTCATTGGGCATGAGTGCTGCTACCCAGCCTGCCCTTTTTTCCTTCTCTGCAATCTAATTATTTCTCCCAGGTTTTCTCCTGCCCCCAGGCGGTACGATGTCCAGTGCATTGCGGATGGCTAAATTCACGGATGCCTCCAGCCAGTATCCCGCTGCGGTCTCCAACTAGAAGCATATAGCCTGGCCTCATGGAGGGAATTCGCTCAACCAGTATTCGACAAACACGGAATGGCTGCCAAGAACACGAATCATGGACGTCAACGTTGGAACACGGCTTCTCGTTACTTGTTACTGCTTTCCACGACATGACGGGCACTCCTACCGAGAACACGCACTAGCAGTAGCTGCTTTCTCATGCCGCCAATTGTCTTGATGCCGGCCGTTGATGTATGGCGTCGATAGGACCAGAGACGAACAACGGGAAGCCCCGGACGGCTCGACAGCTCAAATAATGATTCTCGGCCTGGAAAAAAACCATTCACGGCAGAAAAGAAAGAAGAAAGCAACGAAAAAACGGTGCGAATGGTTCGCCGATCCAGCGGCGCCGTCAATCCCAACGCTCCCCTCCTCCACACAACTCACCCCTCCAGTTGGTGTGCTACCCCTCCCTCCACTTCGCTCCCGGTCTTCGCTCGCCGTCAATCCATCACTCTCACGACTCGTCAATTGGACGTCCTCCCGCAGCTCGTCTCTCCCCGATCCAGCTCAGTCCAGCCGAGCAGCCAGTCAACCCGCCATCAGTACAAGCCCAGCAAGCCCGCCCGCCCGCCGCTGCGGCATGCGCAAATGCGTGACCGCACACCACCTTCCCGATTACACACATGTCAGTTTTCTACGAAGTACTCAATTGCGGGAAGCACACCCGTGGGCTCGACGGCTACGGCTACGGCTAGACCGGGGTGAGTCCTGGAGCATTGCTGCCCAAAGGCACGAACTGGCGTTACGGCGCCCCGCGAGAATGCGCAAGAGAGCGGATCACCACGCCCACGTCCAACCCCAACCCGCCGACTACGCACACATCGACGTCTGCCAGACAAGTTTTTTTCTGCCGTTCTTTTGCTTCTGATAGGAAGACTCGCGAAGAGGATGAGAGGGCCTTTTCAAGCTGCGGCAAGTACGTACAGTACACCGGCCAGACGGGAACACCAGAGGTGCCAGCAGACCCAGCAGCACAAGCACCGGCATCAGACTCCTTGAGACCAACAATGAGAGGCTCGTCTGCCCACGCCTGGCTGCTGGGTACCCTTTGCTGCATGCCATGCCATGGGTATGGCAAAGCTGCAGCGAGCGCACATGTGCGATGATTCTTTTTTAATTCTTAATTATCTTCTATCCCACCCGCTCTTGGGAAATCTTTCCCTCTTTTTCTCTTTCTTCTTCTTTCTGTCGTTGACGTGTGTCTACCTCCGCTTAGACCATCATCATCAACAACTGCTATCCTCGCGATCCCCTGTCTCTCACGACAGACAGCATAAAGGGGCAGTCCGTGACAATCTCACGGATTATATCAGCCATACCTATAAGACCGGACTTTCTGGCAGCGCCATCGGCATCAACCTATCACGGAGCAGTCACCACCCCTCTCCGAGTCGAATCCAGCCAGATCAGAGACAAAACGCCGCCGTGAGACTCGTTCTGGTGTCCCGATAACTCGGACGTCCAACTCCACCAAATCCAAAACCAGGATCCAGGAATCAAATATCCATCGACTGTCCGTCTCCAGGTCCTCATTCCACTTGAAACGCCAGCTCATCGTTGACCAGCAGATCCGGGACCCAGAATCCAGAATCAACATCCCTCCGACATACGGCATTTCGTTGTTTCTATCTTATTCCTCTCCCTTTCCGTGCCGTCTCTTGCGGTGTTCATCCCACGCTCCGGGATAACAGCTCACCTTCGACAAATTCCTGAGCCTCCTTTTACTACGGTCCCCCACGCTCATCTCCGCCCGTTGCATCCATCTCAGGCCAGCGCCGAAGATCGCCTTGTTGACCATTGCTTTTGCTCGCATGCGCATGCAAATTGCATAGAATCGCTGCTCTCGCGTCAGCCATTCGGTGCTGCTGCTGCTGCTGCTGCTGCTCTACTGCAACCCCCCTCGACAAGGACCATCCCTTGTCGCCCAGGACAAAGCCCGTCCTATCGTCACCGCCCGCCCGATTTTCGTCGTCCCCACACCCGGGATCCCGCACCTTGTCCCCCCGAAACATTCTCCTCTTGTTTCTCTGCCACTGTCTCTTGTTCGGGTCGGTGACACCAGCAGCAAGGGCCGAGACGTGGAGCTGGGATTCGAGAGAGAAAGCCGTCCGGCGTCATTTAGCTCGTCCGCAATTGGCACTCTCCATTCATTCCTCGAAAGGATATTCCAGGCGCAACAACCCGGACTACCAGAGCACCCTGCTCCGTCTTCCTACTTTCCCCCCGAGATCTATCATGACAACTCTCAACCACAGCCGAATATCCTCTTCTCCTTGTTGGAGGTTTTTCCTCTGGTTGTTGACGCCTTGACTTGCCACAACTCTGCTTACATTACCCAACTTGCTCACCGCACATCTCTCACCACACAATCAATCTACCGGCCGTCGCTAGTGGGAAAGCTGATCTGATCCGTCCCATTCCCCCCGCCAATTCACCTCTTCCCCACATCCAAGACCAAAAAAAGACCGAGAGCCCCCAACTAGAGGCCCCGATCGATAAGATCAACGCCCAGAAAAAAGAACGACTGCCGGAACGGCGATCTCTCGCAAAGGTCTCAAACCTGAACAACACGATCTTGTCCTCTGGACAATCTCAATTGCCCTTCGACCGGCCTCTTCGACGATATGCCTCGTAAGGCACGGCCGTCAACACCTAGCACGATGCTGGGTCCTTTAGGAGGCCCAGACCCGAACTCACCGCCTCAGTCCCCTACATCTGCTTCGTCTCGCCCGATGCATCACCGCAAGAAGTACGCCGCCCGTTACTTGCCACCATATCACAACATCAACCGTCCGGTCTTGCTTGAGGAGTCGGGCATCCAACCTACCGGCAATGGCCACCAATTCAGCTTCACTCCTTCCAATCGCTTCGCCCAGCTGTCACCCCGCACCTCGTCTGAAGAATCCGACGATGAGGAGGAATCCGAATCCGACTCCGAACCTCCTCAGAAGCAATTGCCTCAAGCAAGACCGCATGTCGTAGACGAAGATGTGGACAGCGACGATGAAGAAGACAGCGACGACAGCGAGGAAGACAGCGAGGATGAGGACGATGATATGGACATGATGCCACCATCAGCTCCTTTACCACCCTGCATTCAGGCAGCAATGGGGGCACCTATGCCGCCGTCCATGCAGCCATCCATCCACCCGTCTATGCATCCATCCATACATCCACGCATGGCCGTCGACAGCAGCTCCGAGGAGGACTCAGATGATGCAGAAGAAGAGGAGGGAAGGGACGATGAAGAAGGGGACGATGAAGACGACGAAGAATCCGATTCAGATTCAGATTCGTCCGACTCCGACTCCGACCCCGAAATCCTTCCCCAAACCCAAGAACCCCGGCCGGCTCCTGTGCCCGCCGCGGTTGCCGCGCCAGGCGCAAAAGCAAACTTCACCCTCGAAGAGTTGTCCGACTTTGACCCCATGGACCAAGACCGCACCGGCACCATCGCCCCTTCAGGCTTCTCTTCCCCGGCCTCAGCCCGCTCTCGCTCCCGTGCCCCTGCTCCGCCCCCTGAGCTCCCTCATGGCCTTACCCGCGATATGCGTAATCTGAATTGCTCAGCCTCCGACTCGGATTCTTCTTCCGACATCGACACCACGGACGCCGATCACAAGGCGTTCTTGCACACGCAACGCGCGCTGCGCTTGCGCAAACGCCTTTCCCACGGGTCGTCCATTGGCAAGCGCACCATCTCGGAGCGCAGCGACTCGGACCACGAGGACTGGACGCCGCTCGACCCCGATGCTGTCGGGTCCAGCGCGAGGAGGCTCAGGCGAAAGGTCGGTGACCCGTCTGTCCGCCGCAGCTTTATTCAGCTTCACTTTCAGGACCCCCCGCCGGAGCGCATCGACGAGGTCGATGAACCCGACAGCGAGGTCGAGGGCGTGTATTACTGCGACCACGAGACCCTTGCCAAGGAGCTGCCGTACTGGATGGAGTACGAGTCTCCGAGCCCGTGAACACGGCCTGGATTTGACCGTGCCGGGATATGATATATACGTTTTATGCACCACGGTGCACACACCCGCGTCTCGCCGAGTTCTGGCGAGCGCAAATACGATGTTTTCCACGATGAACATACGGGGATGGATTCACGATGGATGATGATGACGACAGCCTGACGACGAGGGATTTTACGACCGTGTTCTTTTCTTCTTTCTGCGTACTTGTCTCGGTTTGGCATGTCAAGAAATGTCTTATCTGGATTGATACCTGTTTGCTAGACTTTTCCTCGTTGCATCGAACGCGGAGAGCACATTCATGATTCACAGCGCGGAGTAGCAGTTCTTCATTCTTGCGATAGAGTCGGTGTTACGTAGAAGAGCCTCATCGCTCTGATGAAATGGATGCCCTGTTTCAACCACCACATGCCTTGCGACAGCTTTTCTATGTCCATGCGCCTAGCAAGCAGCCTAGCATTCACCCACCTGAGGCTATCGAATCTTCCCGCGCTCTAGTGTACCGAGTGTCTGAGCGTCGTGCGGGGGAGGCGAAAACGAAGAGAGCCGTCGACGCCGTCTCGTGGGCTTATCTGGGCGGTGTGTTTGATGGTGGTGGTCTGGATTCGATGGCGACGTCGATGACGTGCAGCGGATCAGCGGGAGGAGGGAGGGAGGGGTGGTTGTGTTGTGTTGTGTGTTGTGCAGTGAGTATCAGTCAGCATCGGTACGTCGAGGCCTTTGCGAATGGTCTACTCGGGATTCATCATCATCGCCCACTCACACGAGCGCGAGAAATACACCCGGCTTTCCGCGGTGGTTTTCGGTGAGTTGGGGGGTTCTCATTGGACGGGGTTAGATGCGGCTGGATGCAGCGTAGGGCAGTCGCATTTTGATTCGGTGACGATTGTGAGATACGTGGTCGATGGAGGACTGGTTGTTGACGATTGTGGAGGTTTGCTGATGTGTTGGACGGCACAGGAGGTAGGCGACTGGACTGGACTGGACATGAGGGGCGCTGCGGTCTTCCGGGTTCTGGGGCCGGAAGGGAAACGGCGGTCTGGGATGTGGAGACGGCACGTGTGTCGGCGTGGGGCGGCCGGGTTGGACCGGAGTTGCACGGCGGTGCCGCGGGGAGACGGGATGTGGAGATTCTTGTTCTTGATTTCTTGTTCTCGGTCTTCAAGGCACATACAGTTTGAGATTGGGGGATTGATATTGGAAGTTTGATTTGGAGGGAGAAGAACTAACTGCCCTAGCTAAATTCAGCGGATGGATGAAGACACCGAGATATCTCCCATTCCTAGCAAGTAAGTCCCTCTCACACCACCACCGCTCAGCTGTAAGCATAAACCTCCCGAACCAACGGATTAGGCAGCGAGAAGGCGGCGGGATCCCTCAACGCCCTCCTCGAGACGTAACACTGGTACGAGCCCCTCGTGAGGCCCGAGACGCCGGGGCGGAAGGCGACGTAGAAGGAGCGGTAGCCGTTGGCGTCGACGGCGGCGGCGCAGGCGGAGAGGGCGGCGCAGGCGTCGAGCTCGCCGCCGTAGATGGTGAAGAGGGTGTAGTCCGTGAAGAAGTTCGAGGGGAGCACGGAAAGTCCCGCGAAGTAAAGGGTGTAGGTCGCCCTGGCTTGCGGGATGGACGTGCATTGGATTCCGGTGGAGGGGGATGTTGGGGTGGGGGGCTCTTCCGAGATGGGGGACGGGAGGGGGACGGGAGGGATGGAGCTCTCGTCGATTGGCGACGGTAGAGGGACCGGAGGGACCGAGGAGTCGGAGATGGGGGATGGGAGAGGGACGGGAGGAACGGAGCTTTCGTCGATTGGTGACGGAAGCGGGACCGGGGGGATCGAGGATTCGGAGATGGGTGACGGGAGAGAGACCGGAGGGATAGACTCGGAGATGGGCGAGGGGAGAGGGACCGGAGGGACGGAGCTCTCATCAATAGGTGACGGAAGCGGGACCGGAGGGACCGAGGAGTCCGGGATCGGCGACGGCAGCGGGACCGGCGGTACCGAAGACCCCGGCGACGGGAGAGAAACCGGCGGCACGGAACTCTCCTCAATAGGCGACGGCAACGGCACAGGCGGCACCGAACTCTCATCGATAGGCGACGGAAGCGGCACCGGCGGCACACTCGAAAACACAGTCAACGTCGACACGAACGTCGCCGTGATCGTCACACTCTCCGCCGCCAGCGTCTCCGTCACCGTCACGGGGGAGCAGCCGGAGCCTCCGCCCGGGTAGACGCAGGAGCAGGCGCTCGACAGCCGGGGGGCGCCGCAGGAGGAGAGGATGCCGTCCGGCAGGTTTGTCGGGCGGGCGACGAAGGAGGTGGTGAAGGTGGCGCAGAAGGCGCTGGCGGAGGGCTGGCGTTGGATGTTGCGGTAGCAGTTGTCCTCGGCGCAGGCGGCGGCGGCGGCGGCGGCGTGGGCCAGGGCCGTGAGGAGGGTTGTGAGGCGCATGGTGGGGGATGTGAAGAGGGTTTAGGAGGTGAGGGTTTGGTGGAGAGTAGGGTTGGTGATGAAGGGGATGTTTGTGTATGAGGGTCCGAGGAGAGTTATATATACTCGCCTTGGGAGTTCCATCATCATGACTGGACTTCTCACCTGAGGTAAGGTATGCCGTCTCGGCTTCACGATGCCGACGAACGACGCGCGGGGGAATTGGAAATGAGCGCATTCTACACGTGGATATCGGCTCGAGGAACGCCAAGGCCGCTGAGAAAAAGAGAGACATCACAACCGCACCGAAGGGATGAGGGATGTGAACACACAAGATGCCAGATCCGGAGCCTTCCCTCAGAAGCGTTGAACCTGGTGAAAAAGATGATGTCGTCGGGCCCCGCGGGAAACAAGATTAGACGGGGCTTGCGGCGTTCGAAGCGACGTTTGAACCGTCCCGATCCGCGCTCCCGAGTAGTAGGTCCCGCATTCTTCGACGAGGCGTTTCTCGTTTTGAGACGGGTTTCTCGCGAAGGCGTGTTAGTCCGGAATGCGCGCGAGCTGCTAGCTGGAGTTGGGAGGGTAAGACATCGACGGACCTTGCCCTTTCCTGATCACCTTTTCTCGTGTTGTGATGAGACAGGCCGCCGAGTCTCAACTTGAGCTGGAAGAGGGCATCGCGTTGAAAGCTGGCAATGTCACCTGAAGTAGAGGGCCTTTTGGATACGGGGTTTATGGCCTTGGCATATTTGTGTTGTTATCTTGCTTGGCGACGTGAATCGCGTAACGTACGTGTCTCGCGGGGAGAACAGTCTTGTGAGACGCGGATGCGGTTAGATCTGATAATCGGGACGATTTGGTGAGATCCCTTCCCTTATGGGACTCGTGAAAGAGTCCGGTCTTCGCCAAGGTCTCTTGGGGCTCCCGGAACGGATATTGGAGGTGAAAACCCATCGTTAGTTGTAGATCCAGCCCGCGAGCTGTATGCCCATCGACATGGTTTAGCCAGCTCCTGAGTGGATTCGATATGATACGGGCCTCTGACATGTCATATCGGTACGGATAGCGGCCGGAAAGCCGCCGAAATACTCTGAAAACGACCATATATGTAGCAACGGCAGATGATGATGGGAGATAGAGAGCGTTGAGTAAAGGCCGGATGAAGGTCAAACTTGTCCTTGATGGAGATCACCTATCCAAGACCCCATGTGAAATCAAGAAGATCCAGAGTATGGAGCAAGAGAGTACAACGACCTGGTGGATGTAGACTTCCATCCTATTGCCCGTCACATGAGAATATAAACTAGGGCGACATGACCTATTCAAGCTTAATGAAGCATCAATCAGTTGCATATTCAATACCAGCTGCCAGAGAGCTTCGCATAACGGTGCGCCGTCACATGGTTGAAGGAGAGCCTCGGGTACCCGGCGATGTTGGTATAAATGCCTTGCCTCGAAACACTTTCCTCCTCTTTACTGGGACTGCAGTATTTCTAGCCAGGCCAATGGTTGATCCCCTTATTGAATAGAAATCTGAGTTGGATCGCATCTAAAATAGGTCATATTGAAGATCTTGAAATTCCCACAACATATTGAGCTGTCTCGCTCCTGTGTTGCGGCCTGTGGTCGAATATTCCCAAATTAGAAGCAGCAATGATGGAGTGTTGCGTCCCAGATTACGACGGGTATGTCATTTGCTCTGTAGCCACACTCCTCAGGGCACAATGTCGAATGAGTCATCACTGGAAGCTGAAGCAGTCGACCTGAATTTGACTTGAAAAAATGCAGATTTATGCATATTTACGCCATTTGCCGGAGTACCCAGGAGATCGAGTGATATGCTGCCGCGACGTCTGGTGTGAGCCTGGCAGTTACATGTTGGTAAGGCTGGAGAAAGAGGAGAGCATAGTAGCTTTGCAATGTGACGCCGGCTTTTAACTTTATATGCTGTCGATAAGCTGCCCCATACATCAACAAAGATCTGGACATAACCACACCAATTCATGAGAGATGTTACGATGAAGATGCTTGGGAAGACTCGTGTACGGAAAGAATGAAATGCACAGACTCCTGGCTGAGAAAACCACCACCTCCCTCCCCATCACCCCAGCAACACCCCGAGTCGCATTTGATACTGAACCAACTCATCAGTCTAAGCCTTGTCGTCTTCCTTCTTCTCAGGCTTTCTTCCGTAAATCGACCAACTGAAGTCCATCATGTTAGCAGAGCGCAGCCAAGCGAGATGACGCGAGATTACTCACATCGAGAAGTACGCATGGATATTGCGGTTGTTGAAGTCCTTGCGGTTCTGGGCCATCAAAACAATGACTTCCTCCCTAGTCCAGCCAAGGGCTCTCGTGAGAGGCGCCATGCAGATACCTTCCCAGCCTTGGAACAAGTTCTCGTTGTTCCACTCTCCAAGTGTCTTATACTTGGGGTCCTTTGGCCAGGGGTTAGTGGGCCACTTGAACTGCTGCATCGTCACGTCTTCAAAGCCGGTTTCCATGAGGATAGGCTTTAGCTCCTTGATGTTCTGATATTTACGGCCAGCCTTTTCAGTTGCATCTTCCAGGAGCCTTCCGATCTTGTAGATCGAATGTTCTGGCTTGAGAGAACCATCATCAGAGAGCAGTACGATGTCGATTTCGTTGAGCTCCAAGTACCCCCCAGGGGTCAGGTTACTATTGAAGTGGTCAGTAGCTGAGGCTTGCGACAGTCCGACTTATAACCTACTCATAGCATGTCTCGATGTACTTCCTCCAGTCGCTGATCGATGAGTTCATCATGCGGCTATGAATGTAATCAAAAGGCTGGGAATAGGTCCACGGCTCTTCCAAGTCGTCGATCTCGAATTTCACGTTCGGCGGCGTACTATACTGATCAGCTTTGCGAAGAGCGATCCCAGAATGATCTTCTTACAACTCAGGGAACACAGCCGACAAATCAATGCCTCGGACCTGTTGAAAGTTAACATAAAACACCCAACAGATAGTCGACATCAGGAGGCCATAGACATACCTCGGTCTCAGGGTGGTCATCGCCAAAGTCCATTGCCCAGATGCCACTTCCAGTGCCAACATCAAGAACCCTTCGAACCGTTGCATCGGGCCTGTTGGGAGGAGCAGTACCCAGCCTGCCGTCGAAGGTTTGCATGAACATGTTGTGCTGGAGGTCTGGTCTGTCAGCACCTCAAATGCAGAGCAAGGTTTCCCACAGACACCTACCAAGCCTCTCTACTTCTCTGTCGTCGTTGGGCACCATGTACTCTGCGACATTCCGGTTATTATTTGGTCTGACAGACTGATTCGGGCTTGACACTTACTTCCCTCCTTGTAACTATGGTAAGTTCGTCCGTTCTCAACTCTAAACCCCATCACAGAGCTGTTGACACTCGTGCTCGATGACGCCAGGCTTCGCTACAAGACCCTGTTTAGCTTTACCGTTTAGTCTGAAGGAAATTCTCTGGGAGTACACACGCTGTCGACGTCTTCCGCGCTGGGATCATACTGTTCAAGTCTCAAGTGCTTAGCGAGTGATCCTATCGGGAAGGTGTGAGACAAGATTGAATTACAGCTTCCTCGGCAGCAATTGTGACCTCATGGTCAACAGCAGTGTTGGGCTGCGTCCCAGGTACGGCGTTGGAAGCCAACATTTCGAACAGATTGGGTCGATAGGGTAATTTTTCGGCTGATTTCTTCACCCGCGTTGTTTGTGCAACACGGAGAAAACAACAGGTCTCAGAGACTTCTGGGGAACGGGAGATTTTATGTGGCCTACCCTCCAGCCCCCTCTCCTTGGCTGTGCTGCCGTATGCATGTTTGCCAGACAGCGCTGCAGCGGAGGCATCACCTGTAAATGGAAGACGCCCCCCTCATATCAGAACAAATGAGGAAATGACAGTCATCCTGCGGCAGGGGCCTTGTGCGATTTACGACGGCGGCAGGCACTGAGTGATGGGTACTGGCTGTTACCGGAAAACACTGCGTTGAACCAGGCTGTTGAACCACATTATGTTTTATCACGAGGCTCCCACTACATGCTTCTTGACCAATCGCTGAGCCGGCGGGGACTGGCGGGAAGCAAAACCGCTGCGCGAACAAGCATCACAGCGCGGAGACCCAGCTTTTGCGGAGACAATGGATACTCAATTCTTCGGAGTCTGAGCCCGTCTCCGCGCGTGCGATGCCAAGACGACGATGAGGACACAATCCTCGGCCAGGTGGTAAGATAACTAGCTAAAGTATTCCTTCTTACTTTTACTTACCTATCAATTACTCTATCTCCTCGATACTCTATCACCTCTTAACCTCCATCCTTAAATGCGTAATCATCGCGTCCGTTCTCCTCACATTATATGCGTACTGAGGTGGTGATGCCAGTGCTTAACGAGGCTAGGCTGCGCTGTAAGAGACAACGAGTTCCTTCTTGTTGTGCCGCATGAAGACACGAACCCCGTTCACGTACAGTGTCGAGTTCACTCAATGCGTCATCCTGTGAGAGTGAGTATTTAACAGGCTACGATGTCCGATCAATGCAGGTAACACGATTCTTACTTGGTCACCAAAGGGGATAAGATTCCCTGTGTTGGTAGTTACAGCATCGATCGGGGCATCAGAAACCTCAGAAGCGGCATTAGCAGCCAACGTAGCGAGTTTTTGAATTTTGTAACATGAATCCATGGATAGCAACCGTCTTAATTGGAATTGGGCCTTCTTCTTGCTATGGAATGATCACCAGTCGGTGCTTGGGGTGAAGAGACAACAACTAATTTCCCCAGTTCTCAAGGGGGCCGTCTCCATTTATCTGACCAAGTGGACCAACCATTTAACCAAACCTCTCTCCTTGGCGGGCACGATGCATGCATACTTTTGAATCGGGCACTTTTACAGCGGGCATTGTTCTACAAGAGGAATTCCTATGCCCCTCGCATTGGAGCGAATGAGTAAGTGACAGTCAGGCTGTGACAGGGGACGCTGCACGCAGCACTCAGCTTTTAGTGAAGGCGAAATCGTTCCATAGGTGAACAGGAATATTAACCAACTAAACCGCAATGGGCCATTGCTGCTTCGTTAGCACTCTGCAGGAAGTCTCTATCGCGGATACACAACCAATTGCTAAGCCAGCAGGGGTTGCGGAACACGTAGCCGCGAGTGAATGAGCCAGCTTTTGGCTACCGGGGGAGATTCCGGGCCCCGCGATGCCAAGACGATAAAGGTAACTCCGTGTTGTCCCCGGCGTCAACTGCCCACGTTGAGGGTGATGGAGGAGCATGGATGGCCCGACTTGATGGGGTCAAATTCTTTCAGACTCAACTACGTGTTTCCAAACTTTGTCATTGAAACGAGGTTCAGTTGATTCAATGCGCCACGGGCCACACTGGAGGGAAGACGATAAAACGTGGAATGGCCAAGGTGGACTAAAATACGACGTAAGATTGCATGTGCGCGGTATTGTGAACGAGCACAGGTCCTCAAGTTCTGTCTCTTGCAATTGCAAATTCAACATTCCAGAATAAAAAAGTTCCTTGTTTCTATAAACGGGCTGGACGTATGATGAGGCAGATACAAATTTCAAACCATGAGAACTTGCCGTGGATGTACGCTCTTCAAGGCATCATTCCTTCTTCTGTGGCTTTCTTCCATACATTGTCCAACTACATCAAAGTTAGCATCGGATCTTCGATAGGCGAGGCTCAAGTCGGATAACTGAGACTTACATGGGAAAGTAAGAGTGAATGTTCCGGTTGTTGAAGTCCCTGCGATTCTCGGCCAGAAGAACCTGGACTTCAGCATAAGACCACCCGAGGCCTCTCACCAGCGGCGCCATGCAAATAGCCTCCCACCCCAGCAGAAGATTCTCGTTGTGCCACATTCCAAGCTCTTTCATCTTGGGGTCCTTAGGCCAGGAATTCACCGGCCACTTGAACTGTTGTAGTGTTACATCCTCAAAGCCCACCTCCATTAGAACCGGCTTCAAATGACTGATTTGTTGGAACATTCGTCCGACAGCTGCTGTCGCCTCAATCATCAAGTTGCCTGTTTTGACGATTGTGTGGTCTGGCTTGAGGGTCCCGTCGTCCGATTTTACGACAATATCAGGCTCAACGAGTTCGAAATATCCGCCCGGCGATAAGTTGCTGATTTATACAGTCAGTACCAAATTACAGCGCGTCAACAGTTTCCCATAACTAACTCAAAGCACTTTTGAAAATATTCTTTCCAGTCGGCAACGCAACCCGTCATCATGCGACTGTGGATGTAATCGAATGGTTGCGTGTAGGTCCACGCCTCCTCAAAATCGTCGATCTCGAACTTGACGTTTGGCGGCGTGCTGATTGAAACCATCCAGTCAGCAGATAGTCAATGGAAGAGGGTTTTGATAAGAACCGAGGGATCGTCTCACAATTCCGGCTGCACGGGAGAAAGGTCAATACCAAGAACCTGGCACGCTTAAGTTAGTCTCGTGAGGCTCTACTTGAGCACACTAGGACCAACCTCGGCTTCAGGGTGTTCATCGCCAAAGTCCATCGCCCAGATACCGCTACCGGTGCCGATGTCGAGAACCCTCTTCACATTCGAGCCACGTTCGTTCGGGGGCGCAGTTGCCAGCTTCCCGTCGAATGTGAGCATGAACAAGTTGTGTTGGAGATCTAGTATGGATTAGAAATCGGTCTGGGAACGTTAATCGGTACACACCAAGTCGATCAACCTCTTTGCCGTCATTAGGCATCATGTATTCTGGTAACGTTCTTGGTCAGAATCGCCCCGTGATAAGTATGTCAGAACCCCATTATGAAACGTACTGCCATCCTTGTATCCGTGATAGGTTCTTCCATTCTCTTCCCTGAACCTCATGATAGAGCTGGTCACACTAGTGCTCGACGAAGCTACACTGCCCTAAATTGAACAAGTTAGTCGAGTCTTGGTTCTCAAAAAGTCCCCTGCTGGTTTTAAATGGGAAATAAACTTACAACTCCAAATTCCGATGCACTGTCATCTTCATTATACTACGCATACTATTAGAGTGGACAGGGTCGGTCATAGAAAACGAATGACGAGTACCTGGTCGTCGACAGCGATCGACACCTCATTGTCTGTCGTGGTGTTTGGCTCGGCGGTGTTGGATGCCCCGGTCGCAGTGTTGGGTGCCTGCATATTGAAATCGAGGCAATGAACTGAGAAATACTTTTGTAACCCGAATCAACATGAAAGAGAAACAACCATCCAGATTCCTTGGAAGCCGAGGGCCCATGTCATATTTAATGTCTTCAAATACTACTCAACCCCTCTTCTTGGCTGTACGCCTGTGGTTCCTCTATGCAGGTTTGCAACGTGCAGTTGGCTGGATCCTTCTGCAACGGGCGCTCACTCTTGATGAGGAAGAATCTCCTCACATTGGGGCGAATGAAATGATGGCGAATGAGCCCTTGCAAAGACCTCGTAAGACCGCATACACGTGTGGCCTTTTAGCCAGCCGTAAATGGAAGCCTCTTCACAAGCGAAGAGGAAACTAATCCACGGTCGGCGAATCCTGCTTTGGGGATGATGCACCAGGCATATTTCTATCGCCCAATCGCTAGAGGCAACGGGGGTCGCGGAACGAGAGACCGCTGCATGGGATGGACGAGGGTCAACCAACGGCCCAACTTTTGCGGGGACGATGGGCCCATCATGACGGAGGCAGAGCCTGGCTCCGCGATGAAGCTCATGGTTTTCCCAAATCTGCGTGAATGACAACTCAGATAATCGATCTCAACTTTAATATGCGTACAAACCAAAGGAGCAGGCATAGAGTTGCAAGCAGTCACGGCTGGACGTGTGCGGGAGTCTCGAGTGATTTCTTGTGGAACCTCATCAAGTCCTGCAGTGATAGCACACCAACAACAAGGCTTCGACTAGGATGCCCAAAAGATTTCGTCTCACTATCTATCACTTATCACTTCGACACTCCATAACGTACCGTTCCCTGGGTACTTGTCTCAAAAGAGCCACGAGAAACCCTTGCGATAGACCTTGGCAAGCACACTTCTCTTCCCCGCCGCTGTCTCCTTTTCATTCCTCGCAGCTTCGACAGTCGCCATTTCCTCCGCAACCGTTTCTTCGGGGACACCGGTAACCAGGTCGGCGGTCTCAGCCCGAACTCTGTGCGACCTCTTGACGATTTTATAGCCGAAAATGCAGATCAGGTAGACAGGTATTCCGATGTACTGAACGATGAATCCCTTGTAGTCGAAGTTGCCTACGAATACCTCCACGCCTTTGGTAAGAGTAAGGATAACGAGGAAACAAAGTGCTACATAAGAACCCCACTGTCCCATGGGGGCTCGGTAAGGAATGTAGGCTGGGTCGATGCGCTGGATGTCGCGGGCACGACAGAAGAAAATGTGGGAGACAAGGATGGAGATCCAAGTGAGGAGGCCTTGTACAGTAAGCATTGGCCGAAGATAATCAAAACGGTCTTCTGCACTTACCAAAGACGGTCACAAGGCTTGTGAGGTTATTGAACACCGTCGCTGCACTTGAACTAACCGACATGTATGCCAGTCCACAAAAGGCTCCGCAAAGGGCCAGTGACACGAATGGCACCCCGGCCTTCGTCGTGCGAGTGAAGACTCGTGGCGCTTTTCCGTCAATGGCAATGCCGTAGAGAGTTCGAGAGGAGATGTAAATGTCCGAATTAGCTGCCGAAAAGACGAAGATAACAAGGCAGGCGTTGATGACATGGTCCAGGCCCCTGATCTTGGCAATCTTGATAGCCACAACGAACGGAGAAGCAGCGGCGCTGGTCTTGGACCCAGCAGCGAAAGCTAGCTCTTGACTGTCGTATGGGATCACCATCCCAAGCAGAAATACGGAGAGGATGTAGAAGAAGAGGATGCGGAGGAAGGTCAAACGAACCGCCTTCGGCATGCTTAGACGCGGGTTCTTCGCCTCACCGACCGTCACGCCAACCAGTTCCGTACCAGAGAAGGCATACACAGCGGCTACCATTGCGCTCCATACCCCGAGCAATCGGCCCTTGGCGCCGTCGACTTTGTATTCAGCAAAGGCTCCGTGGTCCGACCAGTACCGAAACCCCGGGCGGTCACCAGTCGGCCCGCCGCCAATAGCCAGGATGAATAACAGCAGGATGACGCCGACCATGATTAGCACCTTCAGTGATGACAACCAGAACTCGAACTCGCCGAAAGCCTTGACGCTGACGCTGTTGATGACAAGAATCAAAACCAGTGCGATGGTGATGAAGACCGCTGGGCTTACACGGTCGCCAACCCAGAACTTCATGATGAGGGCGAACGCAGAGAGCTGGTTCGGCGTAGCCAGGAGGTATTTGAAGAAGTAGGAGTATCCCGTTGCGAAGCCCAGAGCCGGGTCAACGAAGCGAGTCACGTAGCCACCGAAACCGTGGGATAGCGGCATGTAGGATATGATCTCGCCGAGGGCCGCCATGACGAGGAAGACGATGCAGCCGACGATGGAGTAGTCGATCAAGATGCCTGCTGGGCCGGTTTTGACTAGAGCGGAGCCACTACAGGAGGGAGCGTTAGACTGACGAGACACACAACTGCGGTTTCTACTGTGGAAGACAACTTACGTGCCAATCAAGAGTCCTGTACCAAGCGCGCCTCCCAGTGCGATCATGGTGACGTGACGAGTCTCGAGACGTTTGTGGAGGTCATGGCCTGGCTGGTCTGCTGGATCTTGGATCTCACCAAGCTTTGCGCTCTGTTGACGCGAAAGGCTCTCCATCCCCGCAGGTTCCATCTTGTCTTGGCCCATGATAGTTGATGGTGTTGAAGATGTGACAGTTTTGGCCGAGTTCCGTGTGCAAGACACCACCGATATGTTCCGTTTCGAAGAGTTAAGTCTCGATGGTAACACGGAAGTCAAGTTCAACTAGCACCTTTTGAACATCAGCTGAACGAACGTGAACTCCCTCCAGGTAGAACTGGGGAGACTTCTACCCAGATAAACCTCTACTATTGCCTACTCAAGTTTTTGACAACCCAAACTTGGTCATTATCTCAAGCCGTGGGTCCGGGGTAATCGTTCGGTGGTGGGTCCCGAAGCTGGGGAACGCGGGGAGTGCTCCTCGGTTCGCCATCCCGTGCTCAGTATCAGATAGCCAACTGACTCGGCCCACGCCCTATCGCAAATCCTTGGTACAAAAATCCAACAAAGAGCAGAAGTTGATAAGAAGGCTCCTTCTGGTCAGAAGAATTGGGTAAAAGTTCCCTGCTCCAAACCAGGCTGTTCCCAGGAATATCCACCTTCACACGCTGTCTCGGGTCCGGCGTGTCGAGTCTCGCGTGATCACCCCGCAAAGCCAGCATTACCGTCATCGTATTAAACCATTAGATCCATAATTCCATTGCCAGAATCTCGGAATGCCGCATCCGTGGGCTTCTTCAATGGCTTATCACAGCAAGCCCCCGCTGAAATCGAAGTCTTGTGCAATAGTATCCGTCCAAAGCCAGCTCCCAGCCAGCTGATTGTTCCCAATTGCCGATAGGTCCGGCTCCCAATCAAGTAATCCTGCGATTGACAGCATTTGTTCTGATGCCAGGCCGTTTGCCGTACTGCAAGTTGCTGGACCTCCGTCTTGAGAGATTTCCGTAGAGAGGTTGAGATCTTCGCCGGGGTTCGATAATAACCGGCTCTCGTTTCCCAGGGCTGGTACATCACCGTCAACTCGGGACTGTGCAAGTTGAAGTATCTCCTGCAACTTCTCAAGCTCTTGCTTTCGGAAGTGAGCAACTGAGTTGCCTCGAGCAACCATCGTATCCAGAATACTGAATGTGGTCTCCAGATAGCCACTCTCACGGTCTGGTAGACCTGGTATAAACGCCATGAGGCTGAGGAGAAAGGCGGAAGAGAATGTTTGTTCCAAGTCGAATGGAAGAAATGTCTCTGCAATTGATTAGTGTCTTTGGCAAATTTACCACATGCGATCTCCGAAGTTTCGCTTACCAAGTAAATGCTGAGACTGCAAGGTGGACAGAATTCGGAGTGATTTTGTCGCTGACTCGGAGGAGGTTTCTAGAAGTGCTTTGATGGGACTCGCGAGGTTTCGGTGAGAGTGATCCCGCCTAGTCAGGACATCCTGCAGCAGGCATATAAGGAGCGGTCGAGTGGCTAAAACAACGCACTTGAAAAATCAGTCCCATCGCTCTCAAGCTCAGAATCCGGAAATCAAACCTGGTGATAACACAAGTTGAGCGTCGCTGAGACGCGAGAAGCTGGCTCTGAGTTGTTGAACTTGAACTCGAAACCTGCCGTCAGTTGTGGAGCCAGGTTAACCATGTCTCTCAGAACTTCTTGGACATTCTTGAGGAAAGATGGATCTAGTTTGCCGTCAACTCCGTAAACAGCTGCAAATCAGAATGTTAGAGATATATAGACGCCCTCTGAGGCGACGAATAACTCACTGTTCAAGACCTTGGCATGGAGTTGCGAAAGTACAACATGGAGGCTAAGGGCTTTGTACTTGTGAACCACTGGATCTGACCCAGGCAAGTGAACAGTAATATCGCTGTCCTGAATTGAGCTAGGTGCTCCCATCAAGGACGATAGCTTTCGGTCCAAGATATAGAGAGTCCACCAAATGCAGCGCAATCTGTTGGCTTCTGGTTCGTTGAGAAGGCCACCCAAAGGCTCTCGATGGAGCCCCTGGGTGAGCCCCATGCGCAACGCTTGACCAATCTATGGCTCCTCGTAAGCATCTTTCTTAGGAGTAAAGTTAAGAGAGGACTAACATAAGTGTATGCGCTGTTCCGATGATCGATTGACTGTAGGTACAGTGCAAGACAGCAAAGTATCTCCACGGACAGAATTGGGTCCTGGTAGAGACCATGGGAGTCAGGAAGGAGTTCTAAAGCTCTTGTAACAAGTCCGCTGCCAGGAGGGCTCTGATCTGGCGCGCCGGGTACTAGGAGAGCTTTTCCGAATGCCATGACAAGAAGGAACTGGATATACCACAGTCGGGCATCTGCAGTAGGCTCTGCCTTGGTTCCCTTTCTGTAGAATTCGTACAGCCCATTCATGAAGCTTTCTTCGTCAAAAAGATGGTATGTTTGTCCAACGTGAAACTTTACAGTGTTGGTGAGATAGAGAGCGTAGTCAAGCGAAGGAATGTCAACTGTAGGCCGAGGAAGGATGTCCCGAGATGAAGGCCAATCAAGTTTGAATGCCTGGGCATCAACGTTCAACGGCACTTCTGGTGATTCGTGCTGGCCAAGATGCCCCTGTATCATGTTTAAAACCTGTCGACTATACGCCCAAGTTGACGACGGACCGAGCCATCCTAGTGAAAATTAGAGAAGGAATGAGGTTGAAGGAGGCTACACAACTTACGTCTTCGCCCCGTGGAATCGGTCAAGAACCTCGATAGACCACTGGCCAAGGGGTTTCTCATGGCAGTGAAAGAGCTATGTCGCCGTTCCTCGGCGTCGTCCTCTCCTCCAACTATGGTAGTGCCATCGTCCCCAACAAATGAAGTCGAGGTTTGAATACCGGTGTCTTCCTCTCCCACCTCAAGAGACGAATTTCTTCCGCCTGCGACGTTTGTTCAGCTCAAAACACTACCACTGAGAATGAAAACATGCTTACCAAAACGCCTACTATGATCCTGCGGTGAAGTCGACCGTCGTAGCCGTTGCCGTTTTGAGGTCGGAGAGGTTTGAGCGTCAGCATCAATGGCATAACCAGACTTGCGCTTCAACTCGTTCAAGAACCTTGGTGGATCAGTATGAGATGTGAGTATTATGATAGCAGGATAAATACCTCTCGGAAACCACAACTTTTCTGTCTTCTTTGTCGAAAACACACTCAGTCGACCTGCGAATGCAGTTGCTGCAGGGCATCGAGCCTGAGCACTTGACCTTTCTTTCGCGACATTTGAGACACCTGTCCGATCAATAAGCAACAGTTTTCTCACTTTGCACTGCGTTCCGACGTTTCGCAGGTAGGACTCACGCATTACTGGAGCGCTTGCCCCGCGATGTCGAGGTTCCAGCATCCGCGTCCTGTTCTGCAGAGTTGACGGGACTACTTTCGTCTCTGGTCATTTTAAGCTAAACATGGGCATGATATACTCTCACGCAGCTTCAACGGTGTAAGATCCAGTTATGCAGGCGTGTGTTGGAGCGAATCGGTTCATGAGAATGGCGATGCGACGATGGGACACGAGAAAAGAAAGGGTTTGTTTAGCTAAACATCCACTGGAACATAGGCGCAGCCACATTAGCTGTGGCGTACGTAATGGGTCCCTAAATTTGACAATCAGCGCCTGAAAGTGCTGAAGAGCCGCCCCGAGTCATGGCCGCAGTGCCTGTCCTTCCTCCCATGGAAACCAAGCAAGAAACAACATCATTCAAGTCCGTTTGTCTTCCAATTGTGAAAGACATGCCAACATCATTTCAGTTATCTACAGGGATAGATAAATCTGTTAAATGAGTCAAAGGCTCTGAAGTTTCTCGGCAAGTGTGGGGAGTTTGGTAGCATGCACCATGCTCTGCGCTTTCGGCTTGTGGTGCCGAGAAGTGGCTCGTGCTGCTCGGTTTCCCATCCCGTGAGAGCGACCTGATGTTCGCCGGACTGCGTCCCCGAACTGCTAAGAAGCTTCCATGCCCATGCTCTCGGAATGTGGGATTCGCATCAAGACTACCTTCCCAGACTTATGAAAATCTACGTCATCCAGAAGATGTGGCGAGCGGTTCTCATCTGTCACATCCATGACTAACTGCATGGCTAATCTCTGCAGTAAGTATGGGCAAACAGCAGACGATGGCTCGGAATAATCGTGCTCTGAAGTTGAAGTATATATGTACGAGAATGTAATGAAGTATTTACAAATGTTGAAATGCTTTCCTGGCTTCCCTTTTCTTCAAGCAAGATGGTCACAACTAGCTGTTGGTAGGACACATACTCCTCTTGCTTAGCAATTGCCGGAAGCCTTGAACTGGGCCTTTTCCTGAGTGCCGACATTGTTGATGACAACCTGTTTGTTGTTGGAACAAGTGACACGGACACTGACAGTATCAACGCCGAAGCCATCGCCGCTGCTCTTTTGCCAGTAGTTGTAGTCTTGACGAGCGGTGTTCTGCCAGGTCTTGCCGCCGTCGGCACTGACTTCGAACTTGGTGACGGGGTAGTTGTGGTTCATCACTTGCATGGAGAACCTAGCATTTGAGTCAGCGAAATCTCCACGCCTGATGATTCTCATGGGAAGCATACCACCACTTAGACGTGCCCTCCTTGTTGCGCACGACCAGGGGTGTGGTGATCCCGCAAGGAACCTGTTCCCACTGGACGTTGATCAGACCCTTGTCCGGGTTGTCGAGCTTAGCGAAAGCATCGGGGAAGAGATCGAGTTGGCCAGCTTTGCAGCCTTCCGGGCACTTGTCGACAACCTGAGTCGAATGTTTAGAATGATTTCACTCGTCAGAAGTCTACTTACTCACCATCACCTTGATCGTGTTCCCCTTGGGGCCTTTGACGTTGAGACAAGTCCCGCAGTTACCGTTGTAGTTGGTATACGACAGAGCAGTACCAAGAACACTTGATGGGAGAGTGTAGCCGGAGAACAGGCAATTGCCTCCGTTCAAGTTGCCGCCATACCATGATGCGATCGCACTGTTAGCAGCGGCAGTAGTGCCCTGTGTCATGATGGCAAAAGCCACGCCAATGGACAGAAACCCTTGCATCTTGACAGTTGTTGTAATCGAGTGTCGATCCTATAAGATGGATTGTGAAGGATATGGTGAGGGCAGACGAGGGTACTCAGAAAGTCCCAGGGGAAACCTAGCTCTTCTTATATCAAAGCCCGGTTATTCGGAACCCAACTGCAATCAAATCGACAAGAATCCAAGGTCAAATGCGGAAGGTCACAAGGGGCAGAGCGACAAGACATGGTGACGAGTGGGAAGGTAACAAAAGGAAACATGTTCAAATCCATTCAATCTATCAGCCTTGCCCCTCGGGATCCATGGGTGAGATTTCTCCCAAAGTATAGTGTTGAGTCTCAATCAGAAACCCGCCACTCAGACTTGACAACTCCCTGTCGCAGCTCAAATCGAGACTCCATGTTTGAAAGCTGCCCTACAATTCGTCAGATTCAAGCCAAGAACGCGGAGTGAGCGGAAGCGCGATATTAGACCGCAGAGGTGGTGAAATCGTATTGTCTCGTTCGTCAGATTAAAGCTAGCCGCGGCCCGTTATCGTCGGCTTCGGCACCTTGCGTTAATTTGCGGATGACATGGTTGTCGGGCTACATCCAGCGCGTCGTACGGTTTCTGGCAGGGCTGCGATTTCTCCTTGGTGGGAAGAGTGAAAAAGGTTCACTGGAAATGATCTTAAAGTTTCAAGTTTCACTAATACGGTTGAAACTAGACCTAAAGAATGGGAGCTCACCATAAGTCTAGACCATAGTGGATATTGGGCATGAGTCGTGGTGGTGCAGGCATAGCCCGGACGTCGAGTCGACATCCCACCATCGTTACCACGCAGACGGGCTGCGAGATGGGTGACACAAACCCGAGAGCTAGCGTAGAAATGCCATGTCTGCAGAATCCTCCAATTTTCTGATTGCCATGCAGGCTCACGCGCATGGATGTCAGCTTGACAGGCCCTGTCATCGGTGTGGCCGCAGGCTGGTCGGCTGGAGGCAAAGCTCCCCTTGTGAGGATCAAGTTTCTTTTCAGCATCCCTCTCAATGTCTCAACTGTCTTGGTACCCAAGCTTGCCTTAGTCTGGTGCCGAGCGTTCGAGGTATATTAAAGCTGGACATGTCCAAATTCCTTCCAGGAGCAGGTCACATGTCTGATATAGTGTGTTCTCATACCATGGCGTTGGGTCTTGAAGTACCGAGATGCTCGCTCTGTCTGAGATGTAAAATAGGGCAGTGACACAATATCACCAAAGCCGAAAGTTCTTGACGCAAACCGTGGCTCGACTTTTTACAAATGAGACAGTCACATGAGTTAATCAGTTATGAGCAGAAGGTGATATTAAAGCGCTTGTGATAGCGAATATTAGATAGTAAATATGCTCAAAGGGTTTTCCCTCAGGCGATGCATCTATGAAAACTTGTCATGGCTGGTTCATTCAGGCGTATCCTATGTACATGCACATAGCCGACGGTGACTTGTGGCGTCTTTTTTCTAAATTATGTGATGAAGTTCGATGCCGTGAAGCACACGTTTTGTTGGTTTTCTGACAGCCGGACAGCGATGGGTGCACTGGGTATTAATCGTGCCGGCTGCCGATCATGGATGTCATACTTCGACGCAACTTGACGACTTTTGTGACTGTGTCGAGGAAGGCGGGGCGATGTTTTCCTCGAAATCGAGTTGCTCGTCGATAGTTGGTAATGTCCGTATGTCAAATCCAGTAATGTTGACAACCCGCAGTGTTTTGACTGTGGACTTGTAGTTGTAACCGTTCGATTTGTCGGAGTAGCCTGCTCTCCTGTTGGATCGGAAGTACGGTCTCAGAGATGGTAGACTAGCAACTAGGAGTCCAATATTGACGTCCAATTCGCTCCAGAGTTCTGTGGATGTCGATCGTTAGCTAAAGGGCATCTCCAACGAAGACAACGGGTTAAACGTACCGACCAAGCCAAAGGGCAAATAGTCAACAGAAGCCGTCTGGATGGTGATGAAGCGAACCAACGAGAATGTCATGTTGATGATACCGAGGCCGAATGTGCAATACACGCCAATTTTGAGGGCCCTTTTGATCTTCAAGTCCGGTATAATGAGCCACGGAAGAGAGAAAACTACTCAGGTATTAGCTGTCTACATCATCTCACGTGTGGCAAGCCAGACTTACCCAGTATATCCCCAAAGAAATGCAACGCCCAGCCGACTTGAAATACAATCGCTGGGGAGGAAGCAGAGCACATCACGTTCTCCGTTCCCACTACTCGATCTTCGACGGCCCTATGTTTGACGAAAGGTCAGCCCCAGAAACTTTGAATGATAGGTCCGAGATATCAAGTGCGACGGACTTACCAATTCTTGCTCAAGGGCAGGCAAATTGTGAATAGCAGCAGTATGCTAGTGAGATACGCAAGCCCAGTATACACAATCGTGGCCCAAAGTAGCATGCGTCGGTAGTACATGAATACTGGAAAGAGTTGAAGGTAGACGGCAAGTAGTGCTGCTTTGCACAAATAAAATGTCGTAAAGAACGGAATGCTGCTGGCCCAGAACAACTAAGGAACAGCGATGTCAGTCATGATCATCCTCACTCAGTGCCCATGTACCAGGCGATGTGGAATCATAATCCTTACCCTCATGATGAGGATGACGTCGGCGTCGCTGCCATCATAACCGTCCAGAGTGATCTTGATGTTTTGTTTCAAAGCACCCATAGCCGTGAACTGAATGTCGAATGATGCCGTTGCCACTGCAGAGAGCCATGCTAGGCACAGAAATATGTCGCTCGTGAGTAATTTCCTCCCTTGAATGTTGATTCGCAAATGAAGGGATGCAGCAATGACTGCCCCCGCGGTGAGAATGGTCACCCATCCTGTGGTCTAAAATTCGCGAGACAATACTGTCAGTCATCGAGACATCGTACGAGAGAGTTGCAGGATTTCGAAGATTCGGAACTGGGGTTGACGTACTATGATCGTTACCGCCTTCGGGGTCGGGAAGTGAGCCATCATCCATCGTCACGTATTCCCATTGACATGGGCCGGGGGCTTCCATGACAGATGTCGGATGCCTGGGAATATAACAGGAAACAAACAGCGGGAAGCTGAGTCCTGCGAGTGACTAGTTTAAGACAACCTGACTCCTAGCGCCGCATTAATATTCAACTAGGCCTGCTTCCGTACCGTGAGTTCCTGCTAACCATACGTACGATGCCGGATCCATCGTCCGGATTCGGAAGTGGCACGACAAATACATACAAAATGTCACACCCATCGGCTATATGCGAATATTGTGTCCGTGAAAGAAGGCCAGCCGACGCAGAAGACCACCCAACACAGCAGCTCCCTGGATAATTGCAAAACATAATGAGGTAGATCGGCCAAGCTCAGGCGGGCCGCATCAAGTACAGAAAGACAAAACTGAAGAAGATCCAGCGGCCTTTTAGGCATGGGATCAAGTGTCTCTACAGCAATTGGCACGCTGTCTACCTTTTAATACAGAGCAATGTCTCAGATGCGCTGAACCATGGCAGCGGCGAGATGCACTCCTGAACGAGATTACTCCTCGAATCTATCCATATCATCTTGAGATATCAAGTGCAATGATGTTTTCTGATCTGGTTGCCATGTCCCTCACGAGCTGGGGAGCTTCTCCTATCTAGTTTCGATTTCATGTATCTCCAAATGTTCGTCATGAAAGTCAGCTACTCCGTGACTGAGCCAAACTCCGTGGTACGCAGTATCGCTCATGCCGTCTCGTGCGTAACGGAACATGTGCGCCCCGATCAAGCCACGTAGTTGCGCGGCTTGTGCACCATTCTGTCATATCCGCCGCCACATCGATGTGTGTCGATGCGTAATCCAAGCCGCTATAACCGGTCGTTTATGGATGGAGAATCGGCGCTCTTGGCCTCCTCTGGCCCTGCCAGGTCGAGATCGGGGCCACCAGCTAGGCACGGGGAAGCACGTGGGCAGGTCGGTGAGGTCTATCTGCCAGCCTTTCAAACGGGAACTAAGTCATCGATAGGCTGCAAGGAACCCGAATACTCCACAATTCAGATCTAGAAGCGAGATGCACCGAGTTATGCAAGAAGTACGGACGTAGTGAGACCTCCCATCCAAGTGGCTGCGCCATTTCGATCTTGGCCAGACTTGCACGCTGTATTATTCAAGCCAAGGCTCTGATCAACTTCTCGCATCGTATTTTACATGTGTTGAATTCCCCAGCTAGTTCTTGCTTTAAGAGACCTTGATGGTACATTTATCTTGGTGAATGATGGTCTGTGGAGGGGCTTACTACTGTTACTTATGGCTTGATTTATGCGAAAATATTTTTCAATTGATCGATGATAAATCTAAGCCTCAAAAACCTTTTAGTTCCTTGATGGATTCTTGTTGAGCCGTTCGGAAGGCGTGAAAAAAGCTCTGTCTTCTTCGGTCCGGAAACCTGCGGCCGTGCCGTCGCCGACTCGGCCCCACTCGATTCCGGAAGCAGCCCGGCCGTATTCGGCCAATGCAAAGAGGAGCGTAATGGTGGCGTAAATGACTAACACAGCTTATGCCTCATGCCACTCGTGTTCAGCGTCCAAGGTGGAACCCGAAGCTGACCTTCTTTGTGCTCTGACGGAAACGTTTTGCCTTCATCCGAGTCCATCTCGCCCAGATGTGCATGGGCAGCCAATCAACAAATTTCGGCCTTGCACCATCCAGTCGTTTTCTAACTAGCTTGGTCCTCGGCGAGGCCCGCCACAAAACGGCGAACAGCGAGTGCGAGATCCTCGGTGGAATGGCCGGCGTTTCCAACGGGTGACACGATATGTAGGGGATGGATAAATTCTAGACCCTTCCCAAATGTCGAGTGCCTTGAGCGATTGGGAATTATGGCGAAAGTTCGACTCTCATATGAGACTTGAGAAGGTTGGAGTTGTCTTCAAGTTCTGTGATTTGGCAGTCTACCTAATGTTTCACTCCGATCGAAGCATGACCGATCCGCGTTCATACATGTAGGTGTAAGGGATTCTTGAGGGATGCCTGGAAGTTTATTGGAGCGAAGAATTATTCCTTCCTAACCCACCATTGATTATGTTTCTTTCCCTCGCACGTGTCTGGGTAAGTAAACAACGAACGGTTAACTGTTGTTGCGTTCAATGAAACCTGTATGAGAGGCCTTCCATATGTGCGGATAAGATATTTTGGGTATCTGCTGCGTGTTACACCGCAACAACCTGCTCTTGTAGTCACACCAATTTATGATGAAAATGTCGACCTTGAAAATTGTGATGTGGCCAGACGTTAGGGCTATACGCCGTGAGAAGCAAACGATGCGAAGCACCACTACCTGTCTTCTTAAGCGCACCTTCTTCGCTACAAATAAAAATGATCAACAGCAATGAAAGCACGAATTCTGGTATACAGAAACGTTGGTTCAAAAAATTCCCTAGTCAGCCGAAGCCAACTAGAAGCTGGTCGTAGGAAAGCCGCCACAAGCAAACACAATCTCAGCCGAAGCTTCACTGATCTGTGAAACGCCCATGCACTCGGATGAAGAAAGAAGAGGGAAATATTCGAAAGGAAGTGGAAAAGAGACGACTATTTATACCCATTGGACGAGGAGCTTTCGCAGATGAGTCACGTATATTTGGCCTATGGGGGACTTCTCTTTTTACTTTTGGGGGCCTTGAGGATTCTATGGGACTGCCAATCGCTATCTGAACTTAGTCCTCCAGGCAACTTCTAGAATCATCTCGCTTTCTGTTCTTGCGGATTCTACGGATGACGCTGGGACTCAGAGTTTCTGCTTTCCGGGCAGTCGAACGACCTCATCGATCGCCTGAGCTGCGCGTGCCACGTTATCCTCGCTCAAGCCAGCAACGTTGATGCGCCCTGATCCTGGCAGGTGAACATGGTACTTGCTGACCAGAGTCTCGCATTGAGAAGGTGAAAGCGCCAAACAGCTGATGAAATCTGTCAGTTGATAGCCAAGGTTTGTTGTAGGGAGAGTTACAACTCACGAGAAGAGTCCTTTTTCACGATTGAGATGACTCCAGTCACCAGGGGTCTAAGCAGGATGAGTTTGGTTACTTAAACCTTCTTTTATGAGTCATACGTACCTTTAGCATATGGGCGAGTTGGTGGTAGAGTGCCTGTCGATTTCTCTTGAGTCGCTGCCTCATGCCGTCAAGTTCCGCAGCCCTGATTTGCATATTAGTTTCCTCAGTCTGGAAGTTCAGCTTTCATAAGAACTCACCAGGCCATCCGCAGATCACTATTACTCAAGACAATCTTCACCAGGCGGCTACCATAAGCTGGAGAGGAAGAGTACGTGTAACGTATCAAGCTCCGCAGCCGGTCGTGAACGTTGAAGGCCACCTTACTTGAACCTGCGACCACATGAAGTGCTCCGCATCTCTCACCGTAAAGGGCGAAGTTCTTGGAGAAGGACTGACAGACCAGCATCTCTATGCCAGCTTCAACGAAGATTCTGACCCCGGCCGCGTCCTCGTCGAAACCGTCTCCCAGGCCTTGGTACGCAGTATCGAAGAATGGCAGCTGACCATGTTCTCTCATCTCAGAAGCCAGTTCTTGCCATTGCTGAACGCTCAGATCCACACCAGAGGGGTTGTGACAGCAGCCCTGGAGAACGAAAATACTGCCTCGGGGTGCTGTGCGTACGGCACTGAGGAGGCCAGAGAAGTTCACTTCATGCCTTGTTGAGTCGAGGTACGAGTACGTGATTGTCTCCATATCCACATTCTGGAAGATATCGAGGTGGTTGCCCCAGGTGGGTATTCCGATGTAAACCTTGGGCTTTGGCTGCATAGTCTTAGCAAGCAACAGAGCCCCAAGGGCGTTGGCTCCTGTGCCTGAGATGGTTTGAACGGAGGAGATCTGTTGATTTTTCAGCAAGCTTGTTGTCAGGGACATTTTCGAGACAGTATGAGAGCCGGGATACCTACCCTTTCAGATCGCAGTGCGTCGCAATCTTCACTAAACATCACGCCAGCCGCGAATTTGAGGAACTCTGCGTCGCCGGTAGTCGGCCCGTACTGATTCGTTGAACGCTTAGCCATGATAGCCAACAATATGCATGGCGTTGCAAGTACTCACATCATGTCCCAGATCCTGATCTTCCAGTCTTTTCTTGGCCTGAACACGTATTGGTCAGTCGGCATTTCGTAGGCCAGTTCAGCGTCCCCTACCTCTCTGACAACCTCCAATTCCTGGTAGCTACCAGACTCATTTCGGTAAATACCAACTCCCAAGTCCACTTTCTCCGGGCTATGATCGTTGTCCGCATCTCTTTTCAAGTTGAACATGGGGTCCGGGGGTCCCGGCTGAATGTGCTCAAACATGGTGGCGGACTCGAACCTTCGATCCGGCTGCAGAAAAGGCTCAAAACGACGAACCGAGCAACTTTTCTCGTGCCAAAGGCTCGCACAAAAAATACTCAAATAAATGTTTAATACAAAAGATAAGAGTCGTCACGGCCGGCTTCCGGTGGTACTGCCCGAGATAGTCATGGCGCAATTCCCCGGTGGCCCCACACTCGACTTACACGGGCTCGGTAACGGCTGCCGAAACGTGCATGCTGACGGGAACGGAAACCGAGCGACTTCGACCTTAGGTCACGCTTATGCTTCCCCTCAATCCGCCGATGTTGATCTGACCAGTACTTATTGATCATATCATCTTCTCCAAGATGCTGAAGTCAAAGCCCAGCTCAGTAAGCAACGTGCTTGTTGAGACACCATTCTAGCATCATGGCTTCTCTATTCACAAACAGCTTGACCCGTCTCAGCGGGGCTGGGAAACTATGCACAGTGCGTTTGTACACCTAAGGTGTCTTTCATCTTTGATTTTGGCAATATGCTGACAAGATCTAGGCTATGGGCATCAGACTCGTGACCAACACCCAGGTCGTCCACCTGGCAGCCAACGGGGGATTCGACGCGCTATTCATAGACCTAGAGCACTCGACACTCTCGATCCAAGATGCAAGCCAGCATTGCATCGTGGGTCTTCAGCTGGGAGTGACACCTTTCGTCAGAGTCCCCTATCAGTGCGGTAATGGTTTCGTTCAGAAAGTACTGGACGGCGGGGCGATGGGCGTGATTTTCCCTCATATCCACGGCCGAGGTATGTCTCCGTCTTATTATTGGATTTAGTACGAAGTATTATGCTCACAATGACTTCAGAAGATGCAAAGGCGGCTGTGTCTATTTGCAAATACCCCCCTCAAGGGAAGAGATCCATCACGGGCCAGTTGCCTCTCTTCTCACTCAAGGCAACACCACAAGAGACGATTATATCCGAGACGAACGCGACTGGCTCCAGTGTGTTCCTGATGATTGAAACTCAGGAGAGCATTGACAACATTGAAGAGATAGCTTCGGTGGAGGGCGCGGATGTGCTTTTAGTCGGCTCGAACGACTTGGCCATCGAGCTCGGCGTGCCTGGGCAATTCAATAGCGAGGTATTCCAGGAGGCTATGGAAATCGTCAGCCGGGCTTGCAAAAAGCACGGGAAGATCATGGGCTTGGCTGGTATCTATGAAAACCATGATTTGCACGACTGGGCGATCAATAAGCTGGGAGTACGCTTCCTTCTTGGCGGACAAGATTCGGCGATCTTGGCTGCCGGGGCGAAAGCGACGATGGCTGCTATATCCCAAGTACCCAAGTGAATAGCCCCAAAATCAACTGCAAATATTTTCGTACAATTTCTACTTCTCTGAGGTTGCTCCCCCCAATGACTTGATGGCCCATGGAGATGATGCGAAAGCGGCAAATTTCAGTTAGCTCGGCAACTCTGGCTGGACACACATTACATCATCGATCGACTCCAACCACCCCGAGAAGTTCGGACTCCTCTTTCGCCAGCAAGGCCTTGTGAGTATGCCGGGAAATCAACGCATATTCGCAATACACAGCGATCAACCCAACCAAGTAATTACAACTCATAACATTTGAACATCATGGCGGCCTTTTTTCGACACATCCCCCGCGTCATTTTGTCGATCGAGTACTTCATCGGCGGTTGGCCTCGGATAAGCTCGTGCCCGTTCAAATCCCTCCACGAAAGAATCTACCGGAAATCCCAAATCACAGCGCCTCACCTCCACCCGCTCTATCCTTTCACAGACGCCCGAACAATCAAGCTGCATATGCAGTACATCGGCGCGTTGATGGTGATGGAGGGGCTCTTGCTGGCTCTTCCTCAGACACGAGGCTCGGTTTTTACACTTCTGCTTGGATGCTTTTTGACGGGTTCCGGATATTGGAGTCAGATGCGAGCTGGGTTGCCTTACTGGTTACCAGTGACGAATTTTGTCCTGGCATGGGTCGTCTGGTTCACTCAAAAGAGCTAGAAAACAGATTAGTATCAGGTGTAGTTGGCATCAGACGTCGGGTTGGCTATGTCGAATGTTTCTATATCTGGCTATCAACGCAACTCATGGCTTCAACCCATGGACTGGATCCAGGATCATATAGCTTCTCGGATGGTTCGCGTACAGATTCAGCATTCATAAGCAAGGCGGATTCAAATACATATGCTGCCTTGCATTATTACAAGAGCATGACACATGCATCTAATACAGGAGATCCTTGCTGAAGAGACTCGGCATTAATGCAAGCGGACGTTTGTCAAGCTTCCGATCTCGAGACTTTCGGATGCAATATGAACTCTTCAGTCATCACAGTAACAGGAGCCTTTCGATCTCTTGTGCTCACTTGAACTTGACGTATTGGGGCCTAATTCAAATACATGCAAACAGTTATTACATGTAGCCCGAGCCGCATGTAGCCCAAGCCGTAACTAGACTATCCAAATTATGATGCTTACTATCATGGTTTGGCTTCAATAGTGAAATTGTCGATTATCTTATGCCATGCGATCATGTCAGAAGATAACAGTCAGGCCCCAACCACCAGCGACACCTCTCGCGACAACAAAAGCTAGAAGCGACAATACATACAGGCCGCCCGCGAAGATTATCACCCCGTAGTACTCGCCATCGCACCATTGCAGAATGGCGCCTGCGAACGGGATGCCAACTAGAGCGGCAATACTGGCAATACAGAACGCGGTCCCGCTTCTCTTCCCATAGTCTTCCGTCTTGCAAACCCTTCCGATGCAGACGGGCGTCAAACTTATAGCCGCGCCTGACCAGAATCCGAAAAGGACAGCGAAGGCGGTCGTTGGAGCCTCCACGCCCTGAGCCGTCATCCACAGAGCAAAGATGAAAGTTGCGCACACGAATGATGTGACGCACATGACATTGAATGGGCCGAAGCGGTCCGCCACGTACCCGGGGAATGCTCGGCCTGGGATGGCGCCGGCGTTGAGCAAGGCGCTGAGGAGTAACGATTTCTGCAAGCCGATACCCTCATGGATCGCATACGAGCAGATGTAGGTATATGGAATGAAGACCGCAAACTCGACGAGAAAAACGGCCAGCGTCGTCAGAGCAAACTTGGGATCCTTCAATGCCCTAATGTCGATTGCTGCTCCGGCTCTCTTGTTGTGTGGTAGTCTCTTTTTGAGAAGCACGCATGCGAGGACAGACGCGGCAATGCACATGAAGCCGACCGTCCTCAGGGCCCAGGGAAACCCGATTCGAGGGGCAAGGTAAAGAATGATCAGCGGGAACACAACGCCGCCGACTCCTCCAGCCGTGCAGGCGATGCCTGTGGCGAGGGCGCGTCGCTCCGAAAACCAATGCCCGATGGCTGCGATGCTTGGGTTGAAGAGGAGTGAAGCTGAAACTCCACCAAGTACGCCGAATGTCAAAAAGAATTGGTAGAACTCTGGCTCTGATTAGTGAAATGGTTTGATAACACGGGGTGAATCGGCCGTACCGCTGCAAAGGCTCATCAGCATGACTGCTGCGACTATGCCAACACACCCGGGTACCACAAGAAATCTCACATCGTGAGCATCGAAAACGGGGCCTGGGCACGGGTATTAGCTTTCACGAGGTTGCAAGAGACTTTGGAACTCAAAACTCACCGACTTGTGCGCCGCAAAAGTACAAGAAGAACCCGTAAGTACTGAAGATCCAGCCGATTGTTGACTCTGGTAGCCCATGAAGCTCATGTTCTGCGACCCACGCTTGAAGTACAGCTAAGGTGTTCAAGAGGCCCATTGACGGTATCATGGCGCACCATGCGCCAGCCACGACAAGCCATGCATCTTTGCCGCCCTCAGGGTAGCTCTCGGCCCCAAGCGGTTCTGGTTCTGTGACAGTAAAATTAGCTTCGTGATTCCATACATATCAGAGTCTTGATGGTTGAGGTCTACCTAGCGCAGAAGGGTCTGCCTCCTCAGGAGAGTTCGCAACCGTTTTGTTTTCAACGACCATCGTAGTTACTGTCTTTAGCGCGTGAAGCCTTGAAAAGCTCTCCGCCCCGAAGACCGTGGCCGAGTTTTAAGACCTCTCGACTTGTGGTTCCTGACGACACTCAGTAACCTAAGGCTTCGGTCTCTCAACTCAAGCCAGCAGAACAGTTGCAAGCTTTTCTGGTTTCTTGTCCAATCAGACATGTCGTTCAGGAAGAATCATCCCTGTGATTCTCGGCCCTGGCGTGGTGGAGCCAAATAAGTGTCGGGAAGACTTGACCCGGCTGGCGTGTTCCCCACCTCTCCGGATCGTCAAGTGCGCAGCTTACAAATGCAGTTCTGAGTCCTTGTGTAAGGCGTAATTGACACAACAAGCAAGTTGAAGTGAGCCGCTAGCAGGTTGCTTTCATTGTTGAAACAGCGTGTTATGCTCTTTTCGTGCATAAGAATGATCATTCCGCCGTGACGACACTAGGTTTCGGCGAAACCACAGAGACGTCTAGTCATACCCTGCGATTTGGCCGATGAACACACAATGATGATTTCGCCGAAAGCGCCTGATTTGACGGTTCCGTCGGTTTCAGCAGGATACTAACCTTTCCTCGCTGGAAGTGGGATTTAACGACTGTGATAGAAAATCAGTGTCGTTTATGCGACTTGTAAATATTCATTGCGACTTGTAAATATTCATTGCGACTTGCAAGGACAATTTCACAGGGCTCGGGATGGCCCACGAAAACTCGGAGTCGGCAAGTCCATTCGGACTCGATCCTGGGTAGTCGATATCGAAACTGCTTACACATCAGCGAGTCTTTTTCAAAGTGGTCCCTGCAACTCCAAAGCCGCTTCCAGTCGCATGCGACTAAGACTATGATTATAGAAGGCCGCGATGAAGCCTAAAACACCAAAGCCGAACAGCTCTTATCTTCAAAATCCTCGGTGTCGGTAAAAATGGGGCCGGAGGGAATGCCGGGAGTGGGGGCGGGGAGCAAGGAGTGCTCCGTCGGCGGGGTTGACCTCGGGCCTTATCTCCAATGCAACATCAAATCGTGACTTTGAACAACCGAAGCATCAACTCCAGGCCCTGGTTTCGCTCTTCATGGCCAGACAGAACTATATGAAAAAGGAGCACGCCGCCTAGTCAAAAACTCAAAGTCCTTCATCGAACCCCTCAATATGGCAGCCAGCGGCCATGTCAACAATAAAACTGCGCAAGTAATCATAGCGTCGGAGGAAGAGCGGTTGAAAGGACAATACGGCCCCAGGAATCTGGAGAACGCGCTTGCCGCGCTCCATCAGGATGGCCTCGTAGTACTGCGTGGAGTCATCGACGTTGCCTTCATCGACAAGCTCAACGAGAAGATGTGCGCAGACGCGGAGGAGAAGATTGCCGATCCATCGCAATTGTACAACCACGGCATCAAGTGTAAGAAGTGACTTCAACACACGTTAGTTGATATTACGAATGAGAGTTAACGTGGCCTAACCTCAGCGAACTTTCTGCAGCGACCGCCGGTAACCGACCCCGAATTCCTGAACAGGCAGTTATACTTCAACAACTTCCTACTCCAGGTCAATAGAGCGTGAGTATTGGCTCTCTATCTACACCATACCTAGCTCCGTGGCTGACAATATCGCAGCTACCTGGGCGGCAGACCGATCTGGAACTGGCTCACAGCAAACACCGCCATGGCGGGAACCAAAGGCCTCCGCCAACGCGCGCACAAGGACTCATACACCCACCCCCTGTACCCATACTACGTGATCGCAAACGTGCCTCTCGTGGACTTCAGCCCCGAGAACGGGTCGACTGAGTTCTGGCTCGGCTCCCACCAGTCCACGACCCCGGCTGACCAGATAACCTCTGCGGACCCGGTCGCCGAGGGTTATAACCGCGGGCGGCCCGGCGAGCCCCTGCCGCCCATCACCGAGGAAGCCAAGGCCGCTCGCATGAAGATCCGCCCTCCACTGCAGCCGCGGTGCCTCCGTGGGGATATCATGATTCGGGACCTGAGGTTGTGGCATGCGGGAATGCCGAATGAGAGTGAAGCCCATCGTATCATGCTGGGTCTCGGGTATCAAGTGAGTTTTTGGCGTGTCTAGATTGGAGGCTGTGTTTAGCTGACTTATACCCAGAGTCCATACTTCCCCAATTATAGCCAGACGCTTCATCTCCCCGAGACGCAAAGGTCCTTCTTCCTGAACTACCTGAGCGACATCGTGGACGTTCGAGCACAGTTCTGGAAGCCCGACGAGATGGAGAAGACGAAAGCAGACGAAGATTTCGAGCTGCGTGCGGAGTATGCTGAGTGAATCGGGTCTTGCGTTGGATTCACACGATTCCGAGCCGACGCGATTCAGTTGACGACGGGTTCTTTGAAGATTTCCCTGGTAATAAACATAATTATGCTCACGCCGCAGTACCCTTTTGACTGATGGTTCCCAAAAGTACCTTTCCATCCAGGTGGACGCGCAACACATCAACACGAAAGCCCCCTGATTGCAAACCTAACCCAGTTAAACAGCCTCCACCACCAGGTTAGTGAGTGCATGAAGGCTACGCAAGTAGGTTCCGCCATGGCTTCAGTCCGCAACGGTTCTCGATTTCTACAACGGCAGCCGCATTGACGAGGCCGAATGGTCAATAATCACATGCTTTCTGCGCCTCAAAGCTGGTCTGGCTCACCTCGCGTCTGGCTTGTTACTCCACCTGGGCTGATTTCTTGAATCGTGACATGGAGCTGTGTGGTCTGCTTTTGGGCAATGCTGGACTGCTAATTTTCCATTCTCGTCCCTCGATTACAAATAGGTCTACGTACGATTCAGACATTCCCAACCCAACCCATTCCATCTTAGTTACCTCTCAGGCTCACGAGCTCGACTCGGCCAATCCGACTACGGCAATGGACCACTCATCCTTCACGAGCATCTCATTCGATGCGTACGATGAATCCCATTCACGCGCCAACCCCAACACCATTACCAACCGCGCCATCAAGCTCATCGAGGCCTGCGGTTTTCCCCTGCCTGGCTCCGACATGTCAAAAACTGTATTCCTGGCATTGGTTGTCGCGAGCAGTGTAGTCAGCTACATCGTCGCGGAGCTCTACACCTCCTGGGTCTTGTACTTGAGCCGCTTCGAGCGGGCACCCGACTCACGCTACGGTGTTGGTGAACTATCGTATGGTCAACTATGGAGCGTCGGTGGCATCTGGCTTGCTGTGACGCTTACGACGTACCGGGTGCTTGCGTTTCTCAGACGGATGCGGAGGAAGCGAGCAAAGGTGCATTATCACGTTTGTTGAGAGGGGAGAATGAGTGATTGGTAATATTGCAAGAGGTCGGAGGGGCATCAGATTCAGCAACAGATACGGAGAAGTTACCGGTTATTTGTGAAGAAGTAGTCTCTGTAACGGACTCGTCTATACAACGGACTTCACGCACGAAAGAGAAAGAATTTTGGGATTGAAACAGTCAATTCAAGGCATGTTTTCAGTTTCTACGACTGGGTAACTGCGTTCATTGTGCCCAAGGTACTTAACTGACAGAAAGCGGATGTTACTTAAGTCTTTCCTATTGAATCGCCTCCGGGAACTCTCAAGGTTGAAATGAACCCCAATCTTCCCGTGAGCTCGGCCATCAGAGCCCTGCTGCGTCGGGTTGAACTCCTTCATACCCTACCTACCCAGCACCATCTCGGACTACGAGTTTCACGAGCTCGACATTCTTGCAGTATTCTCTCAGTAAACTCCAAGAACAGAAATGAAGAACACTAGAATCCTGTCGCACAAGTACTGCGTTCCCACCATACTCACATGCGTCCCGCGTGAATGACTTCACCAACGTCCGAACGTTGGTAATCTAGCGCGTGTGTAGTTGTCATATTGGACCCGGCCACATTTGGTTTGGGTTTTCTTCTCACCAGCTGCGGTTGTTTTAATTTATAGCCCTTCTCCGTCCCCACTCGTGAGAGGGCTGAGAAAATGTCAGCAACCTCAAGCCCCCGTGACATTTCATACCGGGACGTGAGTGGTGGTTAATATTGGAGTTGACCATAGAATGGACTAGCTGAGTCCCAATATCTAACTCAAAGGCCCTGCTCGCTGCCATCTCCAAATCAATGTGTTCAATCGAGACGCTCCTCGGTCTGATCATGACTTCTCGATGCAGAGACAGAAGCCAGTACATGCTGTCATGCATAAAAAGCCCAATCCCCCATCCACACCACCAATCCCGCACTGGCGGGAGAGTATCTTGGGCAATGAGTGGATTTGGCAAATCATTCCTCGTATCTCAAGCATGGAACTCGTCCTTGAAATGGTTCTAGAAGCTACGGGTAGTCGGTATCAGAGTCACGAACCTTTGAATTCACACACCTCGCCCGTCCATCATCGCGCCTATCCCCAAAATATTCACAACAAATACACAAGTCTTCAGGATACCACACCCAGGGAACTCTGTCCCAGCCTTCTTCTTCTTCTCTGTCTAAACCCTACTCTCCTAGAACCGATCATGCACCAAACACTCGGTTTCCCAGGGTCCTGCATTCCCTCGTCGCCCATGGTGATGAGGATACGATGTGCTTCGATAATTGTTTCCTCCAGAAAGCCATATATACTAATACACACTTTCCAGATTCCGCCCCACGTTACCGCATTATCCAGATGCTGATTTTCTAGGGAGGAGAATGCGTCGCGCTCGACCACGGCCTTAAATCCCCCTTGTGTCAACCTATCTCCAAGTTGAGAGTCCTATAAAACCACAACTTCCTCGGAATGATACATCGAAATCAGCCAAGGAATGTGCCATTCTGATACCTATCGATAGGACTCCTCAGAAGTCAATACCATTCCCGCACCGCGTCACGTCCAGCAACAACACACATTCCCTCCCTCCACGAACCTCGACCCGCATATCGTCTATATCCTTCATCATC